CGGTACAGCCCATCAAGCTTGGAGAATTCCTGACGCTGTGGTATCTTTTCCGGGCCTGTAGAAAACGGGGTTTCGCTCAAACCTCAAGAGGCCGCTTTGGTTTGAAGCAATTTGGAGAGTTCGTAAAGCATCTTCGTCTTCGCTGTCAGTGACAATGATCATCTTACAACATTGTCATGCATCAACTTCCGGCAACTCAGCAGTAGTCCTACTCGGTACAGACCATAGTGTATATCGGACCTTCGAAGGCTATACATGGTACATTATACAATTTTCTGAGCGTCTACCCGCATACCACATACGATGGGAGCTGCCAAAACTCGATACAAGATGAGATTTATACATTACCGACGTATGCACTATATGTAGAAGAAGCAACAAATCAACTTGACACATATACATGCACGTGATCGCGTGTAAGTAAGAAATTCCGAGCCGAACCTCGGAGCAGCTGACATTATGCATGGCCCTCGGACTCAGACTTGGACGCGACAATTCCATACCCCCGGAGTTTGTGACAGACTAACCTCCAGACTGTCCATTTCCCGGACGTTCTCATGATACGAGTCAGTACAGTTTGAAGAACAACAAATCAGGTTTTATGCAGTCACGGTCATATCAGTGCGCCCAAGTCTTCTTTTCTCCGTGTCCTTTCTTATCGTTGTTTAGATCTAGGAATGACACTGCTATCTGTCAATCTGATAGTGTTTTTCAATTAGACTATCTCTGGCTAGACAAAGTGATGCCCGTCAGCACCGCACCAATTTCCGATGCAGATTGAAGGTTCTGCATCCATCATTGTTGGCAACCTTATAATATGAGAGCCCGATAACCGATGCAGAGAGCAATAATGTACGCACGAAGAGACAGATAGCCCAAGAACGAGGAGCAGAAATGGTCAACATTGAGATGGTACTATGCTCGCGCACGAGAACGTGAGTTTACTTCGACTGCCTCTTCCCTACTTTTGACGGTTTATTTCTGGTATGGCCTTGGCATGCCGACACAATTTGTCTTCTATTTTTCGTTGTGTTAGTATGTCGAGCGTTCCGCCCATCGAAATGTTTCATGACTAATCTTTACGTTGAGCGCTAGCCCCTGAATCTTTGCGTAATCAACGCAGGAATGGTTATCACCCCTCAATTTCATTTTGGTGACCCAAGCACTGGACGGTGGTATATAAACTATCACCCTACGTCTACCAAGTTCACATTTCACCCTCACTCCCATTCTCTACCAATATGACCATAGTCTCAAATGATTCCACTTTGTGGCCGACCATCAATGCATATCGTTTTTCCAGCTATTTTTCAGGTCAGTGGAGAGTAGTCGTATTCTGAAGATGATGTCTCAATTTAACGTTGGCTGCGGTTTCGCAGTTGCCGCCTTTGTTGTAGTGACGTATGATTGGGGTGAGCATTATAACATTAAAGAAGTGCTGATATCTTACAAGTATTTTCAGCACTTACATTCGGACAAGAGGTATGTCAATACTATGAGCGGAGCAGCTGTCTTGCTAAGAATCCTTTTATAGGTTGAATTGGTCTGGGTGAGTAGAGTCTCATGTCAGAGGAACGACCATGAATATACGCTTCATTACAGAGGCAACGTTGGTCCCTGATGGCAGTTTTGTATCTCGGTGTATGTAGCTTGTTTGTCGTGTTTGTCGTGCTGTGCTGACTTGAAAGTGTCCTAGGTGCGCTACCTTGGAATTGTGTATGCTGCGTATGTTCGGAAAGTTAAACAATCAATGCTGTGTTGATCGTCTATCTCTCAAAATCAGCCTGACCATCCTGTGTATGTCTCCCTAGTACATCTACTGTCTTCGCTTCTTCTGACAAACAGTATACAGTCCATATTCCGACCCTCTCGCTGACAGATAAAGTGAGTCTTCTGCACAGATGCCTGCTATTCCCCTCCAATTAACTGCGCTTCCCTGTAGGAGTGGGTGTGGTTATTTAATAACTACTTGGTTTCCTACTGACTGCCACGCTATGCTGCCACAGATGTGAGTCTGTTTGAAGTGTGCTACCTGAGTTGATCACTGACTGGATTCATCAGGCTGGGTCGTGTACGTCCTATGGAATTGGACGGGTGTTGTGGCATTTGCGATGCTGTGCGGTAAGCTTGGCACTTGCGAGACCTCAGTGATATTGACTGAAACACAACAAGTCATCATCGTCACTCGGCTGCATGCCATGTATCAACGATCCAGAAAGATCCTGTTATTTCTCGTTCTCAACATCCTGGTCGTCAACATTTTCGATGGAGTGACAGCTGTAATAGCAATGGTGCATGCTTCAGGAGGTACGCTTAATTATAGATGAAAACGAACGTGCATGGGGCTCACTGATGGATATCAGAGGAAGTCATTTTTTCCGGCTCTTATCAGTGCTGGATTACCTTTACGGGAGATTTTCAACTTTTGAATTCTGTTGCTTGGATACTCGCAACTGTGTGGGAGGTCTTCGCACTGTGCCTCGCAGTCTGGATTGCGGTAAAACACTTCCGTGAACTGCGACGACATTCGGCAGGAGGGATTATGGGGCACTGTTTTACGGTGTTGATGAAGACTCATGTGCTTTACTTTGCGAGGTAAGCTTATATTGTGGTTGTTGTTCCCTTTTTCCGCTGAATGATCGGACTTGGTAGCTTTGTCGCTGTTTCATGTTTCGTACTCATTCTTGATTTCTCTCCAACATTCTCAACGGTATGTTGATCTTTCACTCACCTATACATGCTACAACGATTCATCATTTCTATAGTTCCAAAATTCGTCTGGGAATCCAGACGTTTTATGGGTTGCTTCAGATTTTGCAGACCATGCAGTTATTTGTGCTGGGACCACGGCTTATCCTTAGTGTTCGAGAGTATGGCGCTAAGCTCGTGGCCAATCCCGACACATATATTGTCATGCACACAATCGCTTTCCAGGAGCGTGGGGACATATCGACTGGCAGTAGTGTGTAATCCGTCCTCGATTCATCTTCTTGCCTCATTCGACGTCCCACTCCTGTCTTTTCACCTGACTTACGCCGACTGGCTTACGAAAGATCCGATCAAGACGATTCCAAGGTGCGCGAAGCACGGTCGTGCATGCGTAGCTTGATGATGCGAGGCACACTTGATGAGGTTGATGCTTGTGGAGGAGTTCACCTTTCACTTTTATTCGACGAGGCGGAAATACGAGTATGGATATTAACTGTCTCGGATTGTCACTGAAACACTACTGGGTGATACATGTACGCTAATAGACATTGTGCTATGATGCTTCAGCTAGGACCTAGTGCCTCTATGGAGTCAGGGGAATCTAAAGAAATCCACAGTGTTACAGTAACGTCTGGAAATAGCACACTAACCATCAAACAGTTTGTTGACGTGGTTCCGAACGGCGACAGCGACGGACCGGGAACGGATATGTAGGCACCAGGACCAGCAATAGACTAATAGTCCAAGAGTCGAACATCCGCTGCTTGATGCTACATAGGTTGTAAATATGATAGCGAATCCGACACATGAAGAAGTAAATCCCCCGTGGCTAGCTGGCGGAAGAGACCTCTTCAAAATGACACAGAAGCTGGGGCCTTGAATTAGATTTCCGGATTTGAAAAGTTTGAGTGCTCCGGGTCGTGATACTCTGGGGGATTTGAATATATTGAGAAAGGGAAGGTTTCATGATATCTGAACCGGGCACGAATTTTCACAAGAACGTATATGCACGGAGGGCTATAGCTGCTGTTATTTATAGGAAGCACACCTGTAGAAGTAATAAATATTTCAAATAAAATGACAGGGATACGAGTTGACCAATGGTGTCGGTGAGATCTTGAGACTGTGCCCGCCTCACTATTCACACTGTGACAGGGCGCCCATCGCTATTGGACAATTGTATGGCGAGTTAGGACCACGATGAGTCTCCGGCCATCGGTTAATATACAAGCTCTCCATGAAGTTGCACAATACATAGTAATAAAAAGTAAACGGCATGATAAGGAATAAAAACACACTGGCGCGACTCCCAATCATTCATAACCCAACTCAGCATCAATTCGCGCTCTCCGCAAGTTTCTCCTCTCCTCGTCGGTCATACACGACCACCCCTCAACAGTCTCTGACAACTCCTCCTCGATACGCTCTTCCATCTCTATTTGCTTCTTGCTCTTCTTCGGCGGGGGAGGTCTCGGTAATGGTGGTGGAGGGGTCCGTCGGTTGGGGTGGAGTGGTGCAATCCGTGAAAGCATCGTTCGCGATGACTTCACCAATGGCGAATAGGAAGGGCCGTTTGAGAACGGTGAATTTGGTTGTGAGTTGACACGCCGGATGAGCTTCTGACATTGGGGTCGACTTGGGTTTGATGCTGAAGGCGCGTGACTGGAGAGTGACAGACGGAGTCTGCTTTGGTGGAGCAGCTACGCTGTTCGAGGGAACCTTCTAGGTAGAACGTAAGTAAGGACATCAAAGAGTATGGAGATGTAGTGCCTTGGTTACCTCAGGAATTACAATGGTTTCAGAATCCTTGGAACCGTCGTCTCGAGAGTCTTTGTCCTCGGGCAAATGGCTGCTTTGGTTAGGGGACTTTGAACGAGGAGGGTCGCTGCCGTCGTCCTCATGTTCACTTTCCGAGAGAACCGCTTTCCTTCTGCCTTTTGCCTTGGGTTTCGATTTCGATTTTGCAGCGGAGGTGGGTTTCGATAGTACCTTCTTCTTCGATGTAACTTTCGGTTCCTCTTCCTCAACGAAATCGTCGTCTTCGAGGCAAGTTATTGCCTGCAGCTGGCTCATCCGTGGGGGATCTTATGCGCAAGATCGTCGGGTTCGACTCTGTCAGCCTGCTTCCGACCTTTTTTCTTCCCCTTCGCCCGAGAAGACAACTTTGTGTCCTTTTTCTTACCCTTGCTCGCAGAAACGATGTCTGCGTCCCCGTTTTCGTCTTCAAGTGTGTGCGAATCGTCGATTTCTGGGACGACAGGACGACAATGGTGCAGAGAATAGAGGAGGTGCTATATAGAGGACGACGTAGTATCGGGGACGTCTACATCCATCTCTTCGCCATGAACCTCTGACTGAAGCGGGGAAACCTTCTTCCGTTTACGAGTTATCTGGGGTGGAGAAGAGGGCGGAGAAGACAGATCGGGTAAAGCAGGAATAGAAGACGGGAGGCGTGATGTTGTAAAAGATAGTTGAGACGGAAGCGCTGGCTCTTGCGGTGCAGGAAGAACTACAACGTCGCTCGGCTGAGTATCGACGATGCTTTCTTCAGGAACCTCAGTGAAGGCGATGTCCTAGCTTTAGGCTTCGGTTTAGGCCTGGGTCTCGGCTTGGGCTTGGCCGGCTTGTCTTGGGATTTCTGCCGCTTCCGTGGAGGCTTCAGTGATAGTTCGTCGAGGTCGGAGTCGGATGTTAACTCTATCACATCATAGTTGACAGGCACGTAAGTCGGCTTCTTGACCTGAGTCTTTCGAGTGCGCGTCTTGGCTCGGTCGGCAATGCTAAACACAGGATCGACGTCCTCGATGAGATCTGAAACCGCAGATGGTGTGGTTGGAGGGCGGATGCTGTCTGCAGCCAAGGCACTGGATTGGATTGCAGATGCAGAGCCGATGAGTGAGCCAGAGGAACGAAGTTCATCGTCTTTGATGAAGTCGTCGTATATGGTACTCGTAGTCCGAGACTTTCGCGGCACAGGACGTGGGCGCGGTTTAGACTTCGGTACAGGTGTTCCAGCGCCACGAGGAAGTAACGGAGAAGTATTTGGTGGTTCAGAGTCTTGGTACCCTGGAGGTGGTGTAAACAGAGACACATTACTTGTGTCGAGAGGTTCACGTCCTCGCTGGGGAGTCTGTGCTTGACTGGTAATAAACGAAGCAGTCTGAATTGTTGACGCTGAAAATCCGTGTCCAGTTAGCATACGGTATACGACATGAAGCTTGAAGAATTCCTAACGCTGTAGTATCATCTCCGGGCCTGTAGAAAACGGGGTTCCGCTCAAGAGGCCGCTTCGGTCAGCAATTTGAAGAGGTCGTAAAGCATCTTCGTCTTCGCTGTCAGCAACAACCCAGTCGTCTGTAATATCGGCCATTGAATTGATAGATGTTTGCAGCGATTATACTGGGTGTCGTCGATGAGTATGTAGTTAAGAAGAGTAAGACATGAATTAAAGCCTACACGCGGCATGCACGTGATCGCGTCACTATGGATAAATTATGAACTCCGAATGACCACAAGGGGGACTTTCTTGAACTTTATGTAAGTTTTACTTATGTCGAGAAGTAGGTATCTTCAGGTTGCTCGGCGTTGTGTGACCGTGACATACCCTTGTTGGGTAGCGGAGGAATCTTGGGAGGAATCTGCTTTACAGCGTTTACATTAGGTAATCGTAAATTTTCGCAGATAAACAGACTTAGCACCTAGCGCTCACGTGCAGACGGAGCTTCCAGGGAACAAAATTCTATATATATAAGGAATACAAGAACCGCTAACTGCAACATTTAGTATACGGCTAGTGCACTATTTACCGTGATCTTATTGATATTTCGGTTACCAAACTATAGTGAGCACGGATGGTGGTATACATACATATAGTGCGGATGTCACCGCTATATTACCTTGATCAAGTTCACCTCTCACCCACACCACACCCATTCTCTAACAATATGGCCATAGTCTCAAATGATCCCATTTGGTGGCCGACCATCTATGCGTATCGTATATCCAGCTATTTTGGAGGTTCGTGGAGAGCAGTCGGATGTTGAAGCTGAGGTCTGACTCAATGTAACCTTGGCTCCGGTATCGCAGTTGCCGCCTTTGTTGGGGTGACGTATGATTGGGGTGAGCACGATATTATTAAAGGATTACTGATATCTTACAAGTATTTTCAGCGCTCACATTCGGACAAGAGGTATGTCGATGCCATGACCGGAGCAGCCATCTCGCTAAGAATCCTTTTATAGGTTGACCTCATCTGGGTGAGTAGAGTCTCATGGCAGAGGGAACACGCATGAAAATGCACTTATTTACAGAGGCAACGCTGGTCCCTAATGACAGTGCTGTATCTCAGTGTATGTAGCTTGTTTGTAGTAATTGCCATTCTGTGCTGACTTGAAAGTATCCTAGGTGCGCTACCTTGGAATCCTATCTGCTGCGTATGTTCGGAAGGCTTAACATTTGGTGTTGTGCTAATCGTCTATCTCTTATCATCAGTCTGTCCATGGTTGGTATGTCTCCTTAGTATATTCACAGTCTTCTCTTCTGACCAACGGCATTCAGGCAATCTTTCGACCATCTCGCTGACAGATACAGTGAGTCTTCTGTATAAATGCCTGCCATTCCCCTCAAATCAACCGTGGTGTCCTGCAGCAGTGGGTGTGGTTCTTTGCTGACTTCTCAATCCACTAATGGCTGCCACGCTATACTACCAAAGATGTGAGTCTGTTTGGAGTATGTACTACCTGAGACTAGTCACTCATCGGATTTGTCAGGCTGGATGATGTACACTATATGGGTTTGGACGGGTCTTGTGGTATTTGCGATGCTGTGGGGTGAGCTTTACACTTGTGCGACCTCGGTGATATTGGAATGACTGAAACATGCCGCAAGTCATCATCATCACTCGGTTGCATGCCATGTATCAACGAGCCAGAAAAATCCTGATACTTCTCGTTGTCACCTTCCTGGCAATCATCACCTTTGATGGAGTGATAGTCGTAATATCAACGGTGCATACTTCAGGAGGTACGCTTAATTATCGATGAAAACGAACGTGCATAGGGCTCATTGACGAACACCAGAGGAACTCATTCTCTCGGGCACCTACCAGTGCACGATGAGCTATACAGGAGATACCCTAGTTCTGGGTTCTGTTACTTGGATACTCGCCATTGTTTGGGAGGTCCTTGCGCTATGTCTCGCAGTCTGGATTACGGTAAAGCACTTCCGTGAACTGCGATTACATTCGGCAGGAGGGATTATCGGGGACTGTTTTACGGTGTTGATGAAAACTCACGTGGTTTACTTTGCGAGGTAAGTTCATATCGTGATTATCGTTTCTTTCTCACTGAAGGGTCGGACTTGGCAGCTTTGTCGTTGTTTCGTGTTTCGCTCTCATCATTGATTTGTCTCCAACATCATCAACGGTATGTCAATCTTTCACTTACCTCTGCATGTGACCACTATCTATCATTTCTATAGAGCCAATATCTCCTAGAATATCAGACTTTGTCTGGCTTGTCTCATATTTCGGAGGTCGTGCAGATGTTCATGCTAGGACCACGGCTGATCCTTGGCGTTCGAGAATATAATGCTAAACTCGTTGACTCCAACGCAGCAACTGGCATGACCTCAATCGCTTTCCAAGAGCGTGCGCATATATCGACTGGCAGTGGTGCGGTGAAGTTGACGCGAACCGTTGCCTAGTGCTTGCAGGGAGCACGGTAAATTAGTTTTTTGTTGCTATTCCAAGCCTCGTTGCAGTGCTCAAACAGTTATTTAGTGTCACAAAATATATGTCAAGGAGACATAGGTTTGGGCAATATTTTTGTCGTAGTATTTATTCGAATCATTTGCTATAGGTTTTGACATTGACAATGTTTCAACCAATGTCCTGAATATATCTACTGTACCAACGAAGGAAAGCAGTGCCCAGAACGGGAAAGTCGAGGAGCGAGAGATGTTTATAGGCGATGTCACCAGAACGTTAGATGCAAGTTTCTATTTGCTCGTGCTTCTCATCTTCGAGGACAACTTGTGACCTTTCGGCGTATCGGAGGGCACTATGGGGTATATGGTGCGACGATCCTGTAGCATAAATAGGTATCATGCTTTATCAGGCTTCATGAGCACACAGACATGGACAGTAGTACAAGCATGTAAGCTAGTTGGCGTGAGTCAAGAATGGGAGGTTGAACGTCGAAATTGAATACTGACATGGTGTAGTACATGAATGAGTTGTGAACGTCTGATACAGACCACTGGATAGGCGGAGTGGCGATTGCGGGCTTTGTTGATCATGCGGCAAGGCCCTCGACATCCTCCTCACGGACTTTAACATTGCTTCAGTTAACGTAAGTATTGGGCCAAAAAGCGAAAGAGATGCGTCTGGCAGGTTAACCCAGCGCAAAGCTGCCTTGATACGTTCCAGAAAGCCTTGTGTGGCATGTCCTGATGCTAGTCTGAAGTTCTCTACAGCGAGTGACAAATCAGCAGGGTCGTGTAGAATCCGGTAACGAGACAAATAGGCTTCCTGGAGCCTCATGTAGCTGAAATACCTGTCCGGGTGCAGTGAAGACCAAGCTGACAATGACTGTTGGCAAAGAGTAATGTTCTCCTCGACACCTTCATTCTTCTGAGTTTGCGTGAACGAGAACAGAGCACCGAGCTCAAATTGTGAAGAGTTACACAGCGCTGTGGAAGGTCAAGCCTTCTCAACCGAATGGGTTCGCGATACAAACCAATGGCCTCGTTAGAATCCTCACTAACATGCGATTTGCGATAGTGTCGAGCGCGACGGCAAGGTTGTTGAGCGTGGTGTCACGACATGGATGCCTAAGTGGGTGCAACGTCAGTGCCTCGCGATAGAGGCTAATAGCTCAGGTGATGCCATCAATGTCGCCACGTTTGTTGAAACGGGCGATGAGAGCGAGCCCTAGGGTGTTTAATGAGTAAACACGATATTGGTGCCCAACAGTGCAGCACCTCTTCATGCAAAGACATAGCCTCATTGAGGTCATTAGTTTAACCTTGATGATGGAAGCGTGACGTGAGTGAAGAGGCCAAGTTGTTCAGGTAGGTATCGCGGTTAGCATGTCCCTCGAGGCACAGAGACACGGCCTTACGACCGAGTTGTATGCTCGTGTCAAGATCATCGATACTGTCGTGCTGATTGATCAACACGGCAGCATCGATGATCAAGTTCGTTGAGGGCTCTGGAACTCCGTTCCAGAGGACAGAGCTCTAGGACGACTCTTCGAAGGTGGATGCCTTCATCGGATGCGTCTGTTGGGAGATCGTTGCATTCGTCGATCACATAATTGACGCCATTGCCTGCCGCGATGTCAGAAAGGTAGGTTCCTCTGGACAGAGAGGCAGTAGTTCATGATAAAGTTGGGCGGCTTCGCGGATGTCGGTAGCAGTACTTTTCTTGATATGGTGCCAAGCCAGCGCTTCGGTAAGATTATATGGAGATAAGGGATGATCGGGATGGTGCTGCGGACGCAATGCAAGGGCGTCGCGGAAGAGGGAAGTGGTGGCATCGATGTCTTCGAGATCATTTCGGATGTAGCCTAACAGGCGGGCCTACGCGAGGTTGGTGAGAGCTGTTGCATGATCTGGATGGCTGACTGGATAGTGGTCCAGAATCAACTGAAAATGCTCTACAGCGTTGTTCAGGTGAGAGACTGTCTTGCTCGTCACGTATGTGTTAAATTGTATGTGGTCCGCATCTGTGTCTCGAGCAATCTTGCAGTCTACGAGAGACTGCAGTTTGCGTTCTGTCAAAAGCTAAAGGATAGATACCAGTTAGCGTCACTCACGAGTCTCTATTAAAAGCACGTTGTCAACACTAGCCTGAAATCAGAGAAAGTCAGATACCTTTCCTATCACCCGAATTCGGAACCTTGGGAGTGTCAACTCAAGAACGGCACTTTATGATCATCCTGACTCACCGAGGACACTTCCAAAACATTTCAGAAGTGGTAGGCCGAAGCTCAAGGCTTTGGCCGTATGAGACAGATTGTTCAGCCTGCCAATTTATGATTTAGATGGTTTCGATGTCAGACACAGATCCTTACTTCACTTGTTGTATTTGCGGCAAGGTCGACGACAATGTTGATTTTTTTATGGATTGTATATGCAAGGAAGATGTATCTCCATGAGAAAGCACCCTACGGTACAACAGCACAGTAGTAACTCGGTGAGAGCACGCATTGGAGTTGAGCACTTACATGGGTGGAGAAAACTTGCGTTGCAAACCCCGATTTCCTGCTTCGAGTGCAACTGGCAAATTGTAACATGGTCAGCCCGCCGCCCGCGCATAACCGCTACACCAAAGGGTTAAGTACTGAAAGCTTAGCCTTCAGTATCAGCGACGGTATATGTACTGATTATGAGAACTCGAGTAAGCTAGCGTGCTTACACAAATGTAACTTACCAATCCATATTTCAGCAGACTCTATATTCATTTTCGGCTCGTTGAAATTGACGGCGATACCTATTGAATATATTCAGCGGGTTGATAATGCTACTTGACGAGAATTGAGCACCAGTGATATGGAAAGGCGATGAGGCTGTACTAGACATCAAAGCCACGGCTCCAGCTTTTCAACATCCCAAGCCGAGCCCGAGGCCGTGGTAAGGCCATCCCAGCTCAGCTCGGCCTAATCAGGCTCGGCTTTGGCCGGCCCACGGCTCAAAGCCGAGCTGCTAGACATGACACCTGGTTTGTACTAACATCCAACACGGTTGAGCGGACGACAGTCTTGGCCCTAGTGTTGCAAGACGACGGTTAGTCACACGCTGTCACATTGGGAAACCTACTGCCATCTAAACACTGCATGTTCTAAGTCATTGAGCGTGTTCAACATTGCGAGAATAAACAAATGTTGCAGGGGAAGTGTCTATTTAGATGCCTAACAATAATACTACATACTTAGTTTTTCTCAGATTGTGGTGTACAGTCCTGAACTCGACAAATGTGAGTCTGGTGGGAACTTAGGTACCGGGTAGTACACTATGGTTTGGTCTTGGCAGCATTGCCGATACAATTTGCTAACTTTTACGATGTTATGTGAAGGGTTCCGCTTGTCGAAATGTTTCATGTTCAACATTTACGTTGAGTTCCTGGATCTTTGGTCGATCAAGGCAGGGATGATCATTATCTTTCAACCTCATTTTGGCAATACAAGCGCTGGATGGTGGTTATATGCTATCACCATACGTCTACCAAGTTCGTCTCTCATCCACACCCATTCTCTACCAATATGATCACAGTCTCCAATGATCCCACTTTGTGGCCAGCCATCAGTGGGTATCGTGTTTGCAGCTATTTTTCAGGTTCGTGGAGAGCAGTCAGATGTCGAAGCTGATGTCTCAATCTGATCTTGGCTGCGGTTTGCAGTTGCCGCCTTCGTTGGAGTAACATATGATTGGGGTGGGCATGATAACATTACAGGATTACTGATATCTTACAAGTGTTTTGCAGTACTAACATTTGGACAAGAGGTATGTCAATACTATCACCGGAACCCGTCTTGCTAATAATCCTTTTGTAGGTCGAATTGGTCTGGGTGAGTACAGTCTCATGTCAGAGGAACATATATGAAAGTACGCTTAATTACAGAGACAACGGTGGTCGCTCATGACAGTGATGTATCTCAGTGTATGTAGCTTGTTTGTCGTAGGCTAGTTGCTATTTTGTGCTGACTTGAAAGTATCCTAGGTGCGCTACCTTGGAATCCTATCTGCTGCGTATGTTCGGAAGACTAAACATCTGGTGTTGTGCTAATCATCTATCTCTCATAATCAGTCTGTACCTGGTTGGTATGTCCCCTTAGTACATTCATAGTCTTCTCTTCTTCTGACTAACGGCATTCAGGCAGTGTTCCGACCATCTCGCTGACAGATACAGTGAGTCTTCTATATAAATGCCTGCCATTTTCCTCAAATTAACCGTGATGTTCTGCAGCGGTGGGTGCGGTTCTTTGCTGACTTCTCAGTCTACTAATGGCTGCCACGCTATACTACCAAAGATGTGAGTCTGTTTGGACTATGTGCTACCTGAGACTGGTCACTGATCGGATTTGTCAGGCTGGATGATGTACATCATATGGGGTTGGACAGGTATTGTGGTATTTGCGATGCTATGGGGTGAGTTTTGCACTTGCGGGACCGCACTGATATTGGAATGACTGAAACGCGCTGCAAGTTATCATCATTACTCGGTTGCATGCTATGTATCAACGAGCCCGAAAAATTCTGACATTTCTCGTTGTCACATTCCTGGCGATCCACACTTTTGAAGGAGTGGCAGCCGTATTGTCAACGATGCGTACTTCAGGAGGTACGCTTCATTATGGATGAAAATGAACATGCATAGGGCTCATTGATGGATACCAGAGGAACTCATTCTCTTCGGCACCTACCAATGCACTATTGCCTCTTTAGGAGATACCCTAGTTCTGGGTTCCGTTGCTTGGATACTCTTCATTGTTTGGGAGGTCCTCACGCTATGTCTCGCAGTCTGGATTGCGGCAAAACACTTCCGTGAACTGCGACAACATTCGACAGCAGGAATTATCAGGGACAGTTTCGTGGTGTTGATGAAAACTCATGTGCTTTACTTTGCGAGGTAAGTTCATATAGTGATTATTGTCCTTTTTTCTACTGAAGGATCGGACATGCTAGTTTTGTTGCTGCTTCTTGCTTCCAGCTCATCCTATATTTCTCTCCAACGTTATCAACGGTATGTTAATCTTTCATTTAACTCTGCATGCAACCACGATTCATTATTTTTATAGGACCAAAATTTTGTAGAAAGTGACACTTTATATGGCTTGGTTCAGATTTTCTCAGTCGTGCAGATGTCTATGCTAGGACCACGCCTGATCCTTGGCGTCCGAGAACATAATGCTAAGCTAGTGGCTGACTCTGACGCAGCATCCCGCATGACCCCAATGGCTTTCCAAGAGCGTGTGCATATATCAACTAGCAGTAGTGTGTAATTCTCGCTGAAGTTGACGCGAACCGCGTTGTTGAGTGCTTGCAGGGAGCACGGGAAATTAGTTTTTTGTTTCTATTCCAAGCCTCGTTGCGGTACTCAAGTTGTTATTTAGTTTCACAAAATAGATGTCAAGGAGACAGGTTTAGACAATATTTTCGTCGCAGTATTTATTCGATCATTTGCTGTAAGTCTTGGCATTGACAAGGTTCCAACCAATGTCCTGGATATCTCTACTGTACCAACGAAGGAAAGGAATGTGCAGAACGGGAAAGTCGAGGAGCGAGAGATGTTTATGGGCGATGTCGCCGGAACGTTACATGCAAGTTTCTATTTGCTCCTGCTTCTCATCTTCGAGGACAACTCGTGACCCACCTGTCGTCGTATCGGAAGCACTATGGAATATTGACTTTCGTAATATGGTGTGGCCGTCTTGTAGCATATACAGGTATCATGCTTTTTCAGGCTTCATGAGCGCAGGCACGGACAGTAGTGCGCGCGTGTAAGCCCGTTGGCGTGAGTCAAGAATGGGAGGTTGAACGTCGAAATTGAATAATAGCATGCTATAGTACATGAATGAGTTGTGAAGATCTGATACAGACCACTGGATAGGCAGAGTGGTGATTGCGGGCTTTGTTGATCATGCGGCAAGGTCCTCGACATGCTCCTCACGTACTTCAACATTGCTTCGGTTAATTTAAGCATTCCAAAAAGCGAAGGAGACGCGTCTGGCAGGTGAAGGTGGGCCGAGAGTGTTCAATGAGTAATCAAATCTTCTAGGTAGAACGTAAGTAAGGACATCAAAGAGTATGGAGATGTAGTGCCTTGGTTACCTCAGGAATTACAATGGTTTCAGAATCCTTGGAACCGTCGTCTCGAGAGTCTTTGTCCTCGGGCAAATGGTTGCTTTGGTTAGGGAGCTTTGAACCAGGAGGATCGTTGCCGTCGTCCTCATGTTCACTTTCCGAGAGAACCGCTTTCCTTTTGCCTTTTGCCTTGGGTTTCGATTTCGATTTTGCAGCGGAGGTGGGTTTCGATAGTGCCTTCTTCTTCGATGTAACTTTCGGTTCCTCTTCCTCAACGAAATCGTCGTCTTTGAGGCAATTATTACCTGCAGCTGGCTCATCCGTGGGGGATTTGTGCGCAAGATGTCGGGTTCGACTCTGTCAGCCTGCTTCCGACCTTTTGTCTTCCTTTTCGCCCGAGAAGACAACTTTGTGTCCTTTTTATTGCCCTTGCTCGCAGTAACGATGTCTGCGTCCCTATTTTCGTCTTCGAGTGTGTGCGAATTGTCGATTTCTGGGACGACGAAGTATCGGGGACGTCTACATCCATCTCTTCGCCATGAACCTCTGACTGAAGCGGGGAAACCTTCTTCCGTTTATGAGTTATCTGGGGTGGAGAAGAGGGCGGAGAAGACAGATCGGGTAAAGCAGGAATAGAAGACGGGAGGCGCGATGTTGTAAAAGATAGTTGAGACGGAAGCACTGGCTCTTGCGGTGCAGGAAGAACCACAGTGTTACGCGGCTGAGTATCGACGATGCTTTCTTCAGGAACCTTGAGTGAAGGCGATATCCTAGCTTGAGGCTTCGGTTTAGGCCTGGGTCTGGGCTTGGGCTTGACGGGCTTGTCTTGGGATTTCTGCCGCTTCCGTGGAGGCTTGAGTGATAGTTCGTCGAGATCGGAGTCGGAAGTTAACTCTATCACATCATGGTTGACAGGCACGTAAGTCGGCTTCTTGACCCGAGTCTTTCGAGTGCGCGTCTTGGCTCGGTCGGCAATGCTAAACACAGGATCGACTTCATCGATGAGATCTGAAACTGCAGATGGTGTGGTTGGAGGGCGGATGCTGTCTGCAGCTAAGGCACTGGATTGGATTGCAGATGCAGAGCCGATGAGTGAGCCAGAGGAACGAAGTTCATCGTCTTTAATAAGTCGTCATATATGGTGCTCGTAGCTCGAGACTTTCGTGGCACAGGACGTGGGCGCGGTTTAGACTTCGATATAGGTATTCCAGCGCCACGAGGAAGTAACGGAGAAGAATTTGGTAGTTCAGAGTCTTGGTAGCCTGGAAGTGGTGTAAACAGAGACACATTACTTGTGCCGAGAGGCTGGCGTCCTCGCTGGGGAGTCTGTGCTTGACTGGTAATGAACGAAGCAGTGTGAATTGTTGACGCTGCAAATCCGTGTCCAGTTAGCATGCGGTGTAGGACATGAAGCTTAAAGAATTCCTAACGCTGTAGTATGTTTTCCGGGCCTGTAGAAACGGAGTTCCGCTCAAGGGGCTGCTTTGATCAGCAATTTGTAGAGGTCGTAAATCATCTTCGTCTTCGTTGTCAGCGACAATCCAGTCGTCTGTAACATCGGTCATGTTTTAATTGAATGAGGTTTGCAGTGATTATACTGGGTGTACACTGTAAATTTAAGAACAGTAAAGACAGTGACCACATGCACGTGATCGCGTCACTCATGAATCCGAAGGACCGAAAGTGGGACTTTACCATGACAATACAGCATCGCCAGCGCTATACTTCTCAGAATCAGATCAATCAAGTACTGATTCATCGCCATAGCATGGCCAGAAATCGGTGATATTTGTGTTACGAAATGTGTTCACATTTGGTGCCAACACGGCCCTGCTTCTGCCAAAGTGGAATCTAGCCTATCTATTGCGTCCATGTCAACACCTCAGAACAACTACTGATCAAGCTCAAGTTTGTACCGTTCCTTTCTTCGCGTTATCCCATGCTAACGAGTTATTGTACCTCCGAATTTCGTACTCGTCTGCTTGCGAAGAGTTATAATGTAACACTCTAGGCAAGGAACAAATTCATCAATTTTCTATATATAAAGAATGCAAGAACCGCAGCTGCAACTGGAGTGCACAAATATTTACCTTGATGATACTTCGGTTGCCAAAATATAGCGAGCGCGGATAGTACTTGGCATACCTACATATAGCGCGAATGTCACCGCTATACGTTTACCAAGTCCACCTCTCACCCACTCTCTAACAATATGACTATAGTCTCAAATGATCCCACTTGGTGGCTGACCATCGATGTATATCGTTTTGCCAGCTATTTTGGAGGTTCGTAGAGAGCAGTCGCATGTCGAAGCTGATGTCTCAATCTGACCTTGGCTTCGGTTTTGCAGTTGCCGCTTTCATTGCAGTAACATATGATTGGGGTGAGCATGATAACATTAAAGAACTAATGATGTCTCACAAGTATTTTTCAGCACTAACATTTGGACAAGAGGTATTTCAATACCATCACCGGAACCCGTCTTGCTAATAATTTTTTTGCAGGTCGAATTGGTGTGGGTGAGTACGGTCTTATTCCAGAGGAGCATACATGAAAGTACACTTAATTACAGAGACAGCGGTGGTCGCTCATGACAGTTATGTACCTCAGTGTATGTAGCTCGTTTGTTGTAGTTGCCATTTTGTGCTGACTTGAAAGTATCCTACTAGGTACGCTACCTTGGGATCCTATCTGCTGCGTATGTTCGGAAGGCTAAACATCTGGTGTTGTGCTAATCGTCTATCTCTTATAATGAGTCTGTACATGGCTGGTATGTATCCTTAGCACATTCACAGTCTTCTCTTCTTCTGACCAACGGCATTCAGGCGGTGTTCCGACCATCTCGCTGACAGATATAGTGAGTCTTCTGTATAAATCCCTGCCATTCCCATCAAATTAACCGCGGTATTCTGTAGCAGTGAGTGCAGTTCTTTGCTGACTTCTCAGTCCACTAATGGCTGCCACGCTATACTACCAAAGATGTGAGTCTATTGAGTGTGTGTGCTACCTGAGACTGGTGACTGACCGGATTTGTCAGGCTGGATGATGTACATGATATGGGTTTGGACGAGTGTTGTGGTATCTGCGTTGCTGTGGGGTGAGCTTTGCGCTTGCGAGACATCAGTGATATCGACTTGACTGAAACATGTTACAAGTCATCATCATCACTCGGTTGCATGCCATGTATCAAAGATCCAGAAAGATCCTAATATTTCTCGTTGTCGCCTTCCTGGCTGTCAACACTTTTGGTGCAGTGGCCGCCACAATGACAACGATGCATACTTCAGGAGGTGCGTTTAATTATGGATGGAAACGAACGTGCATAGGGCTCATTGTTGGATACCAGAGGTATCCATTCTCTTCGGCACCTACCAGTGCGCGATTAGCTATACAGGAGATCTCACAGCTCTGTCTTCTGCTGTTTGGATACTCTCCGTTGTATGGGAGGTCCTCGCACTATGTCTCGCAGTCTGGATTGCGGTGAAGCACTTCCGTGAACTGCGATTACGTTCGGCAGGAGGGATTATCGGGGACTGTTTTACGGTGTTGATGAAAACTCATGTGCTTTACTTTGCGAGGTAAGTTCATATTGTGATTATTGTCCTTTTTTCCACTGAAGGGTCGGACATGATAGCTTTGTTGCTGTCTCTTGCTTCGAACTCTCTATGATTTTCTCTGCAACATTATCAACGGTATGTCGATCTTTCACTTACCTCTACACGTGCATGTAACCACTGGCTATCATTTCTATAGAGCCAATCCCTCCTGGAATATCAGACTTTGTCTGGCATGTCTCAGATTTTGGAGGTCGTGCAGATGTTCGTGCTAGGACCACGCCTGATCCTTGGCATTCGAGAATATAATGCCAAACTCGTGGCTGACTCCGACGCAGCAACCGGCATGACCTCAATCGCCTTCCAAGAGCGTGTGCATATATCGACCGGCAGTAGTGTGTAATGCTCGGTGAAGTTGACGCGAACCATTGTCGACGTCTAGTGCTTGCAGGGAGCACAGGAAATTTGTTTTTGTTTTGTTTCTATTCCAAGCCTCGTTGAGGTGCTCAAGTGGTTATTTAGTGTCACAGAATAGGTGTCAAAGAGACAGGTTTAGGCAATATTTTCGTCGTAGTATTTATTCGAGTCATTTGCTATATATATATGTCTTGACATTGACAATATTTCAACCAATGTCCTGGATATCTCTACTGTACCAACGAAGGAAAGTAGTGTACAGAATGGGAAAGTCGAGGAGTGAGAGATGTTTGCCGCCTGGAACGTTAGATGCAAGTTTCAATTCACTCCTGCTTCTAGATCTCATTGATGCATCTGAGACTCTTAACCCCCCACCATTTCAAGGACTCGTCAATTCACTGATACTCATGCTGTGTCACGGTCATCCGATGATTCCACCAAGTAGGACCCTTTAAGGGCCAGGTGAAATTGACGTGGCCCTGCCGTGCCTGCCGCGGTTGTGACGCGCCTGTGACGCGGCACTGACGTGGCCACCTGGCTTTCCCAATAAGTAAGCCTTATTAAGCTTGGTGAATATGTGTCTCGCCAAGTTTAATTAGGCTCGGATGTAGTCAAACTCCAACACCAGCATTAAGTCCTGCCCCAAAGGCCCTTTTTACCTTCTATCCCTACCAGCCAGCCCACCCAAAAGAGTAAGCGGTCCTCGGCTATATGTCCTGCCCTCTCTCACTGTCGGCACTGTCCATAACATCCCCAATTTATCCGAATCTCGCCCAACAACGGCTTCCCACGCCCCTCTGTTCTTACTTCCACACCGTCGACATCGCTGGGCGGTATAGCCAATGATCGTCAGCAATATAAGTGGCTGGGCACTACTCTAGCCATTGCTCTAGCCCTTCTGCAAGCTTACTCTCTCGAAATACTTCCCGGATCTTGTCCTATCGACCTGCCTGTCGTGTATGCTGTCCTCATTCCTTCCCCCGTCAGAGGGCGCTCAGACCATGCTATCACTTATGTCCTGTGGGGCGGGTTCTTCCAGGCTCAAAGGCCTCTCTAAATCTGTCATCTCCCACCATTTCAGAGGATGGAATCACCAGTCTCGTGTGTTGATGGCTGGCAGGCAAACCCAGTGCCTCGAGGCAGCCGCAGTAAGTCGCCAGGCTCATATTCAAGGTACATACTGTAGAACATTTCCTCGCTGTTTCTCACTCATCATTTCCGTGCAGAAATGTCGGCTGAGGACTGCGAGATGGTTGAGGACATGATGGACGACTATGGTGTGAATATCGAGCTGTTACCCTACACAGCACCCCCGGGCGAAGAGGGTTTGGACTTGAGTCACGAGGGAGGCGAATATGAGGCTTTTGAAGGTCTTGCGCATGAAATTGCTGGCATCAGCGGATTGTAAGTGTTATTCCTTCACTATCTGCGTGATCACATTAACAACACTCAATTCTAGCCACTATGTAGACCCTCGCACTCGCACAGACCGCATCGAAAATCAAACAAATCACTGGAACGTTCAAATGGATCTCCTGGTGGAGGCATATCTAGACTACCGCTACCGAGACTCTGGCAATGGCATGCCCCACCTTGACGAAACACGTGCACCATCACCTTCAGACATTTTGGACGACACTCAACATGTTTCATTGAGCGATATTGAGCTCATTGACATCTTTAGTATGTATAGACGTCCTTGTTTGTGATTATTAATTTATTTGTACACAGAGCGAAAGTGTTCGTCTCTTCAATCACAACCTTTTCATAAATATCCCAACGAAACGTTAATATACCATGGTTATATCGGTTGTGCACCATTGCATCCGAGTGTCGCCATATCTCTGCGAACTCTAGCTGCATACCGCCAGACACACCGAGTGTGTCCAACATTTAGTTTTCAAGCACAGTGCAAAACGCTCTGCTTTCTTCATGATGTAAGTACATGCCTCAGTAATTATGTAACTTTTAATAAAGTTGCTCTCACAGATCCCTTACCGCTCTTACCTCACCATGCAACTATCAGCTGCTTTTGATGCATATGTTGAAATTCTTCATCGTGTTGATCAGCGTCTTTGCACAGCCCTCAAATGCAATACTCCGCATTGGCGCCTTCTCAACTCATGCCCAGCATGTTTCTATGTACTCGAGGACGAGCCTAAACTGGAATTCGACTGGCTCGTGTCAATCGACGGCAACAACAGTCTGAAGAGGTGGGACTCTACAATATATGGGATGAGTGCACGACTAGACTCTCATAAGGCTCGCTCTGATTTTTGGATCGATCCTGGGACTGTAAACAAGTTTAATGGTGAAGTCCAACCATGAGCGGTACGTGTTCATCGATTGCTTGATAACCCTCTGAATATGATGTATAGGTGGCGCCAGAAGAAGGCAGTAATTGGGAGGATGATCTGGCAGTTGAAATCAACCCTGGTTCATTCAGCTGTGCAGATTGGTGGAAAAACGCCGGCCCCGAAGTATGCAAGAAGATGTTCTCGGTATTTGATGAATCAGGCATTTTCATAGCTGCATGTCGTCATCGCTTCGTACTTCTAGCTTGCGACATGATCCGAAGCGGAGAATTGTAGGTTTATTTTTACTTGTCAACTAAGCTTTACTGATATATTAGGTCGAAATATCCGCTGGCCATTCTCGATAAGCTCCTTGCTGTCTATGGCAAGAACAGAGCTTGTGCTTATGATATTGGATGTGCATTTACAAAAACACTAGGTAATAGTTCTCTGGGGCCACAAGCGCACCAGCTTGGCTTTCGTCTCATGGTCGGTGCCTTCCACAGGCATGCTCACAATTGGAAATGTCAGCTTGATTGGCATCCAGTATATATTACGGGAACTGGACACAGCAAAGGAGAGGGCTGCGAATATATATTTTCAGCATCAAATGCACTTGCTCGTGGCACCCGACATGCAAGCACGTTCCACCAGCACCAGATGATCGAACAACACTTTACAGTTTTGGAACGATGATAAATATGCCACTCTTAGTAAGCTCTTTCCAACCTTGTTCCTCGATGATGAAGTTATTTAATGTCCGTTAGGCAACTTTCTGTGGAACCACTATCGAGAAGCTCTTAAATCGGTTCAAATCCTCACTGCTGAGTTGACTGCCATCAAAGCCAAACTGAATATTGTTGATGAAGACTTCCCTTGCTACCTCCAGGAAGAACACGCCTATCTTGATAGCTTGAAGCAGCTACCTGCAAGAGACCAGATCTGTATACGCTATGTTGAAGCGCTCGATGAACTAGCCGAACGAAGGTTAGTACTATGTGTTATTTTGCTATGTAAATGTATCTAACTTGAAAATATTAGGACCAATTGGGACTCAGCGCGCCACACAGCCAATAATGCCCTTACCGGCATCACTGCATCAGGAAAAAGGGATTTGCCATTTTTGGCTTTATATTCAAATAGAGCCACAATGAGCTATATTTGAATATATGTATGCTATAGTTGCAACTTGAATGATATTATAGTTAGACTCTTTAGGAAAAAGGATATTTGCTCATTTAATGTATCTAAATCAGTGACTATAGTTGATTATAGTTGACTGTAGTCAGCTTTTCGTCGGAAAAAGTTCCCACGGTCAAAGTGCTTTCTTGAACCATCCACTTTCGAGTATTTTGCTTATAACTCACTAGGATCTTAATCTATTGATGTCATAAGACTATGGCTAGACTTTCCTTGACAAGGGCTATAATTTTGATTTTCATCGGAAAATGTTCCCACGGTCAAAGTGCTTTCTTGAACTGTCCACTTTCGAGTATTTTGCTTATAACTCACTAGGATCTTAACCTATTGATGTCATAAGACTATGGATAGACTTTCCTTGACAAGGGCTATAACTTTGATTTTCATCAGAAAATGTTCCCACGGTCAAGTCAGCAAAATGCGAAAATTCACCAAGTCAAAATTCACTAAGTCTTGTGATGTGGCTTTGTTTGGCACAGCTTATATAAGCAAAAGTGCGGTCAACCACAAGTCTTTTCCCACCTTTTCCTTCCTTTCCCACCTCCTCATTCTCCTTCTACTCCATAATTTTCGCATTTTTGGGTATTTGGTAAGTCTTTTTTTCTTCTTTTCCTTCCCTCTCTGACCCTCTCCTCCTAGCTCCTTCCTTCCCTCCTCCTCCTCCTCCCACCACTCAATAATTTTCGCATTTTTGGGTATTTGGTAAGTCTTTTTCTCTTCTTCCTCTTCCCTCTCTGATACCCCTTCTTCTAGCTCCTCATTTTCGCACTTTTGAGTATTTGGTGAGTCTCCTCCTCCTCTTCTTCCTCTTCCCTCTCTGACACCCCTTTTTCTAGCTCCTCATTTTCGCACTTTTGAGTATTTGGTGAGTCTCCTCCTCCTCCTCCTCCTCCTCCTCCTCCTCCTCCTCCTCCTCCTCCTCCTCCTCCTCCTCCTCCTCCTCCTCCTCCTCCTCTTCTTCTTCCCTCTCTGACACCCCTTCTAGCCCCTCCTCCTCCTCCTCCTCCTACTATAGGCTCATCCTCTCCAATTTTCGCATTTTTGGCTATTTAGTAAGTCCCTTTTAATTTTCCTATCTTTCCTCTCTGTCTGACTCCCTCTTATACTAGTAGCCTTCTGCCCTTCTCCTCCTCCTCCTCTCTTAATTTTTGCATTTTGCCTCTTTTGTAGTTAGTAGTTTACATCTGTTGTAGTAGTTACTTGAAATATTACTTGAATTTTTCCTTTTTTGGTGTTTTGACTAGAATATAAATGCAAATATAGTGAACTAGGGGAAAAAAATCAAGGTGCCTCCAAATTTTGGCAGTTGAATATATGTGCTACTGGGTACACAAGTTAACTATATGTGACTATATGTCCTCTCTATAGAGGGGGGGATTGCTTTAGATGCTATGATGTCTATAGACACTATATATTCATATATAGTGCTATATGAGCTATTATAGCAATAACCCTTTTTCCTGATGTGCTGGCAGCTTGGAGAAGATCAATCAAGCACTCGCCCAAGCTCGTGTCTGTGTTGACTCCTCATATGCAAAATTACAGCATGCTGAAGCGCTAGTGGCACATGTAGAAATACAGCTAGCTGTGGAAGCATGATGGGAGATAGGCGGGCCAGAATACAGCCAATTTAAGATGAAGGCACGTCTTGGAAAGTATTGCACTGCACTCAATGAGTTGGAGTGCCTAGTAGTCATGCGATTATTCGAGCTTTCTAAACTGTCGTTGTCAGGGACAGGTGAGTTGCGAGTTGCGATTAAAAATCTGTTGACATATTTTTATAGGGTATAAGCTACGTCAGCAGATCAGCAAGGCCCTGCAACAGTGTTCTGAGGCTATCCGAAATGCAATCAATCGCTACAATATCCAGGCAGTTGCTCTAAATCCCCTGCGTCCGAAGATTTCATGGAAAGATATTGCTGACTACAGCTTTCTTGGCGAGTTTGATCTTTTACGCCATTCACGCACTGATATTCGGACCAACAATTGGGCAAAACCAGCCCATCGCGAAGCGACTACTAAGTATTTCAAATTATCTCGAGCTCATGAAGAAGTTATGCGACTTAATGTTGAAATTCGCCGCTTACGCACTGCCATTCACACTGAAGAAATTCAAACAACTGCTGTCATCCAGGATCTACTCATTTCGGATCCAAGACTTGCTCGCGAGCTGCAGCACCATTGGCGTTCATGTGCTGCTATCAATGCAGTACATTCCTATCGCTTAGATCATATCGAGAGCCTCCATGGATTCTCAGGTGTTAGGGGTGTAGGTGTCCGTATTCCAACAACTGCCGCACAACATACTTCAACGACTCTTGACGACCATGCAGATTCAGGCAAGTTTTTCTTTAATTGCACGAATTTCAAGCTAATTCATCTTACAGCAGGAATGCAGAATGTTGATGACATCGATGTCCATGTTTCAACGACTGCCGCCCAGCATACTTCGACAACTCTCAACAATCATCCAGAGTCAGGCAAGTGTCTCTCTCATCGCACAATTTCAAGCTAATTTATCTCACAGCAGCAACGCAGAATGTTGATGACATTGGTGCGATCATCAGCTCTGACTATACTGACATGGATGCTATTGATCGCAAGGAGCATGACATGACAACGGAGGATATGGCCGATTTTTTACATTCCATCATTGACTGACGTGTTTAGTTGACTGCTTTTTACATGTAGTTATTATAGTTGAATATACTTCAATGACTCCCAGTACTGCCACACAGTACGAGTGTGTCATGAACCAATACACCCAGCATACTTTAACGACTCCCAGTACTACCGCACAGTACGAGTGTGTCATGAACCAATAGAGCGGCCATCTCAAATGATATATAGAGTAGCTGTGCTTCCGCATGCATGCCAGTATGATTGACACTGGCATGATCAACCCCTTTCACATAGTATGATTGCCATAATTCAAATCAAGCAGTAGTAAATGTAAATCTTGCGTGATCTCTCTTTGTAAATGCAAGACTTGGATTGACATTGGTCCAAAGGTTCTTCATAGACATTCAAAGACATTTTGAATGCCTTTGAATGCCTTTGAAGAATAACTGATTGATCTCAGGCAGTGAGATTTGAAGTTTGAATCCAACTTCCCAAATCAGCAGTACCAGTAACGCCTTGCACATTGCAACTTGCCGCATGTCCTCCACCCATCATTGATGCTACAAGCCCTTCCTGTCTTATCCTTCAACTTAGACATCTTGGTCTGTTCATGATTGTTCATGCTATGACATATTCAAAAATGAGGCCATTTGCGAATTCCAAGGTAGAGTCTTCACAGTTTAATATTTTGCAATGTTACTCAATCTGCATTATCTAACACCTTTAGCCCATTTATATTCATCTACAAATCTTTGTATCCGCTAGTAGCACTCTCAGGTCTTCTCCCACTACCATAGAGTCTGCAATGAGCTCATGCCGTTTCACCATGCCTGATCTTGCTATGCTACACTCTTCGACATTTGTGCAGGGTTTCAGCAACAACGAACGCCAGGCTGCTGCCAGGGCATTGCTTAGGCACAACGCACACGTTGATGGTACTCACTATCAAACCAAGACACCTGGTGGACTTCATCCATCCTACATCGCATTCCATTCTACTACTGCTCAACAGCCGAACTCAGGGAGAACTCTCTCTTGCAAAGAACTAATTGATGCAACACTACAGGATGTATTTGATGCGGTGAGTAAAGTTATTATTTTCCCAGCTAAATCTTATATGTTTTAGATTGCAATGCAGGACCGTCTCGATGGTGGCATATCTTTGCTTGTTCGATGTCCAGGCTCTGAAGCAGGCCCGACAATATCTCCCAAACAAATTGGTGTCGACCTGTACATCACACCTCAGGAGTTGCAAGAAGTACCTCAGCAGATAGGGGGAGATGTTGCTGTATTAGTGCAATCATTCTCTCAAGAGTTCGCAGTACCTCATCTGCAGCGCTTCACCAAGCGCTGCAACATAGAAAATATCAAACCGCCGAAGCACTGTAAGTCCCTCTGTTGTTGTTTTTTCAATTATTGATTAGTTCTGAAGTCCCCGCAACTAACATTAGTACCGATGGACCACAGTATCTCCCTGCACCTCTTGTTGCCACCAGTGCCCATATCATGTGCTCTGCGCAAGCACCCAAGACCTTTGTGAAGAACTTGCAAACTTTGTCTCTTGCTCACGCAGACTCAAAGAAGCTGCTGTCTGCAGTGATTCGTGAGGGTGTTGAATGGGCAGCAAGTGTTGCCACCAAGACCAGTAATCTAACTCCACGTTCGCAGATTCGCCAACGCCGGCAAGCAGAAGTATTTGTTGCCGATAGAGACCCTGGCCCAACCTTTTCGGCTCAGCGGGAACTCGCTCGTGATGCCACGAGTTTTAATCCACCACTCATTAGTATCGGACCCAATACAGACGCCATTCTAGATCGCTTCAAATTGGGTGATGAGGTCTTACCCAAGCTACGTCTGCTAATCCAAACTGTGCACAGCAGTCATTGGGAGTCCATCTTGAGGGCTCAGGCATGGGACCTGCCTTATGAACAAGCTGCACTCTTGTCAAGGGCACTGCTTGCGGACCTTCAAGGTGTGCCGTTCAACCCTGAGATTGTTAAGGTTCACAATTCAAATCTATGCCTGCATAGTGCTAGTGCTAAAGTAACTGGCTGCTAGCGTCAATGTTCCATTCTCTCGGTGATTTTAAAATGCCTTGGTATTCTAGTGTTTTTATGCATGCTTTACCTCTTTAGATTGTTTATCATCTTGTAGATTATGCCGGAATCTTATTTTGCAACATGTCATTTCGATGTGGCCCAACCATAAATCGTGGATCGGGGGGACAAGTCAATGTCTCCATGTGTTAAATATTCGAACACAAGCTGGACTTCTGATCACTAACTTCCCTTTGTTGTTTTTCTATAGACAATGTCATCTCAATCTTTGTACACCAACAAGAACAACAAGAATGCCCTGAGGCGCATTCAGATGCAGCCTCGCATCCGTCCCAAGGTCGTTTTGAGTAAGGAAGCACGCAGCATGCTTAACGCCAACCGACGGACCAAGTCCCATCAGTTCAAGGTTGCACTTGATGACACTTGGAATCAGATTGACGATGCTACGAAGACCATCGCTTCAGCCCACCATAAAAGTGTTCGCCGCGTGCAGAATGACTTGTACATTGGTCATGGAATACTTCACTCTAGGCGCTCCAAGCTGAATGCGTGGAATGCGTTCTGTTGGAAAAAAAACCAAAACAGTGAGAATCGTTAGTTCAGTTTCTCCCTCACTATTCATTCACTAATTGTATCTGCTACAGGTGACCAAGGCAGACGCGCACTCGAGCAGCTTGTTCATGAGCATAAGGCCGAGTACTATACGCTCTCAAAGGAAGAACAACAAGACCTGGTCAAGGAGTATGCCGAACAGAAGTTGACAAAGATGACTGGTTTCCGCACCTCCACCAAGTCGAAGATCAACGATATTACTCAAACTCTAAAGGCCGTTGAAAATGAAGTACGTGTCCCCTACTGTTTTTCATCTTGTAGTCTCACTAATGGTAATTTTAATAACTAGCTCAATAGCTTGAACTGTCGCACAGGTGCAGAAATTATTCTATATGTGACGCATGGGTCAACCGATCTCCCCCTCCGAGGCATAACCTTTGCAACAGAAGGTGTACAACACTTCATGCAGTCTGTGATGAGTATCGACAATCAAGATTTGATTAATAAAATGGAAGGTTTTGCTGTCCAAGGCATGAGAGGTTCGTGGCTGTGGCTCTTTGTTCTTCTCGCTCTATGTTAATTTACATCCAGGGGCTGCTAAAAATCACAAACAACGTGTCTCTGACATATGCTTGTCCATCCACGACATTATCAACCGCACTCTTCATAAGTTCCTCCTCCTCTTTTCTGGTACATTCACTTACACTGTATTATAGGAGAGGTCACTGGCGACTCCGATGCCAAGATGCAATGGGCTTATTATTTTCGGAATGTTGTTCAACATTACCAAGTTGTCATAGATGGGTGGCCCGAAAGTGTTCCGTTTGCGAACCTCAGCAAGGTATCTAGCACCCTCCCTGAGCTTGAGATGCTCCTTCGGAAGTGGGAGTTGGGTACCACACGTTGGAAGACTTTGACTGACGAAGATTTTGAGAAAATCCATCTAGAGCATAACAAGAAGCTCGAGAGTGGTGAGATCGAAGATACTCGCCGACGGATTCGATCTGACAAAGGCAAGAAACGTAAGAGGCCAGCAGCCACTGATGGAAACTCGACTAGCCGCAAGAAGTACAAGAGTGTAGAAACTATCGAAGACACTGACAAGGAAAATGACAAGGAAGAGGAAGAGGACACTCCTCATCAGCCGTCTGATAGCACTTCCAACACCACCCCTACCCCTCATGTACCTGGCAGTACTCAGTCCAGCAACGAATTCGACGCTCTTGCTCTTTCACATTCTAACTTCGACATTCCACCTTTTGACGATTCTATCTTCAATGACTCTACCTCCAATGGCCCTCCCTTCGACTGTGAAGCTGCATTGGCTAAGCTAGACCAAATCTTTGGCCCCATACCCCAGGATGGCCCATCAACCATTGTGCCATCATCTGTTGGCCGTGGTCTTGACTTTCCTGTGTTTAACTTCTCTAACTGTGATATATTCAGCTCTACGTCCTGATACTTTTGCCTCGTATATTTAAACTACTCTATTGAATGCATGCCGCGCTATGTTCTCACCTTCAATTGTTTTGAATATTTAGACTATGCTACTGAATGTATGCCGCTCTATGTTCTCAACTTCAATTGTTTCGAATCTTTTCACTCCTTACTTTGACAAGTCAACCTTCAGACACGTAGTAGTGATAACATATGTTTTGCTTGATTTTATTAACTTCGCAAAAGAACATAAGTGGGTGGTAACATCATAAACTCCAGTAGGGTAATCACATCGAAAGAACATGGTTATCTCACTCTTGGCGCAGAAACAGCGAGAAGAGAGCGAGAACAGTAGGGAAAATCATAGGGTAACGGCTCAATATTCACACCATAGTCGTCCATCATGTCCTCAACCATCTCGCAGTCCTCAGCCGACATTTCTGTGCGGAAATGATGAGTGAGAAACAGCGAGGAAATGTTCTACAGTATGTACCTTGAATATGAGCCTGGCGACTTACTGCGGCTGCCTCGAGGCACTGGGTTTGCCTGCCAGCCATCAACACACGAGACTGGTGATTCCATCCTCTGAAATGGTGGGAGATGACAGATTTAGAGAGGCCTTTGAGCCTGGAAGAACCCGCCCCACAGGACATAAGTGATAGCATGGTCTGAGCGCCCTCTGACGGGGGAAGGAATGAGGACAGCATACACGACAGGCAGGTCGATAGGACAAGATCCAGGAAGTATTTCGAGAGAGTAAGCTTGCAGAAGGGCTAGAGCAATGGCTAGAGTAGTGCCCAGCCACTTATATTGCTGACGATCATTGGCTATACCGCCCAGCGACGTCGATGGTGTGGAAGTAAGAACAGCGGGGCGTGGGAAGCCATTGTTGGGCGAGATTCGGATAAATTGGGGATGTTACGGACAGTGCCGACAGTGAGAGAGGGCAGGACATATAGCCGAGGACCACTTACTCTTTTGGGTGGGCTGGCTGATAGGGATAGAAGGTAAAAAGGGCCTTTGGGGCAGGACTTAATGCTGGTGTTGGAGTTTGACTACATCCGAGCCTAATTAAACTTGGCGAGACACATATTCACCAAGCTTAATAAGGCTTACCAGTCCTATATTGTTGCATTACCTCTAATCCATTCATCTATGTTGGTTTTCAGATGCAGTGTCAAATGTTGTCTCACTGCGTCAAGCTTCGACCTCACCCTGCCAAGTTTGATCCACTCTCTATACCCTGCACCACCACGTCAAGCCCCAACCCCAGTGAAAACGGGCTCTGATGGGAAAGGTCCAGAGATGTTGAAATACGAATTACCTGTTTTGTACTGTGCTGAAAAGTGCTTCTTTGTGATATACTACGTACTAGTAGATCTCCTTTACATCGCACTTTGCTTATCGTTATCTTTTTACAACTTTGCATTGTAAGGTCACATCAAACACAGACTTCGTATCACAACGCACAATAATGCAACGTTGTGCCTTCGCATTGTTGTGTCGTAAACAATGTTTTGTCTACGCTTTCAGGTGAGTATCATATGTATTAGTATCTGGTTATAACTTATTTGCCTATCTAACTTAGAACTAGAATGGATATCGACCAGGCTGGCGCTCGTTTTTTTTGCGTCTGCACTAAGTATAATCACGGGCAGCCTCACGAAGTCTCGTACACGTCCTGGTACCGACATCTCAATGAGGCAACCACTGAAGAAGAAAAGCAGAAGATGCACACTGTGAAGGCATTTGGATTGGAAGCGCTAACTATTCCAGATCCTCCTGCACAAGCCTCAGGCAGTTCCAGACATCCACCTAGCACTGGTGGTCTGGAGTCAGACAGTGCTCGTCGTGCTGCCACCTTGAGAGAACTTGCGAAACGAGCACGTGAGAGTGCAGATTCTCAACACTTTGTAGGTCGACGCAAGCGGGCCAAGACTGTGCAGCCTGAACAAGTGGTATGTCTTTATATTCAAACAAACAAATATCTGATTATCATTTTAAAGATCCCTCCAGACGACGAACTTCCTCTCCCTCCAGACAACGAACCTCCTCTCCCTCCAGACGATGAACTTCCTCTCCCTCCAGACAACGAACCTCCTCTCCCTCCAGATAACGACCCTCCTCTCCCTCCAGACGACGAACCTCCTCTCCCTCCAGACGACGACCCTCCTCTCCCTCCAGACCATGAGCCCCCCCCCAATTAAGTTGATACTAGCCCGTAGGCCACAGTCAAACATTGATGTTGACAACTTAGCACAGCGTGCTGTGCTCCAGAAAATGAAGGACTCTATGGAGTTTGTTCTGGCACTCAAGAATGCATCTTTGGATGATCCACTTGCCAAGCTCAGTGATGATGTTCTGGATAGACTGCGGAATCCGCCTCAAGGGCCCATCATTATCGACAGCCCTGGTGTGCGCCAGAGCATCTCTATGTACCTAGCACTTGAACATGGCTCTCAAGAGGCGTACAATTGAATGCGGAGAGCCACCATGCGCAATTTTGAGGGTGCTAATGGTACTGAAGAGATCCTCAGTTTCTACAACGTCGAGAAGCTTATTCACCAGCACACTGGTGTTGAATCGATTGATCATGACATGTGCCCAGAGTCATGTTTAGCATTCACAAGCCCATTCGCCCATCTGGAGAGCTGTCCAATGTGCAGCTCATATCGATGGGATCAAGCAAAGTTACGAGCAAGTAATGGATGAACGAAAGTTGCAGCGCAGACATTTGTCACTATCCCGCTTGGTCCCCAGCTACAAGCTCTGTATCATGACCCAGATAGTGCACGTCATATGCGATACCTTTGGGAGCGAACTCAGGAGGTTCTAAATGGTCTGAGGCAGACAGGAGAGGTTCCTGTTGTCGTCGACATAGCCATGGGGTTTGATATTCTAGGTGCTGTGCTTGATGGCGAGATCAAACGGGATGACATCGTATTGATGGTCTCACTTGACAGTGCGCAGCTGTATGAGAGCAAGACATCTGATTGTTGGATTTATATATGGGTTGTTCTCAATCTGTCTCCTGACAAGCGCTACAGAAAAGTTCACGTTCGCCCTGGTGGCTTTATACCAGGGCCGAATAAACCTAAAAATGTTGACTCGTTTATTGTTGTTGGAATGCATCATCTCGCCACACTCCAACGTGAATCTCTCACTATCTGGGATGCCTCTCATAACGACATCATCAAATCAGACCTCCATCTCATTTTCACGACAGCAGATGGCCCAGGGCTTGTGTATTGGGACGGGATGGTAGGGCACAGCGGGAAGAACAGATGTCACATGTATTGTGGACTGAGAGGGAGGTGCAAAACTTGCGGCACTCATTACTATCCAGCACTTCTGAAACCATGTGATCGCTGTGTCGCAGGAAGTGACCACGCTGATATAGATGTATTCACCATCCCACTCGGTGGTGCTGATGACTATGCCAAAAATCTTGAGCTTATCATGACTGCCCCAAGCCAACGCCAATACGAACTCAAGAAGACAGACACTGGACTAACGAAACCCCCATTAATCCTTGGTCTCAGTCCCCAGCGCTGCCTCGGTGTTCTGCTATGCATGACGACTGACATAATGCATCTTGCAGGCAACCTGAGTGATCTTCTTCTTGCGCTATGGCGCAGCACAATGGACTGTGCACCAACCGACAACATCAACACCTGGGACTGGGCCGTCTTGTGTGATGGAGATGGCTGGATTGCACACGGAAAGGCTGTGGAGGACGCAGGGCCATATCTTCCAGGCTCATTTGATCGGAAACCTCGGAATATCGCCGAGAAGGTCAACACTGACTACAAGACATGGGAGTTTCACCTATATACCTTTGGCCTTGGTCCTGTGCTGCTCTACAACATTCTGCCTGAGCCCTACTGGCTCAATTACACCAAGCTCGTGCGCGGGTTTCAAATTATGAGCCAGCATAGTCTCACAGCAGAAGATCTTGCTGACACATTCATTCTCCTTGGTACTTGGGAGCAAGAGTTTGAGACCCTCTATTATCAGCTTAGAGAGGACCGTTTACATTTTGTGCGCCCATGTACCCACCAGACCAGTCACCTCGTGACAGAAACAGTTCAAAGGGGCCCCCCGATCTGCTATGCCCAATGGATGATGGAACGTACCATTGGGAACCTTGGTCAGGAAATCCGGCAACCTTCTCAACCATATGCAAACTTGTTGCAGCAGGGACTACGACGGTGTATGGTCAACACACTCCTATCTACAATGCCTGATCTCAACGAACCTTGCAAACGTCTTTCAGACACTGCTGCTGATCTAGGAGATGGGTATGCTTTGCTTCGAAAGAGAGATAGGTATGCAAAGCTCCCTGTTGGAGAAGAGGCACAGGCTATATCTGAGTTCCTTGAACCCAATCACCCACTCCCTCGCATCAAAAAATGGTCACGACTTCTATTACCAAACGGCCAAATTGCGCGCTCTGCCTGGAGGGAGAAGCTGAGGTCACTCGACAAGACGCGGATGTCCCGTAATGTCAAAGTACAGTTTTTTTACTACAGTCGTACATCACATTCTAATATAATTTGATTTCTTGCAGCTATTAATCAATAGGCAGATACGATTTGCGGAAGTTCTGTACTATACGAGACTAGCAGTTGCCGAACCAGACACAGACGATGTGGATGACAACGCCAGTTACCACTTCATTGACATCGCTGTCGTTCAAATGTACTCTCCCCCTGATGATCCACTTTTACGGCTCTCATCTCAGACAGTCGTTTCATGCACACTCCTCGACGAAGTCTCTGTTGTCAATGTCAAGGAAATCATGAGCGTTGTCGCCATGATCCCACATGAACCAAGACTGCCTTCAGGCATTACCGAGGACCGCTTTTTCATGCTAGAAAAACCAGGGTTAGACATCGCAAATTTTGGGGCTTCACATGAAACTCTTGGAGATGATGCAGAGGATGATGAAGATGCTAATATCGAGTAGTTGTTAGATTGACATTATTGATACATTATGGGAGTTCTGCGTCAATGAAAGCTTCTATTCGAGTTCCAGATGTTGAACAAGAAGTAAAGACAATGATCTACAATGATTGGAGTTCTAGACATCGAGCAACGAGCAAGAAATTACGACAATGAGCTACAATAATAATCGCACAATGAGTTCTTCACAAGCAACAACAAAAACATCAGACTCTACGACGCTTCATAGCACACTCGAATATCTCAATCTCTTCAAGTTCTTTACGTTTGCATTCCTGCACAGCACGATCTCATTTGTTGGCCTCGATGGGAATATTCTTTGCATCGAAGGGGCGCACAATGTATTGCCAAGGTGCGAAGTGATCTGTTGGGTCCGGGTTTGGGTTTTGAGCTTGTCTGGTAAGGGTGCGACATGGTGATACAATACAAGTCCTATGAGAGTGGTGCTAAAAATTCAGATGTCAGTCACAAATATACACAGCAAGCAACACACTGAGGAATGCAGTCAAAATCATCATCCTCGGATTTGATTTTTGGCCCCCCCTCGATTCTGGCCTCTTTAGCCTCCGTCTTGAGCAAGCCTTCCTCTGTTTTGGATACACCTGAAGAGAGGATCTCTGAGTCTTTGGTGTCTGGGACAAGCTGAGGGACAGTGACAGGTTCCTTGAATCGAAGGACAATTTTCTGTGTAACATATATAAAATGTACATCGATGATACGAGTCACGAGAAAAAAATACCTTCATCCCTGGAGTGTTAATGTTAAGATTAAAGCAGTATGTATTCCAAGACGGAGAGACATTGTTAATGTCAATGATAGCAACATCCTCGAGCATGCTGACAGAGGATACGTCTAACGGCATTTGTAACAGGCAGGGGTATTTAATAAAAGCAATATGAAAGTAACCAACTTAACTTGGGACTTAGACAAATCAACATCTTATCGGAGAATTCCAGCGGAGGACCAAATTATATTATCAGGCTCAGTCAATACATACATTCTCTGTTAGCGTTGTCCTCAACATTCAGCATGTTTTCACTTCAAGGCGACTCAAGTTCCAGTGACAGAAATTTCTACGGCCCTGGTTTACAGAGTCGACGACTCGGATGGGGCGAGCCTTATACTCCGTCCCGGCTATCTCCAGGTATGCCACCCAGTGACCCATTTACAGATTCAGCACCAGCACCATTGCAATGCAATTATCAATTTCATCAAGTGAGTACTACTAGTACTAGAGCAGTATGCTTATTTGGCTCACTTATTGTCTCGTCAAAATACATTTCAGGGCGCATATATGCATGATAATCAGCAAATGACAGCCTTGCATGATCGCTGCAAGGCACTGGAGATTCAGGTCATCAAGCTGACTACTGAGCGTGATACATTGCAGTGAGTGTTGTCCTGTGTTATCTGGTCTAAACCTTTTGATTTAATTATATATTATAGAGCAAATTTTCAACAGCTTGCCAATGCACTCCAGCAGTCTGGAAACCCCCTTACGCTCGATCCTACATTCTCTGCCCAGCTAGGCAGCAATGACACTAATCACCCCACGCCTCAAACACATCCAAAAATTCATTTTTGGACCCAGATAGACTACATTGAATGGCTCGATACTTCCATGGGCCGACTCTCTGACCGCGGAAAGCTAGGCTACCTCGAAGACGAAAATGGTGGTCCGATTGCCACAACTATGGTCAAGGGTATCCGTAAAGCCCTCCGCGCTGGTTGGTGTGAACTAACTAATCGCAAACTCGCCCCGAAGACATGGGGTGTTTTATCTGCCTCTGGACGAAAGCTCATTCACACCCTGATGGAGGATGCCTACCCCTTGCTAAAGTTTGCCGATGGTGGATGGAAATTGGAGTATCTTGCCAGTACATCATACTCTGCTTGGCATAGAACCTATCTTACTGATTACAGAAACTGGAAGTCGAGGAATCATGGCAATGAGGACGACGACGACGACGAAAGCGATAATGGAAACACTGGTAACTCACGAAGCTCAAACTCAAACGGTAAAAAGCGTAAGAAGGCAAAATTCTCCATCAAGTCCGAAGTCCCTCAAAAGAAGATGAAAGGTGAGTTTTTTTTTCTTTCTATGTGTTATACTGACAACATGTCCTAGTTAATTCAGAGCCTCTTGATATGATTCTACCACAGATATCCACCACCAATATACTGTCATCATCAACTCCGAGTACTCAGTCTTTGGCGATTTTGCCTCTACCTTCCCATTCCTCTCCAATACCAGACCCTCTGACACCAGACTCTCCAACACCCTCTCTGATGGCACCGACCTCTCAGGACACCAGACCCTTCAGCACCAGACTCTCCACACTCTCTGATGGGACCGACCTCTCCGACACCAGATGCTCCGACACCAGACTCTCCGAGACCCTCTCCAATAGCACTGGCCCCTCTGACACTAGCCTCTCTAACAATAGGATCTCTGGCACCAGACTCACCACCCGAACTTCTGTCAACTGCTCCTGCACTGCTTGCTCCTGAGGCGGGCCTGGACTTGCATGATAAAGAAAATGTCCCTTCTAAGCTTATCGATGCACCAACATGTATCAATGTTGTAATTGCAAATCCACTGTGAGTTGACACTGTTATTACACCAGATTCTTGACTAACTTGCCATCAGGGCAGCACTTGCTCTCGCAGCGTCAAAAGTTCAGTTGCCACCTCTTCCTCTTGGACCCGCTCCTCCCCCACTCCCTTCTGCACCCAATGGTGCTAATTCTGAGTCGACCACTCAAAATCACGCTAGTCTCCCCATTGCCGACAATGTTAATGTTTCAAAGGCTGCAACGGGATCTACGAAAAGCGGTGCCAAGGGTAAGATGTGTCCAAGCAGTACTAAAAATGGACGGTAAGTGTCCCTACCTGACAACAGTCTATTGATCTCTATGCTGATTTTTTGTTTTAGCAACTTGTGTGCCCAACGATGGCTCAAGACATTGAAGACAAATGGAACGACCAAGGAATTTTGTTCTTACTATGGAGATCTCACACCAGCTCAGCGAAAGGTGCGTCGCTACTTTATTCCAGGCATGCATGCTTTGATTTGTTTGGTACGATAGGCATATGATGACGAGTCAGCGTCATTGGTAAGTAGTTGTATTGCTTGAAGGTTTGGTCTAATCTACCACAGGTTGCTAATAAATCCTGGAACAAGACCGCTTACAATGGAACGATATACTAGATCCTGATCATTTCAGCTCAACTCGTACTCCTCACGCAGACTTCAAACTCTTACATGGACTCGTCACACACGGACTTATCTCACATGGACTCCTCCCATATTCTTATGATTTCCCTTTGCTTTCTTGATACTGTCTACACACATTCTAGCCGTGTTTTCAGTGCATTCAGCGATTCCTGCTTTCTATTAGTATCACATTTCGAGTATATTGATACCCAGTGCAATGTATATCATTTGTCGTCCTATCCGAGCACATTCGCAAAGCAACTGGTGTGCACATATACAATCATATATGGTACTATTCGAGGATATTGCGAGACAGACAATGCATATGTTCAAATATGTTCAAAAAATGTTCACATGAAGAAAAACATAAATGAACATCTACGAGTTTGCCCCATCTTATTCGCAATGTGATATAAGTTTCACACTGCCAATGACATATGATCATATCTGTTTTTATTTTCGACCACCGCAAAAATCACATCTCAACATCTCTGGACCTTTCCCATCAGAGCCCGTTTTCACTGGGCCCCAACCATGGCATGTCAGAAGCCTCGTTTAGGCTGCGTCAAGCACTACTCACACCACGACAAGTTCTCCCAAATATCTTCCCAGTCTCTGTACTAATATCAACATCCACACTCTATGCCGCGTCAAGGCCTACTACAGTGCCGCGTCAACCATAGCACATACCGCATCAGTTGCCGCGTCACATGCGCGTCAGTGCCGCGTCAAACAAGTTGTGCCGCGTCAGTTGCCGCGTCAAACCTCCTCCATGCCGCGTCAGTGCCGCGTCACAGGCGCGTCACGCCGCGTCAAACCTCGTCACTGCCGCGTCAGACCTCGTCACTGCCGCGTCACCCGCGCGTCACGCCGCGTCACTGCCGCGTCAAACTTCATTCATGCCGCGTCAGACCTCACCACCTCCACATGCCGCGTCAAACCTCACCACCTCAACTGTCACACTGTCCGTATAACTTAGGTATATTTTACTTTACATCTGTCATAATAATTGATATTCTAACAGTGTTTCTTTTCATCCTGACAGAATTAGATGTCGTACACTGTAATTGTCCATAGGCAATAATAAATTTATTTTATTACGCATCGAAGCTCGAAACAAAGAATGGAACGATAGCATGCTGTTGAACACGGCTTGGGCTGATCTCATGATAAGCTATCCTACCAATAGCTTTGTGGCTGACGTCGACCTCGATTGTCTGACCGCACTAGAAGCAAGGATGTTCGAGGATTCCGAAGAAGCAGGACCTGCAGGCAACCAGCAGTGGGGTTTGGATGGTGGCCAACATCACAGGCGATTGAATGTGTATCTCGGAATTCCTGATGAATGGGTTTCTGCAAGAGATTATAGTGAGAGCGAACTTGAAGTGAGGAAGACACTACCTGCTCCGTTCGATAGATATCTAACTTATGTGATTGACAGTGCGGCCCCTTATTCAGTGATAACTCTGATGCTACATCTTTGGAGTCTGCAGACGAGCTATCCGAAGCTGTAGTTCCTTCTCTGCCGGCCGAAGAATGTCCGCCCGTTAAACGTCGATGTGCTCCACAGGCTCGAAGGGTCCAGAGAGGGAGGAAAAGAAAATAATCATTGGCTTATGTATACCTAGTTGTACATGGCTCTGAGGCAAATAAAATAACAAAAGAATGGTCGTGAACTCATCCAACTTGATCTGGAAGTTGAATATAGAGTATAGGAATGGCGCGTCAGTGGCCGCGTCAAGGCTCGTCAGTGCCGCGTCACATGCGCGTCACGCCGCGTCACGGCCGCGTCACGACCGCGGCAGGCGCGGCAGCACCGCGTCAAAATAGCTACGCCCACCCTTTAACACCTCGAGGACGAAGAACACCAAGATCATCCGTCGATCTCGGTGGTAGGGATTTGGGAGGTTGAATGATGGTGTTGTCGCAGGCAGGAATCCAGGAAGCGTGAGGGGAACACAGTCAGAGTCAAAGTGACAGCTAGGTACAATACCTTCTGTGGGTGCACGAAGAGGTACGGTTTCTCGCTGTTATGTGATGAGTCATCATTTGTTTACTTCTTCGCCGCTCCCAATCACCAAACGTGCTGCTCAAGGATTCAACCACGCTCATATTCGAGATGCACAAATATTGGACGAGAGTCAATCAATCTCCCATCGAGGACTACCGACTAATCCCATGTGACCACCAACCAACCATACCATCAACTACTCGTCTTCATACATCTACAGAGCATCCATTTCCCCATCTACTAATCTACCACGATACTGAACCTCGCCAACTCGCCTCCCCACAAATAGTTTCTTCATTCTTGGGTTCGCCCCTCCAGACCGCGGAGCATACTGAACAGGTTTCCAATGGATGATTGACGGCGAAACTAGGCTCAGCGCTCTTGCACAAACCCAACACAGTATCATTTACAACCCCATACAAGAAACAATGCCAGTTATTTATTCGCTACCTTCCATCCTAACAGCATACAAGATACACGATGGATTAAGCATAGCGTGCGTTTACATCAGAGTGTCACTGCCCTTACTGTAATATCGTTCTCACTCCTGTAATAGTAGGAACTCGGCTGAACGGCGTTCAGATCATCAATCTTTTATAGCATAAGTTGAAAGCTTCTGGATCCCGGTTGTAGTAATGGAGCTATACTCTCTTAACTCGTTCTTTTCTAATGACGTGCCAATCTGTGCCAACATACCGGCACTTCAAGTTATTGCACACAAAAGCCAACGCTACAGTGAGGCTCGTCCATCAACTTTTACGAAATAAGCCCATGCACAACAAATCAGGCTTCATGCAGTAATCAGCGCGCCCGAGTCTTCTTTTTTCATGTCTTCTCTCAGCGCTGTTTGAATCTAGGAATGTCATTGTATCTATCAATCAGCGATTCCCAACTAGGCTATCTCTGGCTGCGCAAACTGATGTCCGCACTCCACGACACATCGGGGTGAACGATATTTAAAAGAGGTTTATATGTTGTACAAAATGTGAAGACAATATTTAATATTTAAACTAACATAAAGATGGGTGCACGACTTCAAATTTTGGTGGTGTTTTGTGTGTAATCCAAAATATCAAATATTCACAACCATATTCCCACAGACAATATGTCAACAAACATAAGAAATATAATCAGATTTTTCATGTCTGCTTCAACTTAAAGTTCAATTTCCATGTAAAACTTTGGAGAAAATTTGAAGTTTTACAGATGACATGACATTAAAACTCGATTTAAATGTCAAGCTTTGGCAAAACTTCAAGTTTTCTCCAAAGTTTTATGTAAGAAGCAAACTTTAAATTGAAGCAGACATGGAAAATCTGATTATATTTATTATATTTGTTGACATATTGTCTGTGGGAATATGGTCGTGAATATTTGATATTTTGGATGACACACAAAACACCACCAAAATTTGAAGTTGTGCACCCATCTTTATGTTAGTTTAAATATCAAATATTTTTTTCACATTTTGTACAACATATAAACCTCTTTTAAATATCGTTCACCCTGATGTGCGATGCGGATCGAAGATTCTGCACTAATCATTCTTGGCAACCTGATGATACAAAAGCCCGATAGCCGAGCCAGAGAGAAAGAAGGTGCGCACGAAGCGACAGATGGCCCGAGGGGGAGGAGAAGGGATAGGAGGCATTGAGATATGTACTTATACACGGGTAGGATGTGAGTTATGTGTTTGCTCCCCTACTATTTGTCGTGGTCTATCTTTGATCTGGTCTTGGCATGCCGATACAATTGCTATCTTTTACGATGTTATGTAAAAGGTTCCCTCGTCGAAATGTTTCATGTCCAACATTTACGTTGAGTCCCTGGATCTTTGGTCGATCAAGGCAGGGATAGTCATTATCTTTCAACCTCATTTTGGTGATCCAAGCGCTGGATGGTGGTTATATGCTATCACCATACGTCTACCAAGTTCGTCTCTCATCCACACCCATTCTCCACCAATATGGCCATAGTTTCCAATGATCCCACTTGGTGGCCGACCATCAATGCGTGTCGTTTTTCCAGTTATTTTGCAGGTTCGTGGAGAGCAGTCAGATGTCGAAGCTGATGTCTCAATCTGAGCTTGACTACGGTTTTGCAGTTGCCGCCTTCGTTGCAGTAACATATGATTGTGGTGAGCATGATAACATTAAAGGAGTTCTGATAGCTTACAAGAGTTTTTCAGCACTAACATTTGGACAAGAGGTATGTCAATACTATCACCGGAACCCGTCTTGCTAATAATACTTTTGTAGGTCGAATTGGTCTGGGTGAGTACAGTCTCATGTCAAAGGAACATGCGTGAAAGTACACTTGATTACAGAGACAACGGTGGTCGCTCATGACAGTGATGTATCTCAGTGTATGTAGCTTGTTTGTCGTAGGCTAGTTGCCATTTTGTGCTGACTTGAAAGTATCCTAGGTGCGCTACCTTGGAATCCTATCTGCTGCGTATGTTCGGAAGACTAAATATTTGACGTTGTGCTAATCGTCTATCTCTTATAATCAGTCTGTTCATGGTTGGTATGTCTCCTTAGTACATTCACTGTTTTCTCTTCTTCTGACCAACGACATTCAGGCAATGTTCCGACCATCTCGCTGACAGATACAGTGAGCCTTCTGTATAGATGTCTGCCATTCTCCTCAGATTGACTGCAGCAGTGGGTGTGATTCTTTACTGACTTCTCAGTCCACTAATGGCTTCCACGCTATACTACCAAAGATGTGAGTCTGTTTGGAGTTGTGTGCTACCTGAGCCTGGTCACTGATCCGATTTGTCAGGCTGGATGATGTACACTATATTCAATTGGACGGGTGTTGTGGTATTTATGATGCTGTGGGGTGAGCTTTGCACTTGCGAGACCTTAGTGATATTGGAATGACTGAAACATGTTACAAGTCATCATCATCACTCGGTTGCATGCCATGTATCAACAATCCAGAAAGATACTGATATTTCTCGTTGTCACCTGCCTGGCGATCGACACTTTTGATGGAGTGGCAATCGTAATGTCAACGATGCATACTTCAGGAGGTACGCTGAATTCTAAATGAAAACGAACGTGCATAGGGCTCATTGATAGATACCAGAGGAACTCATTCTCTCCGGCACCTACCAGTGCACAATTGGCTCTTCAGGAGATATCCTAGTCCTGGATTCTGTTACTTGGATACTCTGCATTGTTTGGGAGGTACTCACACTATGTCTCGCAGTCTGGATTGCGGTAAAACACTTCCGTGAACTGCGATTACGAGCGGCAGGAGGGATTATCGGGGACTGTTTTACGGTGTTGATGAAAACTCATGTGCTTTACTTTGCGAGGTAATTACGTATTGTGATTATTGTCCTTGTTTCCACTGAAGGGTTGGACATGATAGCTTTGTTGCTGTCTCTTGCTTCCAGCTCATCATTGAATTCTTTCAAACATCATCAAGGGTATGTTAATCTTTCACTCACCTCTACATGTGACCACGATCTATCATTTATATAGAGCCAATATCTCCTAGAAGATCAGACTTTGTCTGGCATGTCTCAGATTTTGGAGGTCGTGCAGATGTTCGTGCTAGGACCACGCCTGATCCTTGGCGTCCGAGAATATCACGCTAAACTCGTGGCTGACTCCGACGCAGCAACCGGCATGACCTCAATCGCCTTCCAAGAGCGTGTGCATATATTGACCGGCAGTAGTGTGTAATGCTCGGTGAAGTTGACGCAAACCATTGTCGACGTCTAGTGCTTGCAGGGAGCACGGGAATTTATTTATTTTTGTTTTGTTTCTATTCCGAGCCTCGTTGTGGTGCTCAAGTAGTTATTTAGTGTCACAAAATATATGTCAAGGAAACGTAGGTTTAGGCGATATTTTCGTCGCAGTATTTATTCGATTCGTTTACTATAGGTCTTGACATCGACAATGCTTCAACCAATGTCCTGGATTTCTCTACTGTACCAACGAAGGAAAGCAGCGCCCAGAACGGGAAAGTCGAAGAGCGAGAGATGTTTATAGGCGATGTCGCCAGAACGTCATATACAAGTTTCTATTTGCTCCTGCTTCTCATCTTTGAGGACAATTCGTGACCCACCTCTCGTCGTATCGGAAGCACTGTGGGATATTGACTTTGTAATATGGTGTAGCCGTCTTGTAGCATATATAGGTATCATGCTTTTTCAGGCTTCATGAGCGCAGGCACGGACAGTAGTGCGCGCATGTAAGCCAGTTGGCATGAGTCAAGAATGGGAGGTTAAACATCGAAATTGAATGATGGCATTGTGTAGTATATGAATGAGTTGTGGACGTCTGATACGGACCACTGGATAGGCGGATTGGTGATTGCGGGCTTTGTTGATCATGCGGCAAGGCCCTCGACATCCTCCTCACGTACTTCAACATTGCTTCGGTTAACTTAAGCATTGGGCCAAAAAGCGAAGGTGATGCGTCTGGCAGGTTAACCCACCGCAAAGCTGCATTGATACATTCCGGAAAGCCTTGTGTGGCATGTCCTGATGCTAGTCTGAAGTTCTCTACAGCGAGTGACAAATCAGCAAGGTCGTGTAGAATCCGGTAACGAGACAAATAGGCTTCCTGCAGCCTCATGTAGCTGAAATACCTGTCCTGGTGCAGTGAAGACAAAGCTGACAATGACTGTTGGCAAAGAGTAATGTCCTCCTCGACATCTTCATTCTTCTGAGTTTGCGTGAAACGAGAACAGAGCACCGAGCTCAAATTGTGAAGAGTTACATGGCGCTGTGGAAGGTCAAGCCTTCTTAACCGAATGGATTCGCGATACAAACCAATAGCCTCGTTAAGGTCCTCACTAACGTGCGATTTGCGATATCTAGTGTCGAGCGCGGCGGCAAGGTTGTTGAGCGTGGTGTCATGACATGGATGCCTAGGTGGGTGCAACGTCAGTGCCTCGCGATAGAGGCTGATAGCTCAGGTGATGTCATCAATGTCGCCACGTTTGTTGAAACGGGCGATGAGGGCAAGCCCTAGGATGTTTAATGAGTAAACGCGATATTGGTGCCCAGCAGTGCAGCACCTCTTCATGCAAAGGGATAGCCTCATTGAGGTCATTAGGTTTGCCTTGATGATGGAAGCGTGACGTGAGTGAAGAGGCCAAGTTGTTCAGGTAGGTATCACGGTCAGCATGTACCTCGAGGCACAGAGACACGGCCTTACGACCAAGTTGTATGCTCGTGTCAAGATCATCAATACTGCAGTGCTGATTGATCAGCACGGCAGCATCGATGATCAAGCTCATTGAGGGCTCTGGGACGGAGTTGATGGCCCAGAGGACAGAGCTCTAGGACGACTCTTCGAAGGTGGATGCCTTCATTGATGTGTCTGTTGGAAGATCGTTGCATTCGTCGATCACATAATTGACGCCATTGCCTGCCGCGATGTTAGGAAGGTAGGTGTCCTCTGGACAGAGAGGCAGTAGTTTATGATAGTGTTGGGCGGCTTCGTGGATGTCGGCAGCAGTACGTTTCTTGATGTAGTGCCAAGTCAGTGCTTCGGTAAGATTATATAGAGATAAGGGATGATCGAGATGGTGCTGCGGACGCAATGCAAGGGCGTCGCGGAAGAGGGAAGTGGTGGCATCGATGTCTTTGAGATCATTTCGGATGTAGCCCAAGAGGCGGGCCCACGCGAGGTTGGTGAGAGCCGTTGCATGATCTGGATGGCTAACTGGACGCTGGTCCAGAACCAACTGAAAATGCTCTACAACGTTGTTCAGGTGCGAGACTGTCTTGCTCGTCATGTATGCCGTAAATTGTATGTGGCCCGCATCTGTGTCTCGAGCAATCTTGCAGTCTACGAGGGAGTGCAGTTTGCGTTCTGTCAGCAAAAGCTAAAGGACAGATACCAGCGCCACTCACACCAAACAGTGCGTCGTCTTGATCGTCGCCAGCATGTACGATAGCGGCCTGCAACTCGATGGAAGGGTGAACACCACGCACAAGTGGGAAGGCTGAATCTACAGGACATTAGTCTATGTGCATGAATAAGAAGCGAATCACTCACCAAATGGCTCATGTCCATGATTGAGTAGCTCGTCCCATGACATTGAAAGTCTCCCAACGACCTCACCACTGCCAAGCATTCGACCAAGCCCATAAGATGCTCTGATCTCCACTGACAACGCAGGTGAGGCATGTGATGATCTATAAACCAAAGATCAGTTCTTGCACAGCGTCGAAAAGTCTGCATGAGCTTTACAAAGTGACAGAATTTCCCCAAGCTACAGATTTATCAGACGATAAGACACTGATAGCTGATTTCCAACGCCTCCGGGAGTTGACATCGGCGGATATGTAGATGCCAGCGGGAATGTGCCCGGAAGAAATATTCTTTCCGTTGATGACTGTAGATAGTGTGTCAGGGTGATGACTGATACGAAGGTAGTTCGGAGGGACTCACCTTCAAGTTTGATATATCATTCTTCTAGGCCACTCCGTGTGATTGTGGGACGAAACAAACGATGAATAACACGCAGCATCTGAAATTGAGGTAAGTTCGGAATGAGCAGTAGGAGAAGGCGGGGGGTGGGTAGAATGAGTCAGACTGTGGATGGAGTTTGGCTGAGAGAGAAGAGGTTGAGGGTTCAGGCCATGCTGCACGTGTATTTCCATGTTGTCTAGGGCTGGAGTATGATAGATGCTGGTATGATTGCACTAAACGCTGGGAATGGAGATCACCGACCAGGAAGCACTACTTGAGGATACAAGTGCTGTATTTGTGACATGAAGGCCGTGATCCTTCAGCCGAGACCCAGCGCCTCTGTGGAGTCGGGGGGAATTTGAAGGAATCCAGGGTGCTAACGTCTGTGAATAGCACACGAAACACAACACAGCTTGTTGACGTGCTTCAAAACGGTGAAAGATACGCACCCAGGAATGGACATGCAGGCACTAGCACTGTTGATAGTGCAGGAATCGAGCATCTGTTGCTTGAGGACAGGCTGCGGACATGATAGCGAGGTCGAGCTTAATCTTTTGATGCAGGAAGTATGTGGCCATTGAAGATGTTGTCGAATTTCGAATTTCGAACGTGCATGCAAGAAGTAGTGATACTAAGGGCATTAATTTGAGAAGTGGATATTCGAAGACATTTGAAGTGCGCTGTATTTTGTTATGAGAATAGATGTAGACGAGAATTCAGGTACGCACAAGTGATAAAGCGTTTCAAACAAAGCACCAGTCGTTCTGAGCAGAACAGTTGGGGCGTGACTAGTACGAACAAACCACCAGGTCGGTGGGCACTATAGGTAGGTTTTGAAAGTAACAGAAGTGGTTGCGGATGACTGAGTAGGTGGTGTCGGTGAGGTTCGAGGCTGAAGGTTACAAGTCGAGGATGTGTGGAAGCTCACATTTTTCCACGCGTTTATGAACCAGAGTTGCGGCCTGCACCGATGCGCAAGCTAACTACAACCAAACTGTACATCAAACAGCGCAAATTAAAAGTCCTACTCACCTTCTCCTGGCAGGTCGTCACACCATGTTTTGCAGTCTGGATTGCGATAAAGCACTTCCGCGAACTGCGACAACATTTGGCAGGAGGGATTATAAGGGACTGTTTCATGGTGTTGATGGAACTCACGTGGTTTACTTTGCGAGGTATTTGGAAAGTGCGTGCGGGAGTACTCTGGGTCGTAGTGGTACTCTAAGAGATTTGAGGGTATCGAAGAAGGGAGTGCCCCATGGTCTTTGAAGTGATAACATATCTCAAACAAAGTAACAGAGGCAATCTGAGCACGTCGATCAGAACGGCTGCAATTTCAAACTCCGTGCTTCGTCTGTCAGTGGTCACTAGAGGCTTTCGATCGATCACTGGACTGGACTCTACGCTCTCTAGTTCGCACTAAGGCTGCTCAAGCTTGTTCCCAAATACCCATGCCATCATAAACCAGCTGACGACTAGTGCGATATTGTATGTTATTCATACGGTCCACACTCGGGTACGCCAACATCCAAATCGAAGTAAGTACTCAGTCCTGACTCCTTAGCCATGGCATCCCACTATTTCAAAGCCTAACCAAGGCCACCTGATGAAATCGTACAGCTGCTCTACGTTTGTTCACAGCACATCTACATTCACGGTGAGCGTCCCATCCTTTTTCCATTGTTTTTCGCTAAGCAAACCCATACAGAACCGGCTTTGTATAATCTGTTAGCATGCATGGGCTTCAACGCCACAAGAAATCTCAAGTCTCGAATATTGATCGTCAGTCGGTGTCGGTGTAGTCTCCGGCGTCGGTATAGTAGCTGGTTCATGCAAAATATAGACAGCACGTTCAATCTACATTCCCACTCAGACTACCCTATGGATGTGTGGATCAACAGGAGGGCATCAATTGCATGATGGATCCAGTGTGGCACGGATTGGATCGGGTTTCATTTGAATGAGCGTTGATGGTGTGCAGTGGAAGCTGTATGACCCGGTGAGTTATTCCCTCAACTTCTTCAAATCTTCAACTTTATGATGGTGTGCCAACGAAATGTTATCGCCTTCAGCTATTTATGGATAGCCAGAGTTGTACTTGAGTAGTTGGGAAATCTAGTAGGGGACAAGGGAAAGATATCGAGTATGAGGGTGAGTCCGTACCTTTGTACAGTGGAATAGACAATCTAAAATGGTTCATAGTACCATTCTCCGTCAAGCGGTGGGGTACTGGTGCTCCCCAGTGAAAGCCGACGAGAATGATAGATCGAAAATAGTTAGTACTGCTACTACTAGTATTAGTAGTTAGTAGTACTACTATATAAGGCTGTAGGTTGCTATGACCATCGCTGCACATCACTACGCTGCTGTAAGCTGCCACGGTAGCTGTGCTAAATTTGGTGTTTTGCTGATGCTTGCCAGTGTAGGCCCAAGAAGCGATCCGTCCTTCGGTTTTCTTAGAGGTGCCTCTATTCTTCTTCCAACAACAAACATCTCGTCACATCTGAGATTCCCAGTGACTTCGTGAACCAAGGGCTGCCTGGAGAGCCTGCTTCACAGGTATTTTCGTCAGATACTTCGACTGTCTTCTCTAATTTCGGCGGTCCCGCAGGTTCAGGCTGTTTCTTCTGGCAAGGAGGAAGGTCCTGATACTCAGTTAGTTGACGCTGAACTTCAGGGTGCCTGTGATAGTGCACAAAGCATGGTATTACTCGGGAAACATGTGACTTTTGTGGCATCCGTCGCCGACAATGCCCCAGCGGGTCTCGATGCCACGAGTGATTTTGAGACGACATATCTCCAACCCCTAAAGATTATCGATGGTGTCCCTGAGGAGATCGCAGATGTATGAGCTATTCTTGTCTATTCGACGTGAACTCATCAAGTTGTATAGATACATCCTTACGCAAAGATGGCGTTGGGCGTGCTGTCTGCTGCATCCAAAGTATGTTTGGTTTCTCCCAGAGTGCGGTCTCCTGCTCAGAAGTCATAACTCTCCCTAGATTATAGTCGCTCAAGCAGAGCGCGACCAATCGATCTATAGTCTTCTCAAGAAATTGGCCGAAGTTTATCGCATCATGACTCGAGATGACAATCCTCGCAAGATTGAATCGATGCGCGGTACCGTTGGTTCAATCGTTCAGCAGACTTATGAGTGTGCCCGTTTCATCAGGGACTACTCGGAAACAAAAAGCTTCTGTGCGTCGCCAAGCTATGGCACTTCGTGCATGAATCTCATACTTTCATCACAGGGAAGAGACTCGGGAAAAACGTTTTGTCGGAAACTAGCGACATCATCAAACGGTACTGCGGCACTTTGGACCACCTTATGCAGCAATTCCGGGACCAAGTCGATCGGGACGTGGCCGTCTTCGTCCAACGTACGGGTAAGGAGTCTGACGTGCTTTCGTCTTTGCATTGACTCATACCCTTAAAGGTGAAACACTCGATCTCAGCGGCATGATTTATGCAGGGGACGCAGGAGTAGTCACTGCGAAGCAATGTCTGTCAGGCACTCGCACGGACATTCTCTCCCAAATCACCAAGTGGATCAACAACAGCGAAGATTCTGTTCCGCGTGTAATGTGGCTATCCGGCCCTGCAGGCAAGAGCATATCAGCCATCGCGCACACGATTGCCCACTGGTTCAAGGAAACGGGAGGTCTCTGTTCATGTTTTTGTTTTGATCGGCACAGAGAAGGAGATCGTCGCCATGAAAAGATTTTCTCCACCATCGCGCGCGATCTCGCTGATCACGATCCAGGGATCAGACGAGCGTTAGCGGATGCAGTCGAGAATGCTACCTCGCTCAAGAACACTACAGACATTATCCAGCAGTGGCGCGAGCTTCTCATGGGACCGCTGGAGAAGTTCCCTGCATCAAGCGTGGGGCCTGTCTTGATCGTGATAGATGCACTGGACGAGAGCGGCGGAATAGAGACGCGGCAGGACCTTCTCCGCATACTTTCCGGTAAACTTGAGAACAAGAAGGTTCCCCAAATCACAGAACTTCCTTCGAACTTTCGGATTCTTGTCACCTCTCGCCCGCTTCCCGATATCGAAAAGGGGTTCGAAGGCGTCGATCATATTTTACGGTTGTCACCTCATGTTGCGATTCAGGCCTTCGTATCTAAGGAGCTGAAAGAGCTATCAGAATTTCAGGACACACATCTTACAGTCCTCACTGCAAAATCCGACGGACTTTTCGAGTGGGCGCGTCTCGCGTGCACGTACATCAAGGAACCATATTTTGGCCTATCCCCAATGGATTGCTTCAGTACTATCGTGAACCGCAGTCCTGGGGAGCGGAACAACTTGTTGTATGATATTTATCGGCTTTTTTTAGAAGAAATTATCCCAAGGCATAAGTATACAAAATTTCAGTACCAGCAACTAATAGCGAGATTTCGTTCCGTGATGGGACAGATATTTGCCGCAGTCGAACCCCTTCCTCTAGTTTCACTGCAAGCTATGCGACACCATTTCCCGGAGGACCACGACCATTATGAAGTAGGTGTGGTGATAAAGCATATGGGAGGCCTCTTCAGCGGCACCACCGACCCATTTACCCCCATCCGACCCCTTCATGCATCTTTCCGCGACTTCCTGACAGACAAATCATCCAGCGGAGCCTTTTACGTCGAAGTGTCCAAGGTACAGCGCGACCTTGCATTTGCGTCGCTACGGGTGATGGAACATGGCCTTCGCTTCAACATCTGTAATTTGAAGTCATCTTACCTCCCTAATTCCCAAGACACGGAGCTGCCTGAACGAGTCAAAACATACATTTCCCCACATTTGTCCTATTCCTGTCGATATTGGGCTACACATGTTCAGACAACGGATTTTGACGATGAGCTCGCGAAGGAAATAAGATCACTCTTCGACGACGAGCGACTGATGTTCTGGATCGAAGCACTCGGACTTCTCAATGCAATCAGCGGTGCAGTTGTGCTCCCACTCGTTGCCAAGTGGCTGAAGGTGAGCATATGCCTATGAGGCAGGGTCGGACGAACAGCTTATACATATATACAGAACCATTCTGGATACGAAGATTTGCGGTCCGCCACGATGGATGTACAAAGATTCATGCAAGTGTTTGGCGGCATGATTTTGCGAAGCACACCTCATCTGTATGTATCAGCACTCCCGTTCTCACCCGTCAACTCTACGATGGCTACCACATGTACTGCTAAGTTTCCGAATAGCCTTCGTCTGGCATCCGGCCGCGATTTGAACTGGACGGTTGTTCAGGCCATAATCAGGGGGCACACTAACACGGTTTTGTCAGTCTCGTTCTCACTGGATGGTACTCGTATCGCGTCTGGTTCATCGGATAAGACCGTGCGGCTGTGGAATGCAGCGACGGGACAGCCATTGTGTGAGCCCTTGAAGGGGCACACTGGCGCGGTTCTGTCAGTCTCATTCTCACCGGATGGTACTCGCATCGCGTCTGGTTCGTTGGATAAGACTGTGCGGCTGTGGAATGCAGCGACAGGACAGCCATTGGGTGAGCCCTTGAAGGGGCACACTAGCTGGGTTTACTCAGTCTCGTTCTCATCGGATGGTACGCGCATTGCGTCTGGTTCATTGGATAAGACTGTGCGGCTATGGAATGCAGCGACGGGACGGCCATTGGGTGAGCCCTTCAAGGGGCACACTGGCGCACTTCGGTCGATCTCGTTCTCACCGGATGGTACTCGCATCGCATCTGGTTCATTAGATAAGACCGTGCGGCTGTGGAATGTAGCGACAGGACAGCCATTGTGTGAGCCCTTCAAGGGGCACACTGGCGCAGTTCGGTCAGTCTCGTTCTCACTGGATGGTACTCATATCGCGTCTGGTTCGGAGGATAGGACCGTGCGGCTGTGGAATGCAGCAACGGGACGGCCATTGGGTGAGCCCTTGAAGGGGCACACTGGCGCGGTTCTGTCAGTCTCATTCTCACCGGATGGTACTCGCATCGCGTCTGGTTCGGAGGATAAAACCTTGCGGCTTATGAAGGTGCTGCCATCCCCCGCGTCCACAGAGCCGGACCCCTCTGCATCTCCACTGCATCGAAGTACCGCATCTCCCACTCAAGACAGCCGTATCGCCCCAACCAATACTTGTAACCATCCCCCCATTTCCTTCTCGCCCTGCCTGAAACACGCCCTGCCCAACCCAGCTCACTTGCTCGAACCCACCTCTGATCATCATTCCAATTCAACCCCTTTCTTGCTGCAGCCCGATGGATGGATCATGGGACCCAGACATGAGCTCCTTTTCTGGGTACCTCCCGCTTCCCGACACCTGTTCTATTCTCCTGACACTGCAATGGTGATTCCGAGAGGAGGCGCTGAGCTTGATTTGAGCTGCATGGCACATGGGGCGCGCTGGTCGAGTTGCCGAAACGCGTGAGTTTTTAATCTTTAGCATCTGTCCTCGCAGTTTCTAACATCAATCCCTCCAGCTCCACGTAACGATGATTTTATTGCTGCAATATCGAGTGTACCATTTGATTCTATGATTCCCTTCCTATGTATATTTAGCACCGATCCTGAATTTATGTTGTCCGACTGAACGATGCACTGAACAGCAGACTGCAATGTTGCTGCTGATTCGTATGGAAAACTAATTTCATCAGACGCCCTTGGTCATCATACTGATGTGTCACAGGTGCTTCGGTATTCCTGATCTTACCACCGTCAGTCTCGATCGAAGTGTATGCGATGAAGTTGCTGCAGCACCGCACGTACAGAGATGTAATCAGGACGCGCTGGTCGACTCATTCTGACGAAATCTTTGAACTCAATAGCTCTGTGCGTTGGACTGGCGCGGCTGACAATCTGCCTGCCTCTTGCAGACGGGGGCTGGTGTGGCCTTAACCTGATGATGATGCTACCTGCGACAACGCCCGCTTGATCAAAGGCTCTACCCATACTGACTAATGACTGGGGAATTCGAATCATTATGGGTTCACGGGCCGTAAATTTCACACAGCTCCATAACTCTACCAGGGATGCTGCACACCGTGCATGCCTTAACATGCCATCCCTTCAAGTGTTTCGTCGTGCATAAATGCAAGGCTATGGCTCTGATCGCGGCCCTTGGCGTTATCGTCTCTTTCCAGAGCATGAGCTACGTGCCCAGATCCTGAAACACTGCATAAGCATAACTAATATCTCAAGTGATGGAAGGAGCCTTGGTGCTTCTCTCCAGCTTCGCGTTAGTTCAGTCAATGAGGACAGAGCTCTAATCATGGATTTACGCCTCCCAATTATCATGTAGGGAAACCTTGAAACACCGGAATTTCAAGTTGAGGCGAAATAAAGGCTGCCGCGGGAAAATATCATGTAATCAGTAAATAATGTCTGCAACTGTGATATTGCAACCTAGGTTGACCCAGAACCCAGCTGGCCGGCACTCATCACACCTGAGGCAGGACGGAAAGTCGAGGGATCGCATTGTATTCACCGCACATTAATCAAGGCTATGAATCAGGCTGTGACGTTTGATGCATCCACATCCCATCAACTGCACGCTGCAAATTGAGTACGGTGTGTCTTCTATTAGATTCCGCACTTACCATCCTAATGATATGATAGGCCGATGACTGGAAAGAAGGTGTGCATATGCTCAAGACGTGGATTATTTATTGAAAGGGTTGTACAGGTAAGTAATATGTCTGGTTCTCCCTTTTTTTATACATCGAACGTCTCTGCCATATCAACACAAACTTCTCTTACTGAATAACTCCGGATGTCTTGTCGTGCTCGGGAACTGTTGACACTCATCGAGATTCATCGATACAGCAAGCTATCACGAAGGGTCGCATCACGCCTAGACCTACCTTTGTAAGACCAAGTTTTGCATCGGTTTTCATTTGAAAAAGCGGTGCACTCAACATTGGCAACTGTACAGCTACTCGCTCCAGTGATTCTTTTTTGATGGCATGGCAACCTGTGCCAACAGGATGTTACTGCCGACTGAATTTGGTTCTCATACACTTAAGAGTTCATGCTACTGCGGCTCGTTGATCAAATTTACGAAATAGGCCCAAAATATTGACGGACAACAAGTCAGGCTTCATGCAGTCATCAGCGCGCCTGAGTTTTCTTTCTATATGTCCTCAGTGCTGCTCGAGTCTAAGGGTTGTATCTATCGATCAGGGACTCACTATCTCCGAGTTTGGCTGTGCAAACTGATGGCCTGTCAGCACAGCACGGTGCACCAACTCCACGATGTAGATCGGACATTTTGCGCTCATCATTAATCATTGTTGGCAGATACGAAAGACCGATAACTGAGGCCCAGAGCAAGATGTTTGCTTCGTATATCCCCTGCTATTTGTCATGGTTTATTTTTAGTTCAGCCTTGGCATCCCGACATGGAATTTGCTCTGCAATGTATCTTTTGTGGTGCGTGTAAAGTGTTGAACCTGCCCGTCGAAGTGACTCATTATTAATATTCCTCAATTTCATTTTGGTGATTCAAGCACCGGGTGGTGGTATATAGGCTATCGCCATACGCTCACAAAATTCACCTCTCACCCACACCCATTCTCTACCAATATGACCATAGTCTTAAATGACCCTGCTTGGTGGCCGATCATCAATGCGAACTGTTTTTACAGTTATTTTGTAGGTTCGTAGAGAGCAGTCGAATGTTGAAGCCGATGTCTCAATCTAACTAGTTGCCGCCTTTGTCGGAGCGACGTATGATTGGGGTGAGCACGATAATATTAAAGCATTGCTGATATCTTACAAGTATTTTCAGCACTTACATTGGGACAAGAGGTATGTCGATGCCTACGACCGGAGCAGCCATCTCGCTAACAATCATTTTATAGGTCGAATTAATCTGGGTAAGTAGAGTCTCGTAATAGAGGGAACACACATCAAAATACTTACACTTAATCACAGAGGCAACGGTGGTCCCTAATGACATTCTTGTATCTCTGTGTATGTAGCTTGTTTGTTGCAGTTTCCATGTCATGCTGACTTGAAAGTATTCTAGTCGCGCTACCTCGGAATCTTATCTGCTGGGTATGTTCGAAAGGCTAAACAATCAATGTCGAACTGATCGTTTATATCGCATAACCAGCATGACCTTGCTGGGTATGTCTCCTTAGTACTTTCACTGTCTTCGTTTTTTTCTGACTAACGGGATACAGTCATTGTTCCGACCATCCCACTGACGGATACAGTGAGTCTTCTGCACAGATGCCTGCTATTCCCCTCTGATTAAACGTGGTTCTCTGTAGGAGTGAGTGTGGTTCTTTACTAACTTCTTGGTTCATTAATGACAGTCATGCTATCCTGCCACAGATGTGAGTCTGTTTGGAGTGTGTGCCACCCGAGGTTGGTCACTGACTGGATTCATCAGGCTGGATTATGTACGTCGTACGGAATTGGACGGGTATTGTGATATTTGCAATGCTGTGGGGTGAGCTTTGCACTTGCGAAACCTCAGTGATATTGACTCGACTGAACCATGCTGCAAGTCATCATCATCACTCGGTTGTATGCCATGTATCAAGGATCCAGAAAGATCCTGATATTTCTCGTCGTCACCCTCCTGGCCGTCAACATTTATGACGGAGTGAACGCCGTCCTGATGACGATACACGCTTCAGAGGGTATGCTTAATCGTGGATCCAAACAAACGTAAATGGGACTCAATGATGAATACCAGAGGAATTCATTCTCTCCGGCACCTATCAGTGCACGATTACATATACAACAAATACCCTGATTCTGAATTCTGTGGCTTGGATACTCTCCCTTATGTGGGAGGTCCTCGTGCTGTGTCTCGCAGCCTGGATTGCCGTAAAACACTTCCGTGAACTGCCACAACATTCGGCAGGAGGGATTATGGAGGACTGTTTCGCGGTGTTGATGAAAACTCACGTGCTTTACTTTGCGAGGTAAGCTCGTATTGTGATTATCGTTTCTTTTTCCCCTACTGAACGGTCGAACGTGGTAGCTTTGTTGGTGTTTCTTGCTTTCAGCTCATTGTTAATTTATCTCCAACAATTTCATCGGTATGCCAATCTCTCGCCTTGCCTCTTCATATGCTCACGATTCGTAATTTCTACAGTTCCAAAATCCCATGGAAAGTCTAACTTTTTATGGCTTGATTCAGATTCTGGACGTCGTGCAGATGTTTGTGATGGGACCACGCCTGATCCTTGGCGTTCGAGAATTTAACGCTAAACTTGTGGCTGATTCTGACGCAGCAACTGTCATGAGCTCAGTCGCTTTCCAGGAGCGCGTGCACATATCGACTGGCAGTGGTGTATGACACACGAGACGCTGATGGTTGTCTGGTGCTCTGCAGGAAGCAGGAAAATTCGTGTTTTGTCTCAAATACAAGCTTCGTCGCAGTCCTTGTATAGTTATTTGATTTCACTAAGTAGATTTCAAGGAGACGGGCTTGTGCAGTATTTTTGTAGTAGTATGTGTTCGAATCATTCGCTATAGGTTCTGGCATTAACAATTATTTATTCATGCTTCAACTAATATCTTGGATATCCCTACTGTACTAACGAAAGCATTTCAGCAGTGTACTGAATGGAAAGTCGAGCGACCAACCATACTGGCATCAACCGCCCGTCTTCATACATCTGCAGAACCTCGCCAACTCACCTCCCCACAAATAGCTTAACCCACATTGCAACAAATGGTGCATGCTATCTAGTCCCCACCTTCCATCCTAACAGCATACAAGATACACCGATTGTGCGATGGATTTAGCGTAGCGTGCAGAATGGCACTGCCCTTGCCGTCTCACCCCTATGATAAACCGCCTTGATCTGAAAATCAACTGACCGGCGCTCAGATCATCAGTCATGGATTGCGCATCCACTGCCACATCCTATCAACCGCATGCTGCAAATTGAGTGTGGTGTGTCTTGTATCAGATTCCGCGCCTATTATTTATTGGTATCCTTGTGAGATGTGCATATGCTTACTAGTAAGATGCGGATTAGGCTATCCATTAATGAAAGGGCTGTCCATGTACAGGTAAGTAATATGTAACCTTTGTTTTACACATCCAACATCTCTGCTATGTCGACACAATTAAACTCCTCTTGTTGAATAGCCTTGGGGATCTTGTTGTACTTGCGGACTGCTGATGCTTATCGAGAATCATCGAGACAACAAGCTTTTCCAAAGGGTCGCGACTAATCCCTACCAAGTTTTGCATCGGTTTTCATTTGAATCAGCAGTACATTACATAATATTGGCAATCGCGATACAACTATGTACTCACTCCACTCGTTTTCTTCCAACATGTGCCAACAGAATGTCATACCTTCGGTACTTCTTAAAAGCTTAAGGGTCCTGCTGAGGCTCAGCACTCATAAATCATCTTTTATGAAATTACCCTACAATCTGAAGAACAACAAGTCAGGCTTGATGCAGTCATCTGCGGCAGCGCGCCTGAGTCTTCTTTATCCATGTCCTCTCTCAGCGCTGCTTGAATCTAGGGATGACATTCGAGTTGTATCCATCAATCGGGGATTCCCAACTAGGCCACTTCAACGAGTCTGGCTGTGCATACTGATGGGCCCTGTCAGCACTGCATCAACTCCACGATGCAGATCAAAAAATTTGCGCTCGTCGTGGTTGGCGGCCTTGTGATACGAAAGCCTGATAACCAAGGCAAAGAGAAAGAAGGCGTGCTCGAAGTAATAGATGGCCTGAGGACGAGGAGAAGGGATGGAAGGCATTGAGATATGTGCTCGCACGTGGGTAGAACGTAAGTTATCTTCTGCTTCATACTGTCTGTCATGAGTTTATTTTTAGTCTAGCCTTGGCATCTTTCTATGTATCTTTTATGGTGTCATGTCAGGTGTTCCGCCCGTCGAAATGATTCATCATTCCTCAAATTCATTTTGGTGATACAAGCACTGGATGGTAGTATATATGCTATCGTCATGGCCATAGTTCACCAAGTTCACCTCACCCACACCCAATATGACCATAGTCTCGAATGATCCCATTTGGTGGCCGTCCATCAATGAATATCATTATTCCAGCTATTTTGCAGGTTCGTGGAAACCACTTAGATGTTGAAGCTGACTCAATCTAACCTTGGCCGCGGTTTCGCAGTTGCCGCCTTTGTTGTTGTGGCGCATGATTGGGGTGAGCATGATGATACTAAAGGACTGCTGATATCTTACAAGTACTCTAAGCACTTACATTCGTACTAGAGGTATGACAATGTTATCACCGAAGCAGCCACCTCTCTGAGAATGGTTTTATAGGTCGAATTGGTTTGGGTGAGTAGCGTTTCATGTCAGACGACTCGGAACACATGAAAATACGCTTAATTACAGAGGCAGCGCTGGTCCCTAATGACAGTTCTGTATCTCGGTGTATGTGGCTCGTTTGTCGTGGTCTCCAAGTTGCACTGACTTGAAAGTATCTTAGGTGCGCTACCTTGGAATCTTATATGCTGCGTATGTTCGAAGGGGTAAATAATTGATGTCGTGCTAATCGTCCATCTCTCATAATCAGCCTGGTCATGCTTCGTATGTCTCCCTAGTTCATTCGCTGTCTTTGCTTCTTCTGACCAATGGCATACAGTCGGTGTTTCGACCATCTCGCTGACAGATGCAGTGAGTCTTCTGCTGCACAGATACCTACTATTCCCTTTTACTTAACCGTGGTGCCTTGTAGGAGTGGGTGTGGTTCTTTATCAATTTCTTGGTTCACTAATGACTCCCACGCTATACTTTCACAGATGTGAGTCTGTTTGGAGTGTGCTACCCGAGGCTGATCACTGACCGGATTTGTCAGGCTGGATTTTGTACATCGTATGGAATTGGACGGGTGTTGTGGTAATTTTGGTGTTGTGGGGTGAGCCACTTGCGAGACCTCAGTGATATTGACTTGACTGAAACATGCTGCAAGTCATTATCATCACTCGGTTACATGCCATGTATCAACGATCCAGAAAGATCTTGATATTTCTCACTGTCACCTTCCTGGCTGTCAACATTGTCAACGGAGTGGCAGCCGTAATAGCAACGATGCATTCTTCAGGCGGTACGTTTAATTGTGGATAAAACCAACGTGCATGGGGTTCATTGATGAATACCAGAGGAACTCATTCTATCTGGCACCTATCAGTGTGCAATCGGCGTTGCGGAACATAGCCTGATTCTGACTTCTGTTGCTTGGATACTCTCCCTTGTGTGGGAGGTCCTCGCGCTGTGTCTCGCAGTCTGGATTGCGGTAAAACACTTCCGTGAGCTGCGACAACATTCGACAGGAGGGGTTATGGAGGACTGTTTCACGGTGTTGATGAAGACTCATGTGCTTTACTTTGCGAGGTAAGTTCAAATTGTGATTATTATTCCTTTTTTTCCACTGAAGGGTCGGACGTGGTAGCTTTGTTGCTGTTTCTTGCTTCGATATCATTGTCGATTTATCTCCAACAGCCTTGACAACGGTATGTCCATCTCTCACTTACCTCTTCATGCAACCACGATTCATCATTTCTATAGGACCGATTTTCCCTAGAAAGTCAGACTTTTTTAGGCTTGCTTCAGATTTTCGAGGTCGCGCAGATGTTTGTGCTGGGACCACGCCTGATCCTTAGCGTTCGAGAATTTAACGCTCAACTCGTGGCCGACTCTGACGCAGCAACCCACATGACCTCAATCGCTTTCCAAGAGCGTGTGCATGTATCGACTGGTAGTAGTGTGTAATGCTCGGTGAAGTTAACAGTTGTCTAGTGCTTTTCAGGGAACGCAGCGAAATCTATTTTTATCTCCATTCAAAACCTCGTTGCGGTGCTCAAGTAGTTATTTTGTGTCACGAGGTAGATTCAAAAGAAACAGGCTTGGGCAATACTTTTGTCGTAGTATGTATTCGATTCGTTTGCTATAGGTCCTGACATCAACAATTATTTATTGATGTTCCAATCAATATAAAGTCGAGGAGCGAGATATATTTATAGGCGATGTCGTCGACTCGGAACGTGAGGGTGCAAATTTCAATTCATTCTTATTCTCATCCTCGATGACAACTCGTGACTCACCTCTGGCCACCTTGTAGCGTATATGGGTAGTACTAAATGTCTACCTGCCGTTACAATAATACTATCATTTGTGGCGTTCTCCGTCAATTGGTGGGGACCAGACTTGTCCAGGGCCATCGTTGGTGAGTAGTACAGTACTGTGATACTGGCCGAATTCGTCACAATTTTGTGCAGCATCAAGATCATCACATTATGAAGGGATGGACAAACCCGCTGCATGAATGCATAATATGATCTCGTCTGGCGGACACTTTGAGGTAGGTTGTGGAGTTCAGAAGGATTCAAAGAGACCTTGCCCGCGACTTAATCAATCGTATAATATAGCAGCATTCTTTCTACTTGGCCTGTTGACCTCTTGCAACCAAATGCTGAGGCGGGTGCTCGATTGGCAACGCGGGGCACTGCGCTTGCGATTCTCCCCGATCTATCTGCCCCAGTGTTTCCGTTATATGCAAATCACTGAGCATGCAAGAGTAAATACGGAAGACATGGTATAGGTATCTGGGGAAGCGGAGCACATGCTCTAATCAAATATACAAATATCCTGTGCCTGTAACAGAATTCCGAAGTTTCTTTGGCATCGTGATCATTGTGGATGGAAAACCTCAACTTTGTAAATGATGTCGGAAATAACGGTTCCAAGATTGAAAAGGATCAGTCCACCTCAAGATAATCAAGCCCACCTGCTCGCTAGTGCAGCACCAAAGGGTTGACACAGACAGTTCCCTTGCTCACAGCACCAAAGCAACAATCAATCTTCACGCCATTCTCCTCAGAGCAAGTCGTGAACGCCTGAGTAGCAAGGCCCTGTGGATCACTCCACTGTGTCGGGTCCCACTTCGTAGGGTTAACCAAGATACGGGGGTCAACCTGGCTGACGACAGCAGAAGCAAGCGCGTACTAGCCCTTTGGGACGACATAAATATCATCTTTGGAGGGAGCAGCGAGAACCGCAGATCAGGAAATCAGAATGAACGTAGCGCATGATGTTGTGAATAGGTGGGTGCATGTGGGGCGTCTCATGAATGACTGAATCGGACTGGAAGCTTGCAGAAGACCTCATGGTCCGTCGAACGGAAAAATCCATGTGAATTGTTGAAATGGTCGACTTTCTCCTGGTGAAGTGTTTCCCTATGATGACGATTAGCATGTGTGAGCTGGCGATAGCGAACGGGACTCACTGGACTTCGATGTTCTGAGCAAGGTGAAGAAGCGTCCATGAAACGGAGGTGGGGATGGTGTGCTGTCCCGCCATGAGAAATGCAATCATGATAGGTGCGATTTTGTGGTCACGGAGAGGTTTGCCATCACAGTATTTTAAGATTCTCTGCATTTGCAGTTAATGTCGGTGTGATATTCGCATAGAAGAGTCCAGGTACAACTGCTCTACCAGGAGAGGCGGTGACATACTGCTGCGCAGATCGATGACGGTTGCAAGGGCCCCCAACGTGACCCGCAGCTGGACAGTCGAATCGAACGGCATGAAAAAACGTACTCTCCATATTAGCATCGCTAAATATTATTTTGCACCGATTTATGATGCCACCGTATGTCACTCCTCCGGCACCATTGGCTAATTTACCGTTCAAATCGTCGTGTCCCGTATTGAGCGCTGAGCTCTTCTGAGTCGCTAGACAAGTAATACCTCATCTGCCTGCGAAGAGTTAACACTGATGAAGCTGGGATACGGTCCAGCAATTTTCTGTATAATGATGAATACAACTGATTCTGGCACCCGACACGTTCACAATCAAGTGAACGTTGACTTTCACACCCACGTTGCAAATTAAAAATTCTGCACTTACTGCATTTTGATTAGCGTCCTCATGATACGAAAGCCCAATGACCGCGGAAGAGAGCATTATCGAATTGCTTAGAAGCAAAGCACACGCAACTGCAATACCTACGTGGAGATATCACCCTTGATCTCAGTTCGGTTACCCAAGCACTGCTGGATAGGATATATACCACAAATGTTATTGTCATGCATCTACCAAGCTCGCCTCTCATCCACACCCATTTTCTCCCAATATGACCATAGTCTTGAATGATCCCACTTGGGGGCCGACCATCAGTGCACATCGTTCTTCCAGCTATTTTACAGGTTCGTGGAGAGCAGTCGGATGTTGAAGCTGATGTCTCAATCTACCTTCGCTGCCGTTCGCAGTTGCTGCCCTTGTTGTGATGACGTATGACTGGGGTGAGCATGATGATATTGAAGGGCTGCCGATATCTTACAAGTATCTTCAGCACTTACATTCGGACAGGAGGTATGTCAATGCTGTGACCGGAGCAGCCATCTCGCTAAACATGGCATTATAGGTCGAATTGATATGGGTGAGTAGAGTTTCCTGTCAGATGAACGACCATGAAAAATACAAATACTTGATTACAGAGGCAACGATGGTCCCTTCATGACAATCATGTATCTCGGTGTATGTAGTTTGTCTGTCGCCCTTGCCATGTTGCACTGACTTGAAAGTATCCTAGGTACGCTACCTTGGAATCGTATATGCTGTGTATGTTCGGAAAGCTAAACAGTCAGTGTCGTGCTGATCGTCCATCTCTCATATTCAGCCTGTCCATCCTGAGTACGTGTCCTTAGTAGTACATCCATTGTCTTCGCTTCTTCTGATTAACAGCATACAGTCTTTGTTCCGAAGTTCTCACTGATAAATACAGTGAGTCTTCTACACATATCCCTAATACTATTCCCCTGCAATTAACCGTGGTGCCCTATAGAAGTGGGTGTGGTTCTTTACCACTTCTTGGTTCACTAATGACTGCCACGCTATGTGGCTACAGATGTGAGTCCATTTGGAGTGTGTACTACCCGAAGTTGGTCACTGACTGGATTCGTCAGGCTCGATTATGTATGTTATATGGAATTGGATGGATGTTGTGATATTGGCGATGCTGTGGGGTGAGTTTGGCACTTGCGAGACCTTGGTGGTATCGACTTGACTGAAACATGCTGCAAGTCATCATCATCACTCGGTTGCATGCCATGTATCAACGATCTAGAAAGATCCTGATATTTCTCATTGTCACCTTCCTGGCTGTCAACATTTTCGAAGGAGTAGTCATCATGATGACAGCGATCCATACTTGGGGTATGCTTAATTGTGGATGACAACAAACGTACATGGGGCTCATTGATGAATACTAGATCAACTTATTCTCTCCAGCCCTTATCAGTGCTGGTTGTCCCATGCAGAAGATATCCCACTTCTATTTTTCATTTCCTTGATACTCCACGTCGTGTGGGAGGTCCTCGCACTATGTCTCGCAGTCTGGATTGCGGCAAAACACTTTCGTGAACTGCAACAGCATTCGGCAGGGGGGATTATTGGAGACTGTTTCATGGTATTGATGAAAACTCACATGCTTTACTCTGCGAGGTAAGATCATATTGCGATTAATGTTCCCTGTTTTCACTCAAGAGTCGGACATGGCAGCTTTGTTGCTGCTATTTTGTTCCTGTTCATTGCGTATTTTTCTCAAACATTAGCAAGGGTATGTCAATCTTTCACTTGCCTCTGCATGCAACCACGGTTCATCGTTTCTATCTGATTTATCTGATTCACAATTTAGACTTATTTTGGCTTGGCTGAAATTCTGATGGTCATGCGGATGTCTGTGCTGGGACCACGTCTGGTCCTTGGGATTCGAGCATATCACGCTAAGCTCGTGGCCGACTTTGATGCAGTAACTGCCATGACCTCGATTGCTTTCCACGAGCACGCACATATCGACTGGTAGTGGTGTATAACACATGGATGCTGATGGTTGTCATGTGCTCTGCAGGAAGCAGGAAAATTCGTGTTTTGTCTCAAATACAAGCTTCGTCGCAGTACTTATATAGTCGTTTGGTGTCCAAAAGTAGATTCCAACGAGACATTGACAGGGCAGTATTTATTTCAAGCATTACTCACCTCTCGTCCTATCGGAAGCATAATGGGATATCGGCTTTCATCATATGTGAGAACGTGCTGCAGAGAGCTCAGATGACGTCTCGCCATCGTACGCAGTGCTGCTGAGCATTGCCTAGCGGGGGAATGGGGGAATCTGAACATATCCAGGGTACTAAGTATCGCACAACAAACATAAAACGGACTTATCAGTGTTACGCCATTGCACACTCAGAAAGGGCCGTGCAGGCACTAGCACAAGTGATAGTGCGGGAATCGAGCATGTTATGGAGGTGATGGTGAATCCCGAGTCGATGTAGTTGATTGGCGACAAAGACCTGCCTCCGTGACGTAGCAGAACTTGGAAAGTGATTACATGGATGTGGCCGAGATGTCTTTCACCAAGCTTGATAATAGCATCGAAGTTATGGCCATGATTGAGGATTTTGAATTTTGAATTTGGAAAGCAAGAATGCTGCAAGTTGTGGCGGTACTCTATATCTGGGAGATTTGAGGGCAAAACTTGAAGAGGGCAAGGTTCCATGGTCTTTGAAGGGCGCTATATTGCGAATTTTCATAAGAACATGAGAGCGATAGTTGATCGTTGCTGAGAACAACAACAACAACAATTGGTGGTGCGTGACTAGCACGAGCAGACCCACCAGGCTGATTGGTGCTATAGGCAGGAATGATGGGAGCATGGAGGACTGAGTAGGTGGTGAAATTGGTGAGTCGAGACTGAAGATTGCAAGTCGAAAATGTGTTATAGGATGCATGAACACAATCAATTCGCTCCGCAACCATTGCCAGTTAGTCTCCTGGGCTGACTATTTTACCCCAGCGTTTCTGTAGAAGAGGTATATTTTATGGTCATAACCAAGATACGAGGGTCGACCTGGCTGACGACAGCAGAAACAAGCGCGTACTAGCCCTTTGGGACGACATAAATATCATCTTTGGAGGGAGCAGCGAGAACCGCAGATCAGGAAATCAGAACGAACGTAGCGCATGATGCTGTGAATAGGCGGGTGCATGCGGGGCGTCTTATGAATGACGGAATCGGGGACTGGAAGCTTGCAGAAGACCTCATGGTCCGTCGAACGGAAAAATCCATGTGAATTGTTGAAATGGTCGACTTTCTCCTGGTGAAGTGTTTCCCTATGATGACGATTAGCATGTGTGAGCTGGCGATAGCGAATGGGACTCACTGGACTTCGATGTTCTGAGCAAGGTGAAGAAGCGTCCATGAAACGGAGGTGGGGATGGTGTGCTGTCCCGCCATGAGAAAGGCAATCATGATAGGTGCGATTTTGTGGTCACGGAGAGGTTTGCCATCACAGTATTTTAATCCATCAAGACGGAGATCGTATCAGGCTCGTCCTATAGGATGCATCGTGAATATCGGTTGGATCCCACAAAAGCAAACACCTGGGCCGGATTTTCTGCATTTGCAGATAATGTCGGTGTGATATTCGCATAGAAGAGTCCAGGTACAACTGCTTTACCAGGAGAGGCGGTGATATACTGCTGCGCGGCATCAACAACGGCTACAACGTAACCCGCAGCTGGGGTGGTCGAATCGAACAGCATGACAAAACAAAGACAAGATACAAAGCAATGCAAATGTCAGCGACAGTCTAATCGTCTGTAACATCAGCCGTGTTTTAATTTGTATGTGTCTGCAGTGATTATGCTGGATGTCGTCAATGACCTGGATAATCAGTACATATGTAGGAGAAATTAGTAGAAAAGAGCAAGACAAGACCCGGATCAGCGCAAGGTACTCGCGTTACTTAGGATCATGCTTATTATGTAAGAAAGGCGGGACCTTCACAATACCAGTAGTATCACAGCACCGATTTGTTGCCACATACGTTCTTCATGTCACTTTTTGACTTTCGCACCATATCATACACTACCGCATGTACTCCTCCGCCACCATATCGTCGTTTCCCATTCCCCATGTCAACTCCTCAGAACAACTACTAAGCTCTTCGACTAGTAATGAGTTGTTGTACCTCTAAATCTCAGAGTTCAACATATTTCTATGTAAGACTCATCGCACTCGACATAGCCACAATATTAATCAAATGAACGTTGCCGGTCATTGACTTTCACACCCACGTTGCAAATCGAAGATTCTGCACTTACCATTTTTATTGGCGTCCTCATGATACGAAAGTCCAATGACTGCGTTAGCGGATTGCTTGGAAGCGGAGCACACGCGACTGCAACATCTACGTGGAGTGCACAGCTCTTGATCTCATTTCGGTTACTCAAGCACTGGATAGTAGTATACGCAGTATATATACCACGAATTGTTATTGTCATGCATCTACCAACTTTGGCCGCCCTCACTTCGTCTCTCATTCACACCCATTCTCTCCCAATACGACTATGATAGTCTTAGATGATCCCGCTTTGTGGCCTTTCGTCAAAGCGTGTCGTATCGCCAGTTATTTTATAGGTTGGTAATTGGATGTTGAAGTTGATGTCTCAATCTGACCTTGACGGCGGTTTCATAGTTGCCGCCTTTGTTGCAGTGATGTATGATTGGGGTGGGCATGATGACATCAAAGGACTGCTGATATCTTACAAATATTTTCAGGACTTACATTCGGACAAGAGGTATGTCAATGCTGTGACCGGGGCAGCCATCTCGCTGAAAATGGTTTGATAGGTCGAATTGATATGGGTGAGTAGTGTTTCGTGTCAGAGGAACAACCATGAAAATACACTTAATTACAGAGGCAACGATGGTCCCTAATGACAATTCTGTATCTCGGTGTACGAAGTTTATCTGTCGTGGTTGCCATGTTGTGCTGACTTGAAAGTTTCCTAGGTGCGCTACTTTGGAATCATATATGCTGCGTATGTTCGGAAAGCTAGACAGTCAGTGTCGTGCTAATCATCCATCTCTCATAATCAGCCTGGCTATCCTGAGTATGTCTCCTTAGTTCGTTCACCATCTTTGCTTCCTCTGACCAACGGCATCAGGCGATATTCCAACCATCTCGCTGACAGATACAGTGAGTCTTCTGCACAGATGCCTGCTATTATTTTTCAATTGAATGTGGTGCCCTGTAGGGGTGGGTGTGGTTCTTTATTGACTTCTTGGTTCACTAATGAATGCTACGCTATACTGCCACAGATGTGAGTCTTTTTGGAGTGTGTGCTACTCGAGGCCGGTCACTCACTGGATTCGTCAGGTTCTATTATAGACGCCGTACAGGATTGGATGGCTGTTTTTGCAGCTGAAATGCTTTGGGGTGAGCTTGGTACTTGTGAGACCTCAGTGATATCGACTCAACTGAGACATGCTGCAAGTCATTGTCATCACTCGGTTATATGTTATGTATCAACGCTCCAGAAAGATTCTGATATTTCTCATTGTCACCTTCCTGGCATTGAACATTTTCTTTGGAGTGGTCATCATGATGAAAGCGATGCATACTTCATGGGGTATGCTCAATTATCGATGAAAACAAATGTACTGACGAATACCAGGAGAACGTGTTATCTCCGGCACTTATCAGTGCCATATTGCGAAAGAAAATACCCCACTTCTCACGTCTGTTACTTGGCTACTCGCAATTTCGTGGCAGGTCCTTGCACTGTGTCTCGCAGTCTGGATTACGGTAAAACACTTCAGTGAACTGCGACAATATTCGGCAGGAGGGATGATTGGGGACTGTTTTACGGTGTTGATGAAAACACATGTGGTTTACTCTGCAAGGTGAGATCATGTTGCGGTTAATGTTCCTTGTTTCCACTGAAGAGTCGGACATGATAGCTTTTTTGCTACTTTTTGCTTCCTTTTCATTGATAGTTTACCTCCAACATTCTCAATGGTATGTCAATCTTTCACTTACCTCTGCATGTAACCACGGTTCATCATTTCTATAGCATCTATCTAACCAAGAAATTCAGACTTATTCTGGCTTGGCTCAGATTTCGACGGTCATGTGGATATCTGTCCTGGGACCACGTCTGATTCTTGGCGTTCGAGAACACTACGCTAAGCTCGTGGTCAATTCTGACACAGCAACTGCCATGACCTCAATCGCTTTCCAGGAGCGCGTGCACATATCAACTGGCAGTGGTGTATAACTCACGAGATGCTAATGGTTGTCTGGTTGTCTGCAGGAAGCAGGAAATTGTGTTGTTTCCGATCCAAACCTTGTCGCAGCACTTGTATAGTTATTTGGTATCCCGAAGTAGATTCTAACGAGACATTGGCAGGCCTGGCAATATTCTCGTCATAGTATTTATTTCAATCATTTGCTATAGGCCCTGACATTGACAATGTTTCAATTAATGTCCTTAGTATTGCTACTGTACTAACGAAGGAAAGCAGTGTACTGAACAGGAAGGTCGAGAAGCGAAAGATGTTTGTAGGTGATGTCGCCGGAACGTTGAGATGCAAGTTTTTATTTGCTCTTGCTTCTCATCCTCGAGGACAACTCGTGACTCAGTACTCACCTCTCATTGTATCGGAAGCATAATGGGATATCAGCTTTCATAATATGTGAGAGTGCGCTGCAGAGAGCTCAGATTACGTCTCGCCACCGTACGCAGTGCTGCTGAGCATTGCCTAGTGGGGGAATGGGGGGAATCTGAATATATCCAGGGTACTAGTAACATCTGAGTATCGCACAACAAACATAAAACGACTTATCAGTGTCACGCCAGCACACCCAGAAAGGGACACGCAGGCACCAGCACAAGTGATAGTGTAGGAATCGAGCATGTTGTGGAAGTGATGGTAACATCGAGACAGGGAGAGGTGAATCCCGAGTCGATGTAGTTGGTTGGCGGTAGAGACCTGCTTCTGGGACGTAGCAGAACTTGGAAAGTGATGGATGTGGCCAAGATGTCTTCAGCAAGCTTAATGATGATATCGAAATTAGGGCCGAGAATGTTGCAAGTTGTGGTGGTACTCTAGATCTGGGAGATTTGAGGGCAAAACTTGAAGAAGGCAAGGTTAAACAGAAGTTGTTAGACGCTCACAAGTTACTTAAGGGTGCTCAGCACGACAATGAGACTCGGAATTGACGTATAGAAGAGTCCAAAAATAACCGTCCTACCAGGAGAGGCGGTGACATACTGCTGCACAGCATCAACGACGGCTGCAACGTAGCGTTGTAGCCCGCGGCTGGGGGGGCCCGGCGGGTCTGTCGAATCGAACAGCATGAAAAGATAAAGACAAGATGCAAAGCAATTAATGCAAATGTCAGCGACGATCCAATTATCTGAGCATCAGCCATGTTTTAATTAATATATGCCTGCAGTGATTTTTTAAGAAATTGAGGAGAACAAGATAAGACCTGAGACAAATTCACGGTCGCGACTTATGAGTCATATGAAGGGACCTGCATGTGATGACTCAGCAGGTAGCATAGGTTGTTCTTGTCAGTAGTAGTGTACGGTCAATTTGGAACTGTCCGAAATTCACAGGGTAAATTTACAGTGCGTCCAGAGGCCTTCAAATTCACCACTGTGAATTACCGTAAATTAACATGTCTGTAAATTAATGCTATTTTACAGGTGAATCAGGTCAAATGTACTGTGAATTACAGTGAATTAGGTGAGTTATTCAACTTTCCACTCGTCCCAAGCAGAAGGGTCAGGGACGGACGGAGACAAGGTTTTTGCGGCCTTCTTTGTTGGTGCAGAACCCGACTGGTGCACACAAATCAATACCGCTGGATGCCGCAAGCACGAACAAATCTTTCTCCACTGTCCTAAACTCTGAAAGAGCAGCTGGACCATCCAACCAATCTGCGCCATTGTCAAACTCTGCTGAGTCCGAGTCCGAGTCCGAGTCCACCGTGCTGTCCTTGCTTCAGGTGGAGGAGGCATTCGACCAGCAGGAGGCAAATCTTCAGCGGACCGCTTGCCAAGGATAGTGGATTCCATATCATGCCACTTGACGAGAGGTTTGTATGGTGTTTTTAGTTTCTGTGTAGTCAGTATGAGACTGAGAACTTAACACGCGAAAAAATGTTACTCACATTAGAATCAAAGGAATGGTTTCGGGGAGATTTTGAAGATAAAGAGATAGTAACTGTAGCTTATTTCTCGTTTCACAATTCATGGTTGCGAATGTTATGCCCTAGCCCTAGTGCAGATACTTTGCGAGATTCACAGATTCACCACGGAGACGCCCATCGGATTGGCAAACTCCAAATTCACCCAAATTTACACCCCCAAAATGCCCTTCGAGATTCACATGCTGATTAACGCTAATTTACAGGTGTAAATTTACGCCTGTAAATTTACACCCCTCTATTTGACCGTACACTAGTCAGTAGCACATACACACACGCTCCGGGTAGAGCATTTCTCTGACTCTTGGTTCGAGTCCACCCACCCTGTCCATCGTCCATACACAACAAATCAGCCTTCATGCAGTAATCAGCGCGCCCGAGTCTTCTTTTTCCACGTCTTCTCTCAGCGCTGTTTGAATCTAGGAATGTCATTAATGTATCTATCAATCAGCGATTCATGTAAATGGTTCCGCTCGTCGAAATGTTTCATGTCCAACATTTACGTTGAGTCCCTGGATCTTTGGTCGATCAAGGCAGGGATCATCAACATCTTCCAACCTCATTTTGGCGATCCAAGCGCTGGATGGTGGTTATATACCAATATGTCAACAATCTCAAGTGATCCCACTTTGTGGTCAGCCATCGATGTATATCGTTTTGCCAGCTATTTTCCAGGTTCGTGTAGAACAATCGGGTGTTGACGATCGTCGATGAGCGCTGATTCGGATGTCTCAATCTACCCTTGACTCCGGTATCGCAGTTGCCGCCTTTGTTGGGCTGACGTATGATTGGTGTGAGCACGATAATATTAAAGGATTACTGATATTTTACGAGTATTTTCAGCACTCACATTTGGACAAGAGGTATGTCGATACCATGACCGGAGCAGCCATCTCGCTCAGAACCTTTTATAGGTCGAACTCATCTGGGTGAGTAGAGTCAGAGGGAACACACATGACAATACACTTATTTACAGAGGCAACGCTGGTCCCTAATGACAGTTCTGTACCTCAGTGTATGTAGCTCGTGTGTCGCAGTTATCATGTTGTGCTAACTCGAAAGTATTCTAGGCGCGCTATCTTGGGATCTTATATACTGCGTATGTTCGGAAGGCTAAACAATCGATGTCGTGCTAATCATCTATGTCTCATAATCAGCATGTTCATCCTGGGTATGTCTCCTCAGTACATTCACTGTCTTCGCTTCTGCTGACCAGTGGCATATAGAGAGTGTTCCGACCATCTCGCTGACAGATACAGTGAGTCTTCCGCACAGATGCCTGCTATTCCCCTTCAATTAACCGTAGTGCCTCGTAGCAGTGGGTTTGATTCTTTGCTGCTAACTTCTTGGTTCGTTAATGACTACCACACTATACTTCCACAGATGTAAGTCTTTGGAGTGTATACTATCCGAGGCTGGCCACTGACTGGATTTGTCAGGCTTCATTATATATGTCGTACAGGATTGGATGAATGTGTTGGTATGTACAATGCTGTGGGGTGAGCTTGGCGCTTGTGAGACCTCAGGAATATTCACTTGACTGAAACATGCTGGAAGTCATCATCATCACTCGGTTGTATGCCATGTATCAACGAGACAGAAAGATCCTGATATTTCTCGTCGTCACCTTCCTGGCAATCAACACTTTTGACGGAGTGATAGCCGTAATGTCAATGATGCATATTTCGGGAGGTACGCTTGATTATAGATTAAAACGAACGTGCATAGGGCTTATTGATGGATACCAGAGGAACTCATTCTCTCCGGCACCTACCAGTGCACGATTAGCTACACAGGAGATATCCTGGTTCTGTATTCTGCTACGTGGATACTCTCCATTGTGTGGGAGGTCCTCACACTATGTCTCGCAGTCTGGATTGCGGTAAAACACTTCCGTGAACTGCAACAACATTCGACAGGAGGGATTATCGGGGACTCTCTTACGGTGTTAATCAAAACTCACGTGGTTTACTTTGCGAGGTAAGTTCATATTGTGATTATTGTCCTTTTTTCCACTGAAGGGTCGGACTTGGTAGCTTTGTCGCTGTTTCGTGTTTCGCCCTCATCCTTGATTTATCTCCAACATCAACGGTATGTCAATTTTTCACTTACCCCTACATGTGATCACGATCTATCATTTCTATAGAGCCAACCTTTCCTAGAAAATCAGACTTTGTCTGGCTTGTTTCAGATTTTGGAGGTCGTGCAGATGTTCGTGCTAGGACCATGGCTGATCCTTGGCATTCGAGAATACCATGCTAAGCTCGTGACCGATGCCGACGCAGCAACTGGTATGACTTCAATCGTTTTCCAGGAGCGTGTGCATATATCGACTGGCAGTAGTGTATAATGCTCAGTAAAGTTAACGACTGTCTAGTGTTGTACCAAGAGCAAGGGATTTTGCTTTGATTAATTCCTACTTTCGTGATGGTATTCGTTTATTTCGTGTTTCTAAGTATATTTCAAGGAGACATAACTATATTTCGATATTATCATATGACAGATGCCTTGAGGCAGGTTATGGAGGGATTCAAAGAGACCGACGATAGATCAGTATGATGGCAGTATTGGCCCTACTGCTAGGCTTGTTGGTCTCTTGCAATCAAACTTGAATATTGGAGCGGATTCTCTAATGCGCGGCACTGGAGTCCTTGAACAATTTCACGTAGATTTCAACCAGTACCATGTTCGGGCAATCGTGATTCGTGAAAATCACCCAGACTTCTTGATTCCCCCGATTCGGTCATCCCAGCGCGTCTGTATCAGAAACCGCATGACAGCAACTCTGTGCTGCCATCATCAAACTCAAGCACTTTGTCCGGCGCAGGCTCTCTGCAACGGACTCGAGAAGACATACAGACAGTTCTCTAAAATTAATATACGTGCAGAGGTTCATCGTATGTGCGCCTGGGCATGCACTTGAACGCATCGCCAAGCTCTACATGCATGACTAGAAGGGATGGCTGAGACAACAGCTAACGCAACAATATTGCATTCCGATGTTCACCCAATCACGACTACGTGACCATTGCCAGTTCGTCTCCTGGGCTGACTATTTTACCCCAGCATTTTTGTAGAAGAGGTATATTTTATGCAAGTCACCGAGCATCCAAGAGTAAATACGGAAGAGGTATAGGATAGGTATCTAGGGGAAGCGGAGCACATCCTTTAATCGAATCTCCTGCGTCTGTAACAGACATTCCGAGGTTTCTTTGGCATTGTGATCATGGTCTATGGAAGGATTGTTAACAATACTCGAGAGTGATGATGAACTGAATGGACGAACATGATAGTTGTGTTCTGGGATCTCTGTAATGCCATCCTCTAACCGAAGCTCAACTTTGCGGATGATGGTGGAAATCACAGTTCCAAGTTGCAGGTATGCGAACTATTGAAAAAATCAGCCAAACACACCTCAGCAAGCAGATAATCAAGCCCACCTGCTCGCCAATGCATCTATGCCTCCCGGCACCGAAGGGTTGGTACGGGCTCTCAGTTCCCTTGCTTACAGCACCGAAACCATAATCAATCTTCTCGCCATTCTCGTCAGAGTAAGTCTTGAAAGCCTGAGCAGCAACGCCCTCGGGGTCACTCCACCGTGTTGGGTCCCACTTCGTAGGGTTAACCCAGATAAGGGGGTCAACCTGGCTGACGGCAGCAGAAGCAAGCACGTAGTAGCCCTTTGGAACAACATAAACACCATCTTTGGAGGGGCAGCGAGAGTCGCGGGAACTGGGACATCGGAACGAACAGTAGCGCATGATGCTGTGAATAGGCGGGTGCATGCGAAGCGTCTCACGAATGACGGAATCAAGGACTGGAAGCTGGCGGAAGCCCTCATATGTCATCGGACGGAAAGAGCCATCCGGGTTGCCGAAATGATCGACTTGCTCCTGGTAAAGCGCTTCCCTATGATGACGATCAGTATGTCAGCTGCCAATAACGAACAAGGCTCACTGGACTTCGACGTTCTGAGCAAGGTGAAGAAGCGTCCATGAACCGGAGGCAGAGCTAGTGTGCTGTCCTGCCATGAGAAGGGCAATCATGATGTGGGCGATTTCATGGTCACGGAGAGGTCTGCCATCACGGTATTTCTGATCCATCAAGGCGGAGATCATGTCAGGTTCGTCCTATAGGATACATCGTGAATATTGGTTAGATCCCATCAAAGCAAACGCCTTACAGAGTGACCTGATTCCCTGCGTTTGCGGATAATGTCGGTGTAATATTCGCTCATTTTCTTGTGTGCCTTGTCCCGACGGCGATAAGATTCCAAAGGCAAGTTAGGAAACATAAAATTCAGCGGGGTGAAGCCTCCATCCAGGTCGTTGTAAAGCGCAGAAAACGATTTGTCCAAACCACTCCTGACCTCCTTGCCTTGCAGAGTACGACTGGCAGTCAAAATAGTGATTTGAGCCATGACATCCGTCACATCGAAGCGTCCCCATTCATTGATATCGTCCATTTGCCAGATGATGAATGCTTGGTCGCTGCGCATGTAGTTGTCGACTTCTTGCTCGAACATGCCCACGTACGCCCGGAAGTTCTCAGTTGAGAGGCCGACTTTAACAAACTTCTTTTGCTCCATGAATACTTCGTTGGGGACGTCGTATACGACATCTTTACCGAAGACGGGGGTCGTGAGGTGCTGTTTGTGGTTGAGAGGCATTTACGAAACCACAACAATCGCACATACTGTGTAAGCATCTTCTGCAGAAAACGCAGTCGATTTACCACCCAAGACAAAGTTGTTTCCCTTAGCACCAAGTGCGACGGTCACCTTGCGTCCAAGTAGAGTGAATGTGAAGACATCGCCGTACTGAAGAAAAGTATGAGACAAAATCATGACATGAGAGATATCACACGACCGTACTTTTTCCCTACACTCGAAGAAAAATTTGAGTGGGTCATCGCCGTACGCGATGGAGGACCCAACGAAAGGGATCCAGTGGAACACTTCTGGAGGTAGTGAAGGATCTCGGGGAACAACCTGGCGACGTTGCGTCAGTAGACACGCAAACTGGAGTTGCTACATGCTCACCAGCTGCTTAAGGATGTTCAGCACGAAGATGATTATTGGCGTATAGACGATTCCCAGTAGAACTGTTCTACCAGGAGAGGCGGTGAGATACTGCTGCACAGCATCAACAACGGCTGCAACGTAGCCCGTAGCTGGGGCGGTCGAATCGAACGACATGAAGAAACAAAGTCAAGGATGCAAAGCAATGTAAATGCTCCCGCGCTGTCCAAGGAGCACTGGCAGGGTCTCACGAACGCGACTGACTTGTTTTTCAGCGCGCGTTTTTATCTTCCCAGAATAGGTTGTCGAACCACATTACGTGGCTTAGTCATCCCACCATCCGAACCAATCATATCCGGACAACTGACTTGCTTTCCGACGGAGAGAAATATGGAATGAGGTGTGTTAAATCATGCAGTGGATAATTAATTAAGCTATGGTGCATTATGACGTGTAAAAATCTAGATAAAAAGAAGCTATGCACCACATAGCTCCACCATGAACAACGCCTTCAAACCGACCTGTATGTCCTTGACTCGCACATTCACATATTGCCCCACCGGGATATCCGTAGTCCGAGGCGTGATAATTGTTGCTGGTAGACCAAGTGATGGGATGTGGCATTGAAATACGTTCGTCAGCAAGTCGCGCTTCCTGCCAGACTCTGTGATATATGCACTGAGGGATTGCAGAGGGTCGACGCGATCACTGGGAGGGTTCGGGTGGTCAAGGAAGCGCTTGATGTACATGAGTGTCCACTGCATGCGATGACTCCGATCACTATGCTTCCAAAGCTTTTCGTACTCAAGTACTTCGGTGGCGTAGGTAGTGAGCCACCCGGGAGTGAATGGACGCGTAGATGCCTTGGGCCGAAGCAGTACATCCTTGATCTGCCAGTGCGCAACTAGATCGTTGTACCGTCGTAGCGGTGACGTGACACGCACATAACCTTCCCCTTCTGGGATACCCATGGACCAATGCATGCCTGGCTTAAGGATATACTCGACAGGTGGAATGTGCAATTTCGTCTGGAGCAACTCCGTGTGATCCACAAATCCATCCTCATCCATTCTCGCAATTAGCCTCTCAATGTCTCTGTTGTCCTCGAGGGCTATCGGAGGCCGTGCAGAGCGACGCAACATCGGCACTCCCTTTGCGGCGAACCACCGTGAGGCAACGCGAGATGCTGTTTTCATGCAGTCGGCAACAAGCAACCGCGAGCCGCGCTCCATTGTCTTCTGAGAGTACACTTGATAGGTAAGGTTAGGGAAGCCACGATAATACGAAGCGTTCCAAGCTGGTGTTGTCGGAGCGCCGCGGATTGGTTTTGCATTAGCCACAAGAGTACCCGATGGAGCTGAGAATATGAATGGATTTAGTGTCTGGCGGTTACGCTGTCGGAACTTGCGCGTCAAGTTGTCCATGAGACGCATATTCTCCACATCTTTTGATTCTAGTACAGGTACATGGGAAATTTCAGGGGTCTGGGGTGCTTCGAATGGGTAGCCAAATTGAACACCTCCGTTTCCAAGAAGTCGATCCACACTATCATAGTCGACTCTTTTGACGTTGCGAATGAGACCGGCTTTAACATCGTAGTCGACCATGTTGCCTTCAGCGTTTATCTTGAAGCTGAATGTAAGGACAGGTTCAGGCTCTCCCTTCCGAGAATGCGAGCCCAAACTTAGTCGGTCGTGGGTAAGGGAGGGAGGTAGCATAGGCCATGTCCTGTGAATGAAGTATGCGGAAGAGCCCATTCGACGTGCTGCCTCTGAGATGATATGAGTCGGTGGAAGGATAACAGTAGGGTCTGCAATGTGGACGTGTATCCAAGCCGAACCAGGCTCGTTAAGAACAGGTTCCACCGACAAGCCATCGTCCAGCTCTTCTGCGCTCACGTCGTCAATCACGTAGACTGGTAAGCTTCCGAAGTCGTGTCGCAGATGCTCGACGGGATCACGATCATAGAAGTCTTCCGGTCCTAATGGTTGCTTTCCCTTCGCCCGCGAGGGTCGCAGCAAAGACAGGCTCCTTTGGACAAGAGCGTGTTCATCTCTGGCACGCTGCGACTCCTCGTCTAGAGTCAGGTCCAGATTCAGCTCCTTCCTCTGGGTCACGATATCCTCCCAAGGGGCCATCTCCCCCATCTCTATCAGGAACTGCCGCAGACACACGTCGTCCACCATCTTATGAGCATGCAAACCAATCCTCTTGATGATGGATGTGACCACTCCGGAAAAGGGATCAATACAAGTGTTACGCGTCCTGCGTAATGCAAGGTGCAAGACATCAAGGATGGTGCGATCGTCTGTGGAAAATGTGACATCCTTTACGACAACTCTGCTCGGAGGCTCATCCCAAGACTCGTTAGCCTTCTCCCTGGCAGTAAGAATGAGGCCGCGAGCTTTCTCGATAAACGCCTCCAGTTCCGGACTCCTTTGCCGCACCATATCCACAACTCTCTGCAGTTTAACAACATGGTTATCTGGCCGCACATCGTACGTGAGCGCAAGTCTCTGAGACTGCATGTGCGGCACAAATTCGATAGGGCGACCCATGATATATTTATGCGTTGCGAAAAGAGTCGGCCAGCTCTCCGGTCTATAATCGCACACCAGCTTCGCAGCCTCTGAAAGACTGACGGATCCCCACTCGTCTGGGTGCTTCGCCCGCACGTGGGGATATAGCGCTGCGTTCTTCCTTCCAATGACCATGAATGCCTTGTTTATTTCTCTCTCGGCCTCCCGTAGGTACTTCAGGATTTCAACTCGCGCATTAGGTCTCTGTGCGGTCCATTGGGGTTGCGCTGGTGCCTGCGCGGAGGGCAAGGTCCCTGTCAGCTATGCGAGGGACCTCGATGTACACATCTGACTCGACATGCTGAATGACTTCGCCTGTACTGATCAGGGAGAGATGCCACATGCGACCGTTCATATACGAATGGCCCAAGACTACACCATGTGCATATATAGAACCCCTGCAATATCATAAGTCATCGAGGACAAAGAAACAAATGACGCATAAACTCACCTTCTAATCTCAACAAGCGATCCAACCTCTATATTAGAAACTGACGAAGCGTCCCCTGGTCCTGCCCCAGAGTCTCCATCTTCTACATCATTTGCGAAGATAGCTTGCGTTTCTGTCATGGGTGGCTTCGGCTTCACCATCTCCAGCAGACGCATTTCGTCGCCTCGTAATGTCTTCGTGTGCTTCCATGGACGTTTGGGAGTGAATTTGGTGCCAGCGGCAACACGGACAAGTTTATCCGTTAGCTTGGCTGCTGCAGCGAGTTCACCGGGCGGTAACTTTCGAAATCGACGATTGGAGGTATTTGAATCATTGTTCTTTATTGGCGTAGGTATCGAATATGATTTTGTTGGCTGGACATTGGACCGGATGTCTGTAAGCAGTTGGCCGGCGCGACGATGCATGAAAGGATACGGAAGAAAATGCACTTGTGGCTGTGCAAAAAGTTAAAGCCGAAAATGAAATGGTCAGATGATCAAACACAAGCTTTGTTCGATACTATCAATTCATTGAATTTCATTGTTCCCTTCGTCACTCATCACCATGTTCAAACGAGTCGAAAAGAAGCGCAAAAAGCTGGAAGAAGAGGAAGAACTAGGAATTGATGAAGATATGAAGGGGTTCATGGAGTTCAACGACACCGATTCGGATGAATCTGCATCAGACTCGGATTCTGGCTCTGACGAACACTCGGACGTTCAATCAGGCGAAGAGGACCTGGAGGAAGCTGGATATGAAGATGGAGATGAAATGGAGGAAGATGATGCAAGCGATGATGAAGAAGAAACTCCCATCTTGCTATCAGAAGCATTGAGGGACCCCATCTATATCGTCTCGCTCGACCCAGATGTCCGAGCTTGTATATTATGCAAGGGCAAGGTCATCAAGGGCACTCAAATGTCGACAGTCCACAAAGCATCTACTGTATGTCCCTTTCTCTGAACATGCAACTGAAAAAAGACAGAAGTTCAGGCTGCCGCAGGCTCATGTACGACGTTTCGAGCGTTTCAAGACCTTCGCAGCGAAAAGTGATCCCCAGAGCGACGCTTGGAAAATTGCAAGGACGGTACAAAAGGAGGCGTCGAAGCCTACTGGTACTCAGAATCGTCTTGATGCCGGATTGTCGAAGCGCGCTCTCAAAAGAGTGAGTGGTGTATCATGCTATGTTTCGAGGTGGATTTTCTCAATGCTAGGTTTTCAGTCAGCGAAGCAAGCATCAATAAAAGAGAAGCGGAACCTTCACAATAAGCTTCGTGCAAAGGCAAAGGCAAAAAAGGCCGCCGAAAAAGTTTCATCATCCCAGGATGCAGCAGGGAAAGAGTCACCAGCAAGCAAGACGCTTGAGAAGCAGAAGTCGCAAAAAGCTGGAGCTGCGAATGGCGACAAAAAGTTGGTGAAGAAAGGGGAGCAGAAAGCCACCGGTGCAAAAGTTCACGACGTAGAAAAGTCCGACGCCTCACTGAGCGACAAAAGGACAGTAAAGAAAAGAGAACGGAAGCCACCCGTTTCTGAACTTCAAAACGCAGAAAAATCAGAGCCATCGCCCCAGAAGCTATCGGAACCTCAAAAGAAAAAGCGCAAGGTGCAAAAGGATCAAGTCACAACCCCCTCTGCTCCACCGCAATCTCCAAAACGGTTGCAGGAGAAACCTCTCAGAAAACCGAAGACGCCTCGTCAAAAAGAACGGACAACAGCTAGGGCTTCTTGAGTAGGCAGACAATCTGTATCGATCAGTCCACGTCACAATGATCCCGTTAGATATGCATAGAGCTGCCAAATAAACAAGTAAAGCAACACGGTCCCAGTCATGAAGGTATAGTATAGTGCTCTACAACAGCGACTGTAGTACTCTGTCGGTCATTGTAATGACCTAGAGGGATTCTTTCAGCAACGTTGATACTCCTACCAGAAACACAAAACACATACCTGATGAATATTCGGTCTGTCTTTAGGATTAACTTTCAGCATACTATCAATCAAGTCCTTCAGCCCTTGTGAATACGCTGAGTTCGGGTGCTTATACTGAGCGTTCAGTACAGCCATCGCAATCGAGCCGCCTTGCTCCGTCGTTTGGATATTTTCAAATGGCGAGTGTGAGTATGCAAGAGCGAAGAGCGTGCATCCAAGTGACTGTGAAGGGTTAGCGAATGCGTGAACGGCAACAGGAAGATCTACCCATATGTCAACTTTCTCGTCAAGAGTAACGCCCGTTTTCACATCGAAAAGTTCTGGAGCGCGGTATGCCATGGTGCTTTGTTCCGCGGCAATATCCTGTGAGATGAATGTGAGATGAAATACAATAATAGATATATACCTGCATATACCTGCTGTAGAAGGGCCAGTGATCGACTATCTATCTTTATTCTTGCTTTTATAGTACTGCCAAAGTCCATCAGTATGGGTGTGACTCCATCGTCCGCGATCATGATGTTCCTGTGGTGCAAATATCAGAGGTGCAATTGCAACATATCAACAATATTTTGACCCAGGTTTCAAGTCCCGGTGGGCATATGGAACGTGTTCGCTCTTCCCCTGAGGCACATTGCCATTTCGAGCTGTTTGAATTGCAGAAACTTCCTCATCACCGTCGAATATCACGTCCCCATCCCCCTCGACACGATGTTTTGTCATCAGGGGCATGTTTACGGACTTATCGTAAGAGTAGCCACCCTCACCGTCGCCCTCCGGTTGCGGGAAAAGCTCGTCCTCTCCGTCAGAGTGGTTCTCTTCCACGCGCGAAGATGAACTTGACGAGGAAGGCTGAGGTTGAGCGGAAGAGGAGCCAGTAGTTGTGTGGTAATCGTGCATAGCGCGCACGGCTTCGCATGTCCCCTTGAACAGCCGAATCATATCTTGCTCAGGAAAGTGCTTCCCATTCACGACGTTGAGGTTAATAGCATCTTGGAGGTTCCCGCGCTTTATCCCAAAAGGTCTACAGGTGTTCCATAGTAAAGCACGCCTAGAACATACCTGATACAACGGCAGGAAGAGGTAGACAATCTTGCCTTCACCTTCGGGATCTTGAACGACAGCAGAGTCCTGTGCAGTTATTCAGGAGCTACATGAAGACGATCCGTTGGCACTCACAAGTATCCGGATGATGTTTCGGTGTCTGAGAGCATACTTAAGACAGCAAGGTAACCGTCACTAAGTTGACTTACTTGAAACGTCTGTATGCCTCTACCTCCCGCATAGCCTCCTTCACGCCCTCCGATCCAGTAGGACATCTTATCTTTTTGAGGGCGAATTGCCGCTAGATGTACACCAAGCATATGTGAAATGTTGTGAGGAACGAACTCGTGAGATCGCGTACCCCACTAATCTCGTCTTGTGCCAGATAAACAAAGGAGAATCCACCTTCGCCGAGGACTTTTATGATATTAACTGAGATCATAAAAACCACGTTAGCAAGTGCAAACGAATGTTCTAGATTCGTTGTAAAGGGTATGACTGACACGTTCGGCCATTAATTTTTACTTTGGCTGATTGCTGGCAGAGACATGAAGAAAGGGCCCAGATAGCGTCTTTTGCTTGATCTTTGAGACTGTCGAGTGCGCTGACGACCTGAGAGAAAGCCATGAAAGCAGAGGTAGGAGCGAATTTCAGCAAGTACAGTGACAAGTCACTGCGGTTCAAACTTCACTAGTACATACAGTATTCAATAAACACAGCCACAGGCGTCCGTTACGTCTGGTCTAAAAATAGCAATTAGTATGTAATTGAAGCACTTCTTTGAAAGTTTATTTTCAAGTTCAAGTGAGTACCCGTGCAAGCATGAATAAGGGGAAGGGGGCAACTCATTTTGCAGTAAAACTCAAGCTAGTAGCCGGGTGATGGAGAGTATTGCATTGCTGTGACCACCACATGATGACCGGTTAAAGGAGATTAATTGCCTGAGCGGCGAGCGCTCTAGTAGACTTTGAACACAGTGACTGTGGACCGGGAGCCTCGGCGATCACTAAATTTTATTTTGCAGACGGGGGCCGGGTAAATTGACTGTTTTACCCGTGCTCATTCGAACTGTCCGGATATCCACAAATTTCTTTGGTTGATTGGATTGTGAAACTCACTATACTTAGGCGTCAGCCCAATAGCGCGCAACTTTGGCCAGATTCAGAGTCAATTGGTAGGGGGGACTTGCCAACTGATTATGATTTTACAGGATTACATGCAGCCAATTTACAAGAATGATATATCTGTCTGCGGAGGAGCTACACCCTGCAGTCGAGTCTCAACTCCTGCCATTAGTAGCATCATTACTCAGGCTACTGTGATAATGGCGTTTACATAGGAAGGTGTGCTTTGTGAGTGATTCTTCATATGGACTATACTTCTTGATGCCACCATCACCTTTGCCACCACACCTGAAATGCGTGTACAAGTACGATGGCACTGTGCAGTGAAAGCAGTACTGCAGTCACCTGAATTCAAAAAGCTGCGCAACCACAAATTACTTCAAGAGTCTCAAGAGACCCCGTCGTTTACCGAGCTCCGCACAGTGACTCCGACAAATTCAGGTGGATTGATTACCTTATGGGGCACGAGCAGCTTTCTTTGTTTTCTTATTTTTTCTTTCCCTTCAGCTTCAAAGATGCAGGTCACAGCATTCGAAAATAAAGTATATCATGGCAACGCTCACGTTTCTGCAAGTTGACAACCACCTGCTGATTGTGGGTGGCAGTCACGGTACCTCCAGTGCAAGATGCCATGATAAAGACGCCACTCTACCACCTCCCACAGAGATGTTGATCCACTGTTCCTTTTGAATCTTATCACGACATTCCACAGTCCTGGCATATACGATCACAGCACGCCATTGTAAAGTTGCTGTAGATGCTTGTGGATTCCCCTGGATGCTGGTGGATGTGGAGGTAGCGCTTTGACGACAAGTGCTATAAAATACCTGCATAGGTGCCAAGGACAGGTAAGTTACTATCATCGTCTATCTTCTCCAAGTAAAACCATGGCTTACCCGTACCCTTTTGCATTCCCTGATGCTAGGCAAATTTCCCAAGCGTCATCTTACTCCACACTCTCCGGTGCACTTGACCCTGCACCGGCTCAGTCGACGTACCACCCCGTTCGGCCGAATGCTAGTACCTCCGATAATGTAGGACTATGCTTACAGATTTTTGTCATCCTCCTTACTCATCTCACAATTTGTAGGGAATACCCATCTCCCAGTATATACGTGCCCAGACATCGTCAAACCCGGACCTCTCAGGTGCCCTCGGCCCTGCACATGGACAACCGCACCAATATATTCGGTCACAAGCTCCCGTATTTACCGTAAGTGACGCGTGTCGAGGTACTGGCAATCGATTTACCTGTTATGAATTTGTAGGGGGCATCCATCTCGCCATATTCAGCTGTCCCATATACGTTAAATGGCAGTTACGAAGGGTCATCTGTGAGTCCACGTAAAATACCTGTCATTATTACTTTCTAATGTCCGAAGTCTGCTCGCTCTCCTTACCCATACCCTGAGAGGAATGTTTTGCACCCCGCCAAATACATGGCCAATATGCCACCCGCTGCGCCCAAAAAGATGTACAAGACCGTCGTTCCTTCAGGATTCCATCGGCTCCCGCAGCCCGTTGTCACTGACACATCTGCGTCCCCAAAATCGTGGTGTAGGATTGGATCCCAGCACGCTGCCATCAAATTTAACAGGAAGGGTGGAGGGATGGCCTTCCGTGTCGACGAGCTGGTCGAGCTCGAAGATAAGCCAGAGGTGGAAGGAGGCCATGATCAGGTGTTTAGTGGCATAGGAGATAGGTTTATCAAGGTTTTCATCACGGTAAGTTGAAATACCAGACAACTTTTTTGCAGTGACTAATTTCCGTTGCAGTGGCCTGGATACAGTCAATTAATTGTAGAAAGGCGGATCTGCACCGATAATGGAACTCTCAAGAGAGAGAAGTTGCTCAAGTTGTTGGCGAAGTACATTGAAGACCTCGTGCAGAATATCCACGTACGTCCAAGTGTGCTCACCTTTTTTGTTGGTACTGATCAGCCTATGCAGCGCAAATCGATACATGTGGAAAAAGGATACGAGAAATACAAGGTTGAGTGGAGGCCACGTGGGCTGCCCAGTATTTGGAGAGACTGTTTGATCACTAGTCTTGTCCACGAATCGGGATCCAATTGGCAGGTGGAACTTCATGTGAAGGCTTGATGGGGAGAACATGCTGGACTCGCGTATCATTATTCCATATAGTTATATTGTACCATTGCAAGCCTGGAGCTTGCGGGAATCCTGTATAAATAAATAAAAACCCTTTGTTACGTCATGTATATTTGTGGGGCCGAGGCCGTATCCTCAGCGCTCAGCGATGACCGCGGAGGCACTCATGAATCGGAGTTCCCATCTGCATGCTGAGGCTGTTCCTCAATGGAAACTTTAGCACCCAAGCGAGATATTTCTGAGAACGCTGCTTTAAGTAGGTCAAGGTCCGCGTCCAAGCCCTCCGCCCGTGTCTTCATCTACAGAAAAATGAGACTATACAAAGATGCACCTTGGAAATTTACACACCGCAGCTATTGTATCACTAGCTGCAATCAGCTCATGATGGTGGTTGTAAACCAGAGACTGCCTATCGCCATCAAGTTGTCGTATTTCTGAACATCCGAGTCCATGAGCAGACGTCTCACACGGTCTTGGACGACACGAACCTGTCAGTAGGTCATTCTCTCGCTTCAGCAGAGCCGACAAAGATGATGCGGTTATAAGTTGTTCGTAGTACGATTTTGCGTCAAAGGCTGCTGAATCTTCAGTAGCATAGTGAGAATCGAGCTTGAGAACTTGATGACTTTCAAAACATACCTAGATCCATGGGGTCGTCTGATCTTCCAGGTATAGGTGGTGGTGGACCTACTCCGAGGCCATAGTGCTTCCTCAAGAGATCTCTAGCACGAGACTTTGCAAGAGGCCCTGGAGGTGTTTTTGTCCGAGGCGTTTGTCCGACACCAAGCGAGGATCGACGAGAATTGGACGGAAGTACGGTTGAAGAGCTTTGAGGAGACGTTGGTCTCAGCGGAGACGAGACCACTCTAGGAGCTGACTTCACACGATGGGCCGTTGGGGATGTAGGTGTAGACTGTGCGGTGGACATGAGGTGATGATGATACTTACTCCAATTAACGGTCCAATGACGCGATCACGTGCCGGTGCACCGGCAACAACTCGGACGCCACGTCGCCGAGCACTTAATTTTATCTGAAATCACTGCAGTCACTTGCAAGCATCTAATATTAGTCAAAGCACGGCCCATGGCACAGATGCTCATTTGGGTTGTCCAACTGTGCCATCACTCGAGCCTCATTGGCATTCTGGTTCAAGCACCACTCATACCACGACAAGTTCTCTTCGCAAACTGCGTACTAATGTTAACCTTCTATGGCGCATCAAGCTTTCAAGCTCCACCCTGCACGTCCGCCGGCGTAGTGATTGTTTGAGATAGTATTCTATCACTTGTGCGTACCTAAATTCTCGTCCACATCTAGTCTTATAACAATTTGCAATACAGCGCACTCCAAATGTCTTTGAACATTCCCTTAAAGTAATGCCCTCAGTATCACCACTTCTTGCACGCACGTTCCAAGTTCAAAATTCTCAATCAATCTAATGTCGAAAACATCTTGACCACACACCAGCTACATCGAGAGATTCACCTTGACCTCGCTATCACGTCCGCAGCCTGACCTCAAGGAGCAGATGCTCGACTTCCGCACTATGATATTGCCGGTGCTGGTGCATCCCTGGGTGCGTCACTTCTCACCATTTTGAACCACGTCAACAAGCTGTTTTATGTTTCGTGTGCTATTCACAGACGTTAGCACCTTGGATTCTTTCAAATTCCCTTGACTCCACAGAGGCGCTGGGTCTCGAGTGAGGAACCGTGTCCTTCATATCACAAATGTTCAACACGGTACTTGTATCTCCAAGTAGTGTTTCAACAACAATCCTAAACACATCTATAATCACATCCATATTTCCACCTCGACGAACAAAGAAGAGAGGCAAGCTCCTCCATAAGCGTTAACCAACTTCAGCCTCCTCAAGACTCATCAAGTATGCCTCGCATCATCAAGCTATGCATACATGAGCGTGTTTCTGACGCCGCACACTTTGTGATCACCTTAAATGGATCATCATCTGTAGGCCAGTTGGCGTGAGTCAGCTGAGAAAACAAGGTAGCAGTCCGTAGGACATTAAATGAGGCAAGAACATGAATCGAGTATGAATTGCTGAGGAACTGAAGCAGTGCGCTGTCACTCGGCTGTCCTCACGCGCACTGCCCAAGCAATCATATGAACGATTGCCATCACACAGAAAAGAAGGACCAGTGGTTGGTGCAAGTGTGCGTGGGCAGCTAGTGCAGGTAGAGATATTCATCGATTTAAACATTATCAGCACGTATAGAAAATCACTTGACTAAATAATGCGACAAAACTTTGTATGTCTCCTTGAAATCTACTTTGGAACACTAAATAACTGTGATCAATACTGCAAGAAAGTGAGATTGAATAAAAGCAAATTCCCCTGCTCTTTGGAGGGCACTAGACACTCGTCGACTGCGCCGACTATCACACACCACTGCCGGTCGATATATGCACGCGCTCCTGGAAAGCAATTGAGGTCATACCAGTCGCTACATCAGAATCGGCCACGAGCTTGGCGTGGTATTCCCGAATACCAAGAATCAGGCGCGGTCCCAACACAAACATCTGCACGACCTGCGAAATCTGAAGAAACCCATAAATAATCTGAGCGTCCAGGGAAATGGCCTATAGAAACGATAAATTGTCGGTAGCGTGCATAGCCGAGTGAAAGATTGACATACCATTGATAATGTTGGAGAAAAATTAACAATCATCTCAAAGCAAGAAACAGCAACAAAGCTACCACGTCCGATACGTCAGTGGAAAAAGGAACAATAATCACAATATGAGCTTACCTCGCAAAGTAAAGCACGTGAGTTTTCATCAACACCGTGAAACAGTCCTCCATAATCCCTCCTGTCGAATGTTGTCGCAATTCACGGAAGTGTTTTACCACAATCCAGACTGCGAGACATAGTGCGATGACTTCCCACACAGTTCCGAGTATCCAAGCAATGGAAGTTATAAGTATGAGATCTCCCGTATAGTTACTAGTCTGGCACTGATAAGTGCCAGAGAGAATGTGTTCCTCTGGTATCAATGAGTCTCATGCACGGTTATTTTCATTCACAATTAAACGCACCCCCTGAAGTATGCATCGTTGTGATTATGGAGGCCACTACATCGAAAGTGTTGATAGCCAGGAAGGTGACAACGAGAAATATCAGGACCTTTCTGGATCCTTGATACATGGCATGCAACCGAGTGATGATGATGACTTGCACCATGTTTCAGTCAAGTCAATTTCATTGAGGTATCGCAAGTGCAAAGCTCACCCCATAGCAGCGCAAATACCACAACACCTATCCAATTCCATATAGTGAACATAATATAGCCTGACGAATCCAGTCAGGGATTGGCCTCGGGTAGCACACTCTCCAAACAGACTCACATCTGTTGCAGTATAGCATGGCAGTCATTAGTAAACCAATAAGTCAGTAAAGAACCACACCCACTGCTACAAGGCGCCACAGTTAATTGAAGGGGAATATTAATAGGCATATGTATGGAGACTCACTGTATCTGTCAGCGAGATGGTCGGAACACACACTGAATGCCGTTCGTCAGAAGAAGCAAAGACAGTGAATTTACTAAGGGGACATACCCAGAATGGCCAGGCTGGTTATGAGAGAGGACGATTAGCGCAACAGAAATCTGTAGCCTTCCGAACATACGCAGCGTATAACATTCCAAGGTAACGCGCCTAGGATACTTTCAAGTTAGTACAACATAGCAACCGCGACAAACAAGCTACATACACTGAGATACATAACTGTCATTAGGGACCATCGTTGTCTCTGAAATCAAGTTTATTTTTACGTGTGTTCCTCTTACACCAGACTCTACTCACCCAGATCAATTCCACCTATAAAGCCATTCTCAGCGAGATGGCTGCTCCGGTCATACCATCGACATACCTCTTGTCCGAATGTAAGTGCTGAAAATAATCGTAAGACGTCAGCAGTCTTTTAATGTTATCATGCTCACACCAATCATACATCACTGCAGCAAAGGCGGCGACTGTGAAACAAAAGCCAAGGTTAGATTGTGTCAGCTTCAACATCCAACTACTCTCCACGAACCTACAAAATAGCTGCTCAAACTATATGCATTGATGGACGACCACCAAGTGGGATCATTGGAGACTACGGTCATATTGGTAGAGAATAGGCGTGGGTGAGAGGCGAACTTGGTGGACGTAAGACGATGGCATTCGTGCTAATTATACCACCATCCGGTAAGTAGATCGGCGAAACGAGATTGGGAGATGATGACCGTTCCTGCTTTGATTGGTCGAATTGGATATTTTGCATGAGGAAAGATAAATGAATCCAGGGGATCGTAGTAGATGTTGGTCGTAAAACATCTGAACGAGCGAAACACTTGAACTCCGCAAAAGATCGAACAACATCAAGAACTGTTCGTGATCTTGTCGCCTTGGTTTTCATGCCATTCTCAAGATGTTTTTGCTACACGTGCATCAGTCCATCAATGAAATTAAATACTATTTCATCTGTTTGGCACATGCTGATCATGGTGCGACCATCGGAAAACCTGACATTGCCTCACCAGCACAGGCCCGGGGACATAACACCTCCGAGTCATTCAAGGTCACTCAACAAATGCACATTTGCGTCAGCATGACGCCAGGCCAGAAAAGTCAGCCGTCAAAAATAGCGGAGATTGACACAACACAAACAAATTCGCATCTTACCCTGTGTGCCGATACCACCCTGCTTCATTGTCTCATCTCGTCCCTAGGTCATCTGTCGCTTCATGCGCACGCTCTCGCTCTCCGCCTCAGAAATTGGGCCATTGTATGATCTGGATACCAGAAATGGTCAGCCCAGAATATTTGATTTGTATCGTGGTCCGTGGAGTTGGTACGGTAATAAGAGGTATCAGGCTTCGCCGGACTTCCTCCTGGTTGAGATTCCGTGATTGATGTATGATGAAGATACATCACCACCCCTATATCAAGGAAGTATTGAGAGAGAAAATGAGAGAAAATGATAGCTCGGATGCGCAATGGCTGAAGGCGATGATATTCTGTTGGTACATCATCAGAAATTTAGAGATTTGAAGAAGTCGAGGGAATCACTCACCGAAACATACGGCTGCCAATGCACACCGTCAATATTTATTCCAATAAAAACCAATCCAAAACATGCCACACTTAATCATCATGCAGTTGATGCCCTTCTGTTGAGTCACGCTTTCGTAGGGTAGCCTAAGTGGAAATGTGGATTGGAACGCCGTCTGTATTTCGCATGAACCAGCTACTATGACAACGCCCGAGATAACACCGACACCTCAGAATCCTGACTGATGATCAACATTCGAGACTTGAGGATTCTCGTGGCGTTAGAGCCTTTCCATGCTAACGGATTACACAAAGCCGGTTCTGTATGGGTTTGCTTAGCGAAAAACGATCGAAAAAGGATGGGACACTCACCGCGAGTGTACATGTGCCGTGAATAAGAGTCGAGCAGCTGTACGATTTCATCGGGTGGCCTTGGTTCGACATTGAAAGAGCGGGATGTCACGGCTGAGGGTTAAGGCCTAGGAATAAGTACTTGCTTTAATTTCTGGGGATCTGGCGTACCCAGGTGCAATGATATACAATATCGCACTAGTCGTTAGCTGGTTTATAATATATGATGATTTATAGTGGGCATCGTCATTTGGGAACAAGAATCTATCAGATGAGCAACCCGATCGCGAACTAGACTCGTGACCAGCAGCCATGCAGTCGCATGTCTTTTGAGAGCAGTGGAGAATTTAATAAATATTAACGTCGTCGATTTGACAGGCGAAGTACGGAGTTTGAAATTTACAGCCTACCTGCGTTCGTGCTCAGTTTGCCTCTGTTACTTTTGTTTGAAAGGTTTTATCACAGATCGTGCGTGCCTGAAGTCTTCTGAATGGTAATTTCCCTCCCGTGCACACATGTTCTTATGACAATTCGCAATGCAACACAATTCAAAGATCGATCATGGAACATTCCCTTCGAATTCGATACCCCAGAGTACCACCACAACCTAACGCACGTACTTTCCAAATCTAAATCAAGGCCCCATCGTCGATTTCATTTTGAAGACATCTTGGCCGCATCCATGTAATCGCTTTTCAAGCCCTGCTACATCCCAGAGGCAGTCTCTACCACCACCCAGTTACTTTGAGAGATCGACCGTTCCCTGTCTCGAACTCGCTGTCACATCCACCACTTGAAATCAAACAACAGATGCTCGACTCCTGCACTATCGCCGGTGCTGGTACCTGCATGTCCGTTCCTAGGTGCGTCACATCATCGAGCCATTTTGTGTTTGTTATACCATGCTCAGATGTTAGTATCCTGGATTCCCTTGACTCCCCAGAGGGGCTGGGTCTCCGCTACAGAAAGCACGCAGGAGCATTCAAACTCACCACTTGTGGCCTTTATATCACGATGATACATGTATCCCCTGATAACACTTCTGTAACAATCCTAGACACAATTAAGCCAATTGGCACGAGTCAGCTGAGAAGGGCGTTGAATGAGCAAGGCGAGAAGATAAATCAAGGACATGTTGTTGAGGAACTGAGACTGTGCACTGTTGCTCAACTTGGCTCTCGCGTCCTCATTTGCCTAAGCAATTGCGTGAATGATCAGATCGATCATTATCAGACAGAGGAAAGAAGAACCAATGGTTGGTGCAAGTGTGGGTGGACAGCTGGTGCCAGCATAGATATTCAGGATGTTCATTTTAACATTGTCAGTACGTATAGCAGATCACTTGATTAAATAATACGACAAAAACTTTATGTCTCCTTGAAATCTACTTTGGAACATCAAATAACTTCGATCAATATCTTCAAGAAAGTGGTAATAAATACAAGCAAATTTGCCTGCTCTTTGGAGGGCACTAGACAACCGTTAACTCCACCGAGTATCACACACCACTGCCAGTTGATATTTCCACGCGCTCCTGGAAAGCGATTGAGGTCATACCAGTTGCTATGTCAGAATCGGCCACGAGCCTAGCGTGGTATTCTCGAATACCAAGAATCAGGCGCGGTCCCAATACAAACATCTGCACGATCCCCGAAATCTCAAGAATCCCAGAAATAATCTGAGAAACCAGGGAAATACCCTATAGAAACGATAAATTGTGGTAGCGTGCATAAACAAGTGAAAGATTGACATACCATGAAGAATGTTGGATTGAAATTAGTAATGAGATGGAGACAAGAAACAGCAACAACGCTACCACGTCCGACCCGTCAGTGGAAAAAAGGGACAATAATCACAATATGAGCTTACCTCGCAAAGTAAATCGCGTGAGTTTTCATCAACACCATGAAACAATCCTCAATAATCCCTCCTGCCGAATGTTGTCGCAGTTCACGGAAGTGTTGTACTGCAATCCAAACTGCGAGACATAGTGCGAGGACCTCCCACACAGTTCCAAGTATCCAAGTCACAGATATAAGAAGTGGGATATCTTCCGCAAAGTCAGTCTGGCACTGATAAGTGCCGGAGAGAATGACTTCCTCTGGTAACCATCAATGAGCGAAATGCACGTTTATTTTCATTCACAATTAAACCCACCCCCTGAAGTATGCCTTGTTGCCATTATGGCGACCACTGCATTGAAAGTGTTGATAGCCAGGAAGGTGACCATGAGAAATATCAAGATCTTTCTGGATCCTTGATACATGGCATACAACCGAGCGATGATGATGACTTGCAGCATGTTTCAGCCAAGTGAATATCACTGAGGTATCGCAAGTGCAAAGCTCACCCCACAGCATCGCAAATACCACAACATTCGTCCAATTAAATACGATGTAGATAATCCAGCCTGACAAATCCGGTCAGTGATCGGCCTCGGGTAGCACACTCCAAACAGACTCACATCTGTTGCAGTATAGCATGGCAGTCATTAGTGAACCAATAATTTGGCAAAGAACCACACCCACTGCTACAGGGCATCACGGTTAATTAGAGAGGAATAGCAAGCATCTGTGCAGAAGACTCACCGTATCTGTCAATGAGATAGTCGGAACATCGACTATATGTCGTTGGTCAGAAGCGAAGACAGCGAATGTACTAAGAAGACGTACATGGAATGGACAGGCTGGTTATAAGAGATAGACGATTAGCACAACATAGATTGTGTAGCCTTCTGAACATACGGAGCGTATAAGATTCCAAGGTAACGCACCTGGGATACTTGCAAGTCAGTACAGCATGGTAACCACGACAAACAAGCTACATACACCGAGATACATAACCGTCATTAGGGACCATCGTTGTCTCTGGAATAAAGTATATTTTCATGCGTGTTCTTCTGACACCAGACTCTACTCACCCAGATGAGCTCCACCTATAAAGCAATTCTCAGCGAGATGGCCGCTCCGGTTATATCATCGACATACCTCTTGTCCAAATGTAAGTGCTGAAAATAATCATAAGACGTCAGCAGTCTTTTAATGTTATCATGCTCACCCCAATCATACATCACTGCAACAAAGGCGGCCACTGCGAAACCATAGCCAAGGTTAGACTGACTCAGCTTCAACATCCGGCTTTCTACGAACCTATAAAATAGCTGGCCAAACGAGATGCATCGATGATCGGCCACCAAGTGGGATCATTGGAGACGTAGGTCATATTGGGAGAGAATGGGTGTGGGTGAGAGGCGAACTTGGTGGATGTATGACGATGGCATTCGTGCTAGTTATACCACCGTCCGGTCCTTAGATCAGCGAAATGAGATCGGGAGAGGATGACCGTTCCCGCTTTGATTGGTCGAAGCGGATATTGTTGCATGAGGAAAGATAAATTAATCCAGGGGATCATAGTAGATGTTGGTCGTAAAACATCTGAACGAGCGAAACACTTGAACTCCGCAAAAGATCGAACAACATCAAGAACTGTTCGTGATCTTGTCGCCTTGTGTCCGATGCTATTCTCGAAATGATTTTGCTACACGTGCATCAGTTCATTAATGCAACCAAGTACTACATCTGTTTGATACATACTGATCACGGTGCGACCATCGGAAAGCCTGGCATCTCATCTCTATTCGCCTCTCTTGCACAAGCCCGGGGAGCATAACAGCTCATCCAAGGTCACTCAGCAAATGGATATTGCGTCGGCAAGACACCGGAACAGAAAAATCAGCCGTCAAATCGCACGAAGAAGCAAATTCGCACCCTACTCCGGCTACCAATACCTCCCCAGTGAGCATAGGTCTCGATGTCTCATCTCAACCTTAGGTCTGTCGCTTCATGCGCACCCTCTCGCTCTCTGCCTCGACAATTGGGTTACCGTATCATTTGGATGTCAGAATTGGTGAGCTCAGAATGTTTGATTTGTATCGTGGAGTCGGTGCGGTGGCACTGCGTTTCACCAGAGATGTGAGATTCTGTGATTGATGTATCATGAAGATACAACATCACCCCTATATCGAAAGAGCGCTGAGAGAGAAGATGAGAGAAAACGGTGCTCAGATGCACAATGGCTGAAGGCGATAACATTCTGTTGGCACACCATCAGAAAGTTGGTGATTTGAAGAAGTTGAGGGAATAACTCACCGGGTCCTACAGCTACCAATGCACATCAACGCTTATTCCAATAAAAACCGATCCAAAATGTGCCACATTGAATCCATCATGCATTTGATGCCATTCTGGTGACTCACACATTCGTAGGGTAGCCTGAGTGGGAATGTGGATTGGAACGCCGTCTATATTTCGCATGAACCAGCTACTACAACGACGCCCGGGACTGCACCGACATCTCAGAACTCCGACTGACGATCAGGATTGGAGACTTGAGAATTCATGTGGCGTTAGAGCCCTTGCATGCCAACCGATTATACAAAGCCGGTTCTATATATAAGGGTTTGCTTGGCGAAAAATAAGTGAAAACAGATGGGATGCTCACCGTGGACGTAGATTTGCTGTGAACAAGCTGTATGATTTCATCAGATGGTCTTTGTGAGATTTTTAAAAAGTGTGATGCCAGTACGTACTTCAATTTGGAACACTGGGGATGCTGGCGTACCCAGTCGCGGACTTTGAGAATGTCAAACTAGTGGTACATCTGAATTATGACGCTAAAGCGGGTATGGGCATTTGGGAACAAGAATATATCAGACGAGCAGCCTCAGCGCGAACTAGAAAGTCTAGACTCCAGTCTGATCGATCTTGACAAGCAAGCACGGTATTTGAAATTTGCAGCCTGTTCACGCGCGTATCTAAAGTCTAATTGTGACGTGCTTTGTTTTGAAATGTTTTATCACTCTCGGCTTCCAAGCATCCGTCTTCGACTTGCAATTGTCGGACTCGACTTTCACCAACACCACCTACTCAATCCTCCGCAACCAGTCCTATCGCTTTCAAAGCCTACCTATAGCACTCACCAACCTGGTGGCTTGTTCGTGCTAGTCACGCTCCAACGTGCTCAGAGCGACTCGTGTCATTTTGTTTGAACTATTCTATCACTTGTGCGTACTGAAATTCTCGTCCAGTCTATTCTTATAACAATTTGCAATACAGCACACTTCAAATTTCTTCGAATATTCCCTTCCTCTCAAATCTCCCGGTGTCACCACAACTTATAATATGTTCTCGCACGCACGTTCCAAAGCCTAAATCAACCTAACGTCGAATCTCGATGATGAATCAATGTCATTTTGGCCGCATACCAGCTACGTCGAAAAATTCACCTCGATCTCACTATCACGTCCACAGCCTGACCTTGCAAGCAGCAGATACTTGGCTCCTGCACTATTGCTGGTGCTGGCGCCCGCATATCCATTCCTAGGTGCGTCCCTTGTCGCCGTTTTGAGCCACGTCAACAAGTTGTTTCATGTCCGGTTAGCACCCTGGATTCCTTTAAATTCCCCTGACTCCACAGAGGCGCCGGGTCTCAGCTGAAGGATCACGGCCTCCATATCACAGTGCTCAATAGGGTACATGTATCCCCCAGTAGTGCTTCAGCAATAACCTCAAACACGTTTACATTTGTATCCGTATGTCTACCTTGGCGAACGAACGTGAAAGGCAAGCTCCTCCACAAGCATTATCAAACTTGGCCTCTCCAAAACTCATCAAGTATGCCTTGCATCATTAAGCTACGCATGCATGAACGTGCTTCGCGCACCTTGTGATCACCTTGAATGGATCATCTGTAGGCCACTTGTCGTGAGTCAGCTGAAAACAAGGTAGCAGTTCATAGGACATCGCATGAGGCACGAAGACGAATCGAGTATGGATTGCTAAGGAATTGAAGCAGTGCGCTGTCCTTCGACTTTTCTCTCGCGCGCTGCCTAAGCAATCATATGAATGATTGTCGTTGCATAGAGAGAAAAAAGGACCAGTGGTTGGTGCAAGCGGGCAGCTAGTGCCAGTAGAGATATTTATCTATTTAAACATTCTCAACACGTATAACAAATCACTCGACTAAATACTACAACGAAAACTTTGTATGTCTCCTTGAAACTTACTTCGGAATACCCAATAACTTTGATCAATACCTTCAAGAAAGTGGTAATAAATAAAAGCAAATTTCCCTGCTCTTTGGAGGGCACCAGACAACCGTTAACTCCACCGAGTATCACACACCACTACCAGTCGATATTTGCACGCGCTCCTGGAAAGCAATTGAGGTCATACCAGTTGCTGCATTGGAATCGGCAACGAGCTTGGCGTGGTATTCCCGAACACCAAGGATCAGGCGCGGTCCCAGCACAAACGTCTGCACAATATCCAAGATCTGAATCACCCCAGAAATAATCTGAGGGGTCAGGGAATAGCTCTGTAGAAACGATAAATTGTGGTAGGGTGCATAGGCAAGTGAAAGATTGACATACCGCAAAGAATGTTGGATAAAAATTAACAATGAGATGGAGACAAGAAACAGCAACAAAGCTACCACGTCCGACACGTCAGTGGGAAAAAGGAGCAATAATTATACTATGAGCTTACCTCATAAAGTAAACTGCGTGAGTTTTCATCAACACTGTGAAACAGTCCCCGATAATCCCTCCTGCCGAATGTTGTCGCAGTTCACGGAAGTGTCTTACCACAATCCAGACTGCGAGACATAGCACGAGGACCTCCCATACAGTGCTGAGAATCCAAGCCACAGATATAAGAAGTAGGATATCTTCCCGTGCATAGTTAATCTGACACTGATAAGTGCCAGAGAGAATGAGTTCCTCTGGTAACCATCAATGAGCCCAATGCACGTTTATTTTCATTCACAATTAAACGCACCCCCTGAAGCATGCATCGTTGACATTATATTGACCACTGCATCGAAAGCGTTGATAGCCAGGAAGGTGACAACGAGAAATATCAGGATATTTCTGGATCCTTGATACATGGCATGCAACCGAGCGATGATGATGACTTGCACCATGTTTCAGTCTAGTCAATATCACTGAGGTTTCGCAAGTGCAAAGCTCACCCCACAGCATCGCAAATACCACAACACCAATCCAATTACATACAGTGTACATAATCCAGCCTGACGAATCCGGTCAGTGTCGGCCTCGGGTAGCACACTCCAAACAGACTCACATCTGTGGCAGTATAGCACGGCAGTCATTAGTGAACCAAGAATTTAGCAAAGAACCACACCCACTGCTACAGGGCACCACAGTTAATTAGAGGGGAATAGTAATAGACATCTGTGCAGAAGACTCACTGTATCTGTCAGCGAGATGGTCGGAGTATTGCCTGAAAGCCGTTGCTCAGAAGAAGCAAAGACAGTGAATGTACTAAGGGACATACCCACAATGGTCATGCTGGTTATGAGAGATAGACGATTAGCGCAACACCGATTGTGTAGCCATCTGAACATACACAGCAGATAAGATTCCAAGGTAACGCGCCTAGGATACTTTCAAGTCAGTACAGCATAGCAACTGCGACAAACAAGCTACATACGCCGAGATACATAGCTGTCATGACGGACCATCGTTGTCGCTGGAATCAAGTGTATTTTTATGTGTTCCTCTGACACCAGACTCTACTCACCCAGATCAATTCCACCTATAAAGGCGTTCTCAGCGAGATGGCCGCTCCGGTCATACCATCAACATACCTCTTGTCCAAATGTGAGTGCTGAAAATAATCGTAAGACGTCAGCAGTCTTATAATATTATCAGGCTCACCCCAATCATACATCACTGCAACAAAGGCGGCGACTGCGAAACCACAGCCAAGGTTAGATTGACTCAGCTTCAACATCCCACTGCTCTCCACGAACCTACAAAATAGCTGTCCAAACGATATGTATTGATGGCCGGCCACCAACTGGGATCATTTGAGACTACAATCATATTGGTAGAGAATGGGTGTGGATGAGAGGCAAACTTTGTAGACGTATGTCAATAACATTCGCAGTATCATATATGTATACCGCTATCCAGTGCGAAATGAGATTAAGGGGTTAAATCTGTGCAATCCACGTAGATGAGGCAGTTGCATGATCACCGGGCTGTCGTATCATAAGGATGCTAATCCTAGTGCAGAATCTTCAATTTGCAACGTGGATGTGAAAGTCGACGAGCGGTAATTACAGCAATTTGCAAAATGGTTTGCACTATCAGACGCGAGGCAAAGACCAGAAATTAAAATACTTCGCACCAAATATGGCAATTGAGAACACTAGGGCGAATGGAACGTGGAGGACGACTGATGCTCATAGAGGTTGATAGCAGCAAGTTTCACGTCGCGACTGATCTTGCGGAAGTTCCGGGCACATCAACTTGTTAACATATACTATTTGGAGACGACCCGAAGAAAGGCAAACACACCTATTACACGTGTACTAGCGAAGAACGTTGATCGAGTTTAATTTTCTTTGTACAAGTCTAATTGGTCGATATGATCGTGCGGGCCTATTACCGGGCCAGTCCCTTTGTCCTTGTGACATGCGCTCGACGACTTATCGCTTAGCTAATGACTGGATCTGGAGCGTATCATATGGTGCGGAACGCGGAATCATATCACTGAAAATTTCAGCTAACAACGTTCCAAGTGAAATGAAGCTCAAGCGCTCAAGCTTCATTATAGGTGGGAAAAGAACAATATAATACCTTCACATAATGTGTCCGGCTTTGGTTCGTGTTTTGTCTTCTTCTTCTTCTTCTTCTTCTTCTGCATACTCATCGTCTGGGTAATCCACGACACCCATCATAATCACTCCAAGCATCGGAGCCCACCAATTAAAACATGGTCAACGTTACAGATGCTGACCGGATTATCGTTGATAACGGGAACGAGGACGCCCTACGACCGCTCCGAATTGATGACCGAAGCGGCCTCACCCCATTTTTTACAGGCCCGGAAAAGATACCATAGTGTCAGGTATTCATGACATCCCCTTCTTCAAGTAATGCCTCAAATCTCCAAGAGTATCACCACGAACTATAACATTCTCGTACGCACGTTCTAAATCTGCAATCCTAGATCAATCTAACGTCGATGACATCTTAGCTGCATACTAGCTACATCGAAAGATTCACATCTCCTGGCTCGACCTTGCTATCATGCATGTCCATTCCTGGGTCTCGTCAGCGTTTTGAACCATGTCAGCAGGCAATTTTATATTTCACATGCGATCCCCGGACATTGGCACTGGGTTCCTTCAAATTCCTCACTCCACGGATGCGCTGGGTCTCAGCTAAAGAATCCTTTATATCACAAATGTGCAACGCGGTACTTGTATCCCCAAGTGGTACTTCAGCAACAATCTTAAACACATCTGTATCCGTATCCGTATTTCCACCCATCCAACAAAAGTGAAAGTCAAAGCTCCTCCGCAAGCATTAACCAACTTCAGCCTCCTCAAGACTCACCAAGTGTGCCTCGCATCATCGAGCTGCGCATGCACAAACGTGCTTCACGCACCTTGTAATCACCTTAAATGGATCGTTGCATCATCTGTAAGCCAGTTGGCGTGAGTCAGGTGAGAAAACAAGGACGGGACATTGAATGAGGCGAGAAGATGAATCGAATATGGATTGCTAAGGAATCAAAGTTGTGCGCTGTCCCTAAGCTGTCCCTCGACTTTCCTCTCGCGTGCTGCCTGAGCAATCATATGAATGGTTGTCATCGCACGAGGAAAATAAGAACCAGTGGTTGGTGCAAGTGCGAGTGAACAGCCAGTGCCAATAGAGATATTCATCGATTTAAACATTACCAGCACATATAGCGAATCACTTGACTTAATAATATTAATGCAACGAAAACTTTGTATGTCTCCTTGAAATCTACATCAGAACACCAGATAACTTAGATCAATACCTTCAAGAAAGTGTGAATGAATAGGAACGAAATCCCCTGCTCCTTGCAGAGCACTAGAAAACTGTTAACTTCACCTCAAACATCACTGCCAGTCGATATATGCACTCGTTCCTGGAAAACGATTGAGGTCATACCAGTTGCTGCGTCAGAATCGGCCACAAGCTTAGCGTGGTATTTCCAAACACCAAGGATCAGGCATGGTCCCGGCACAGACATCTGCACGACCTCCAAAATCTGAAGAAGCTCAGAGATAATACTAGCGTCCAGGAAATTGTCCTATAGAAATGATAAATTGTGGTAGCATGCACAGGCAAGGGAAATGACATACTATGAATGATTTTGGAGGGAAATCAAGAACGAGATGGAAGTAAGAAACGGCAACAAAGCTACCTCATCCGACCCTTCAGTGGTAAGAAGAACAATAATCACAATATGAACTTACCTCGCAAAGTAAACCACGTGAGTTTTCATCAACACCATGAAACAGTCCTCGATAATCCCTCCTGCCGAATGTTGTCGCAGTTCACGGAAGTGTTTTACCGCAATCCAGACGGCGAGACATAGTGCGAGGACCTCCCACACAGTAACGAGTATCCAATTAATGGAGGCCAGAAGTGGGATATTATGCGGATCGTCTAACTGACGCTGACAAGTGCCGGAGAGAATGAGCTCAGGATGTCATCAGTAAGTCAATGGGTCTAAGTAGAAATTGCCGCAGAAAACGGAAGACGTCGATCAAGATTCGAGTGCTTCGTTATTGCATCATGTGGCCGGTGAGCTCTTAGAGCATTCGTCCAGCACGTCCAAAATAGTGAGATCGATACGAAGCAAACGAGCTCGTGTCCTACCTGGGCTATCGAAACCTCCCTGCAAGCACATATCTCAATGTCTCATCTCGTCCTCAGGCCATCTGTCACTTCATGCGCACCCTCGTATCATCTGGATGCCGAAATGGTGAGCCCAGAATATTGTATTTGGATCGTGGAGTTGGTGCGGTGGTAAGAGGCATTAGGTTTTACCAGAGACGTCCTAGTCGAGATTCGGTGATTGATGTGAGATGAAGATACAATATCATCCCTAAGAGAGCGTTGAGAGACGAAATGAGAGAAAAAGATGCTTGAATGCACAATGGTTGAAGGCGGCTCACCGTGTCACATAGCTGCCATCGCACACCATCAACCCTTATTCCGATGAAAAACAATCCAAAACGTGCCACACTGAATCCACCATGCAGTTGATGCCCATTCGTCACGACTGACGCTTTTGCAGGGTAGCCTAAATGAAAATGTGGATTAGAACGCTGTCCATATTCGCATGAACCAGCTACCATAACGATGCCCGAGAGTACACCGACATCTCAGAACTCCGACTGTTGAACGATCAAGATCCGAGAACGCAGATAATGCGTGGCAAGAGGATCTCAGGATGCACAGGTTGTGCAGAGGGGTGATGCAGTTCGGCGGGGAGGTAGATAGTGGACATCCTGTTTCGGGGAGCGTACAGGATGATAAATTGATGCAAATACAGTGGAGCACTGGGAGAAAACAAAGTCTGACGCACCGCAGGAAGCTCGACTTTTGCTCTGACGCTCATTGTGTAGTTGATGGCAAATTGATGCCCATGTAATTGAAATGAATATCAGCGGCGTCTCTGCCTGGCCTCCTTCCTCTGAGGACTTGAGTCTGGGAGCGTAGCAAATGCGGGAATATGGTAAGGGCCTAGGGCGACTGATGAAAACTGATGCAAACTTAACGTACCACGTCGCTACTAGATTCGTCATGCATCCCGCAGTGGACGTTTTGAATGGGTGGAAGGAGCGGTATAGCCCAAGAAAGTGCTTGCTTACAATATAATCACATGAACGGGTACGATTGGGAGTCCTCCTTTATATCACTGTCAATGTTTTGTATTTGGGAAACGAAACAAGAGAAATGGCACAACTTACTTCTCTGGAGTCCGGACGGTCAACGTTGAAGTACACGCCTCAACGCAAGTTCGCCTTCCTCCGAGTCCTACATCGCAAGTCCTCTGTCCAGGGATCATCGATCATCGATCAGTCGCCGAGTGATTACTAGAGTCAGACTCCAGTCCAGATCGATAGAAAGCTTGACAGGCGAAGCACGGAGTTTGAAATTGCAGCCTTGCCACCAAGTTCTGATCGACGTGCTCAGATTGTCTCTGTTACTTTGTTTGAGATATTTTATCACTTCGAATTCTGCGTGCCTGAGATCGTATGAATGGTATGTGTTTGCCTCCCATGCATGCAATCTTCTCATCACTTAATTCACAATGCAGCACACTTCAAAGACCACGGAAGTGACTCCCTTCTTCGATACCCTCAAATCTCTTAGAGTACCACTATGACCTGGAGCACTCCCGCACGCACTTTCCAAATACCTCGCAAAGTAAACCACGTGAGTTTCCATCAAACACTACGAAACAGTCCCTTATAATCCCTCCTGCCGAATGTTGTCGCAGTTCTTGGATGTGCTTTATCGCAATCCAGACTGCGGGACATAGCGCGATGACCTGCCAGAAGATGGTGAGCAGGACTTTTAATTTGCGCTGTTTGACGTACAGCTTGGTTGTAGATATTTTGCGCATCAGTGCAAGCCGCAACTCTGGTTATTCATAAACGCATAGAAAAATGTGAGCTTCCGCGCATCCTCGACTTGTAATTTTCAGCCTCGAAACCACCTACTCAGTCCTCCGAAACCACTTCTGTTACTTTCAAAACCTACCTATAGCGCCCACCGACCTGGTGGCTTGTTCGTGCTAGTTACGCTCCAACTGTTCTGCTCAGAACGACTTTGTCACTTTGTTTAAAACATTTTATCACTTGTGCGTGCATGAATTCTCGTCTACATCTATTCTCATAACAAAATACAGCGCACTTCAAATGTCTCCGAAGATTACCTTCTTAAAGTAATGCCCTCAGTATCACTACTTCTCAATTGCACACCCGTTCCAAATTCGAAATACTCAATCAATCTAACGTAGACAACATCTTGGACACATACCGGCTACATCGAGAGATTCGCCTCGACCTCGCTATCACGTCCGCAGCCTGACCTTAAGCAGCAGATGCTCGAATCCCGCCCTACCAGCATGTCCGTTCCTGGGTGCGTCGCTTGTCGCTGTTTCGAACCACGCCAACAAGCTGTTTTATGTTTCGTGTCCAGTTAGCACCCTGGATCCCTTCAAATTCTCCCGACTCCACAGAGGCGCTGGGTCTCAGCTGAAGGATCACGGCCCTCATATCACAAATACAGTACTTGTATCCCCACGTAGTGCTTCAGCAACAGTCCTAGACACATTTATATTTATATCTGTATCTCATCTAACGAAAGTGAAAAGCAAAGCTCCTCTGCAAGCATTAACCAGTCAAGTATGCCTCGCATCATTAAGCTACGCATGCATGAACGTGCTTCGCACACCTTATGATCACCTTGAATGGATCATCATCTGTGAGTCAGTTGGCGTGAGTCAGGTGAGAAAACAAGGGTGGGACATTGAATGAGACGGAAAAATGAATCGAATACGAATTACTGAGGAACTGAAGCAGTGCGCTGTCACTCGATTTTCCTCTCGCACGCTGCCTGAGCAATCATATGAATTGTTTTCATCGCAAAGAGAAAATAAGGTCCGGTGGTTGGTGCAAGTGTGTGCGGGGAGCTAGTACAGATATTCAGGATATTGACTTAAATATTGTCAGTACGTAGTATGTGTAGCAAATCACTTGACAAAATAATACAACGAGAAACTTTGCATGTCTCCTTGAAATCTACTTTGGAACACCAAATAACTTCGATCAATACTTTCAAGAAAGTGAGATTAAATAAAAGGAAATTCCCCTGCTCTTTGGAGGGCACTAGACAACCGTTAACTCCACCGAGTATCACACACCACTGCCAGTTGATATTTCCACGCGCTCCTGGAAAGCGACTGAGGTCATACCAGTTGCTACGTCAGAATCGGCCACGAGCTTAGCATGATATTCTCGAACACCAAGGATCAGGCGCGGTCCCAACACAAACATCTGCACGACTTCAAAAATCTGAACACACCCATAAATAATCTGAGCATCCAGGGAATCGGCCTATAGAAACGATAAATTGTGGTAACGTAGGCAAGTGAAAGATTGACATACCGTCCAGAATCTTGGATAGAAATCAAGAATGAGATGGAGACAAGAAACAGCAACAAGGCTAGCACGACCGACCCTTCAGTGGAAAGAAGGAACAATGATCACAATGAGCTTACCTCGCGAAGTAAACCACGTGAGTTTTCATCAACACCGTGAAACAGTCCTCGATAATCCCTCCTGCCGAATGTTGTTGCAATTCACGAAAGTGTTTTACCACAATCCAGACTGCGAGACATAGCGTGATGCCCTCCCACACGGTGGTGAGTATCCAAGCAATGGAAATTATAAATTTGATATCTTTCGCATAGTTAATCTGGCACTGATAAGTGCCGGAGAGAATGAGTTCTTCTGGTATCAAATTCAATGAGTCTCATGCAGGTTTATTGTCATTCACAATTAAACACACCCCCTGAAGAATTCATCGTAATCATTATGAGGGCCACTGCATCGAAAGTGTTGATAGCCAGAAAGGTGACAGTAAGAAATATCTGGGTCTTTCTGGATCCTTGATACATCGCATGCAACCGAGCGATGATGATGACTTGCGGCATGTTTCAGTCAAGTCAATATTACTGAGGTCTCGCAAGTGCAAAGCTCACCCCACAGCATCGCAAATATCACAATATTAGTCCAATTCCATACGGTGTACATAATCCAGCCTGACGAATCCGGTCAGTGATCGGCCTCAGGTAGCACACTCTCCAAACAGACTCACATCTGTGGTAGTATAGTGTGGCAGTCATTAGTGAACTAAGAAGTTAGCAAAGAACCACACCCACTGCTACAGGGCACCACGGTTAATTGGACGGAATAACAAGTATCTGTGCAGAAGACTCACTGTATCTGTCAGCCAGATGGTCGGAATACTGCCTGAATGCTGCTAGTCAGAAGAAGTGCAGACAGCGAATGTACTAAGGAGACGTACTCAGCACGTGCAGGCTGATTGTGAGAGATAAACGATTAGCACAACACCAATCATGTAGCCTTCTCAACATACACAGCAAATAAGATTCCAAGGTAACGCGCCTAAGATACTTTCAAGTTAGCACAGCATGGCAACCGAGACGATCAAGCCACATACACCGAGATACATAACCGTCATTAAGGACCATCGTTGTCTCTGGAATCAAGTGTATTTTTACGTGTGTTTCTCTGACACCAGATTCTACTCACCCATACCAATTCCACCTATCAAGCCTTTCTCAGCAAGATGGCTGCTCCGGTCATACCATCGACATACCTCTTGTCCAAATGTGAGCGCTGAAAATAATCGTAAGATGTCAGCAGTCTTTTAATGTTATCATGCTCACCCCAATCATACATCACTGCAACAAAGGCGGCGACTGCAAAATAAAAGCCAAGGTTAGATTGTGTCAGCTTCAACATTCGACTGCTCTCCACAAACCTACAAAATAGCTTTGAACACGAGATGCATTGATAGTCGGCCACCAAGTGGGATCATTTGAGGCATAGGTCATATTGGTAGAGAATAGGTGTGGGTGAGAGGCGAACTTGGTGGACGTAAGACGATGGCGTTCGTGCTAGTTATACCACCATCCGGTATGTAGATCAGCGAAATTTTGAGATCGGGAGATGATGACCGTTCCTGTTTTGATTGGTCAAAATGCATATTTATTTGCATGAGGAAGGATAAATCAATCCAGGGGATCATAGTAGATGTTGGTCGTAAAACATTTGAACAACCGAAACGCTTGAACTCCGCAAAAGATCGAACAACATCAAGAGCTGTTCATGATCTTGTTGCCTTGTTTCCGATGCTATCCTCGAGGTGTTTTTCCTACACGTGCATCAGTTCATTAATGCACCTAAGTATTACTCATCTGTTTGATACATACTGATCATGGTGCGACCATCGGGAAGCCTGACATCGCATCTCTCTTCGCCTCGCCAGCACAGGCCCGGGGAGTATAACAGCTCATCGAAGGTCACTCAGCAAATGCACATTGCGTCGGCATGACACTGGACTAGAAAACTCAGCCGTCAAATCGCACAAAGCAAATTCGCATCCTACTCTAGCTATCAATACCTCCCAGCGCGCATACGTCTCAATGTCCCATCTCACCCTTAGGTCATCTGTTGCTTCATGAGCACTGTCTCACTCTCTGCCTCAAAAATTGAGTTACCGTATCATCTGGACACCAGAAATTGTGAGCCCAGAATGTTTGATTTGTATCCTGGAGTTGGTGCGGACCGTGCGGTGGTAGGAGGTTTCACCAGAGATGCGAGATTCCGTGATTGATGTATGATGAAGATACAACAACACCTCTATATCAAGAGAGCGTTGAGAGAGGAGATAAGAGAAAATGATGCTTAGATGCACAATGGCTGAAGGCGATAACATTCCGTTGGCACACCATCAGAAAGTTGAAGATGTGAAGAAGTTGAGGGAATAACTCACCGGGTCATACAGCTACCAATCCACACCATCAACGCTCATTCAAATGAAAACCGATCCAAACCGTGCCATACTGAATCCATCATGCAGTTGATGCCCTTCTGTTGACTCGCACATTTGTAGGGTAGCCTGAGTGGGAATGTGGATTGGAACGCTGTCTATATTTCGCATGAACCAGCTACTATAACGACGCCCGAGACTGCACCGACACCTCAGAACTCCGACTGACGATCAAGATTTGAGAATTCATGTGGCGTTAGAGCCCTTGCATGCTAACCGATTATACAAAGCAGGTTCTATATGGGTTTGCTTGACGAAAGATAATTGAAAAAAGAAGGGATGCTCACCGTGGATGTAGACTTGCTGTGAACAAGCTGTATGATTTCATCAGGTGGTCTCTGTGAGATTTTTAAAAGGTATGATGCCAGTACGTACTTAAATTTGGAGCACTGGGGATGCTGGCGTACCCGGTCGCGGACCGTGCGAATGTCAAACTAGTGGTATAGCTGGTTTATGATGCTAAAGCGGGCATGGGCATTTGGGACCAATCAGACAAGCGGCCTGAGCGCGAACTAGAGAGTCTAGACTCCAGTCTGATCGATTTTGACAAGCTTGACAGGACGGTATTTGAAATTTGCAGCCTGTCCACGCGTTCTAAAGTCTACACTCATTTCCGAAAGTCTTGACTCTTGACTCACATCAGGGAAAACCTCCCACGGGAATTTTGAAAATGTGACAACAATTCTCGAGAATTATGGCAAACTTTCATCAAATTTTTGTAAAAGCTTGTAAATAGTTGATAAATAGTCACATCCATAACGCAGTCAGTGAATGCACTGAAAAAGATATCTACAGGGCTCTAGTTGAACCTGCCATGAGATATGTAACTAATTACTAGTATATCAAAAATGTAGAGTTCATGCAATGCAGAACAGGGACATATTTAAACAGGTGGGAGGGAGAATTCGGAGGTGTCTGCTGCTGGCTACATAGAGCTCGCTCGAAGGGCCTTAGCCTCAGCGACAACAAGTAAATTGAGAAATTGAAAATCGAACCACCAATGATTTAATTACTAATCACAGGGCTCCCACGGTTGATTTCAATGAACTCATTCAAATATTCATGTTTCACTCTGCAACTTACATGAGCCGCGGCAACCACTTGCACACCCTGTCACGTCGTTTTCTTTATGTTTTCATTCTCCCTTACGGTTACTGTTGGGGACTCTAGGTGAGAGGCATCACCACCACAGAGCTAAGTCTCGCTCCGAGTGGGCGTCTGAATTCTGTTGTCGCATTCATCTGTGCGTGGTCATTCAAACCAGGTGTCTATGTAGGATTCCTTTTTTTCTCTTCTTTTTGGCGGTCCAACCGGCCTTCCTGATCTCTCCCAGCTACAGGCTCAATTTGGAGCATACACATAGCTCAAAACTGCATTCTGAGGGTGAGTCATGTAGTTGAATCCTGGTTTCACAGCGACCCGCTCATGCTCACTGTCAGAATCGCAAATTCCCTACTCGAGCCGCAGCTCAGGCCAGAGCCGGGCCACTGCATTCTGAGGCGTGCAGGTGAGTCATGTGGTTGATTCCTGGTTCCTCCCTACCCGCCTCCCCGTGGTCCATGGCTCTAGTGTGACGACTGAGCAGGACGAACATCCCATGGTCTTGGGCCTCACTGCTAGCCCTATGTTCGGTGGCAATCCTACTGCAGCCTTCTGGTATGGTGCTCGGATTGGAGACTATGAATATTATTGACACGCTTCCAGGAAGTTGGAAGCCAACCTCGACTGCGTTATTCATAGTCCTCGAGCCAATCGGGATGAGCTCTTGACTCATGTCCACTGTCCGATCTTCCGACACGTGTGCTACGATACACCGCAATACTCTGATCATAACTATACTTCTAAAAATTTATCAGCAGTCGATGCCATTATTGCTACTATGAACATCGGATCCCGAATTCCATGGTCTCAGCTGTGGTTACTGTGGTGCATCTTTTTCTAACTGTTCAAGCACTATCTCACTGTGTTCTACCAGATTTTTTCTTCCCTACTTGATCTGAAGTTGGTTGACTTTGCATCTGCTGAGTTGAAAGCAGCATTTGCGCAAATCGATTTCGATGGGATGAGTAGGGCATTCCTGATAGCACAGGGACTTTGCGTTACACGTTTTGTCTCATTTCCTCATTTTCATATCTTGTGATTTGCGATATTCTAGTATTTAATCACATTATAATCATTTTGTTGTATTCGTGTGGATTTTCATAAATTTTCACCCATCCGTAGAGGGACTTGGAATATTTTAATGTATTTTCAGAAAGTCAGAAAATTTCAGAAAATTTTACAAAATCTTTGCGGGAGGTTTTCCCTGATGCACGTGTTTGTGGCGGTTCAAAAATAGTGAAAATGCTGAAAATTCATTTAAATCAGTTTCGAGTTTTGTAGGCCTCTGAATGGCTTCAAACACACCATCTTGCACCTATTTCCTACTCAGACTCGCTATGGTCAACCAGAGGATCAGTCCCGACCGAAAAAATGAGGCATTTGGAGGAAGGATGGGAAATCGAGCACATATAGTTGCTCCTGGTGTATTGTCAAAAAGTATAGAGCGGTGGGAGGCAAATTATGATCTACATCGATGTACAGTACATATCCCAATAATGCATACGGTCGGGAAGCTGAAAATGCCATGCATTACCATGAATATGCACGACACTGGATGTCACAGTTTGTGATACCGTGTGACCTTGTTATGACTGCGGTAGATAAGTATGAGCGCCCCAGTAGGAAGAGTCTCAAAATACTTGACAATATCTGATTGATTAGCAGTGGGATGCTCATCAACATAACCATAGACTGTGATCCAATCAGCAAGAGTAAGGTTTTGTCGTAGGTGTTTTGCTGGTGATGGTTGAGCCGACGTTGTAGGGGCATCCTTGGACACTTTCTGCCTCTTGGCAGGCTTAGCAGTTTCCTGAGTAGGTTTATTGATAGCTTTGCGCTTTAACGTGATGGGTTGAGACATTGTAAAGACTTTTGTGATATGTTATCTAGCATATTTCGGTGCTTATATTCACACATAGAACAATGCAACCTCCATCAATAGTGCCCAGACAATGCATATTACCCTCGAAAGTTCATGCATTATTCAGTATGGAGTTTTTAGTGCATAATGGCTGCGCCCACGATGGGACCCTGCCAAAATCAATGCATTATCTAGGATATGCATGACTGGGATGTGCATTATTGGGATATGTACTGTATTAACTCTCACACACCAATCCTGGGTGCGCCCTTGGTTTCCGGATCAATTTAAACTGTTAAGGAGTCTGGACTCTGCATGCTGCTAGCCAGAAACCTGTCACTGCCATTCGAATTGTCGATGTATCCTGTTGCTCACGCTGTCTCCAGTGAAGAAGTGGCTTCGACAGCATCAGAGATCTCCGACATAGTGGGTGGCGCCAATTCCCTGACCAGGACCTTCGTGAACCTTGCAGCTTCCTTGCTGTAAATGTAGGAAATGCTCCAAGCTGGTATAGGCATAGTGGCTGTCTGTAACAATAACATGTAGAGTGGAATAGCTAGTAGCTGTATTTGTTGTATGGAGCTGAATACAATCTAAAAACGCGAACAGTAGTCACTGAATGTGCAAAGAAACGGCGTGGTTATCGCTTTGTGGAAAATCATCGAGTTCGTTCCTGAGAAGACCTAGATGAAAGGGCTTGCCACTTGCTGGCAGCATCCATCCAAAATGTGTAGAATATGCTAAGACTTACCTCCCATCGCTCTATACGCTCTATGCTTTCAAGAACAGCAGCATGTGCTCGATTTCCCATCCTTCCTCCAAATGCCTCATTTTTTCGGTCGGGACTGATCCTCTGGTTGACCATAGCGAGTCTGAGTAGGAAATAGGTGCAAGATGGTGTGTTTGAAGCCATTCAGAGGCCTACAAAACTCGAAACTGATTTAAATGAATTTTCAGCATTTTCACTATTTTTGAACCGCCACAAACACGTGAGTCAAGAGTCAAGACTTTCGGAAATGAGTGTAATTGACGTGTTCCACGCATCCTGTGATCATGTCTTCGACTTGAAATTTTCAGCCTCGACTTTCACCAACACTACCTACTCAGTCCACCTGCAACCACTCCCATCACTTTCAAAGCCTACCTATAGCACTCGCCAACTTGGTGGCTTGTTCGTGCTAGTCATGCTCCAACGTGCTCAGAGCGACTTGTGTCATTTTGTTTCAACTATTCCATCATTTGTGTGTACTGAAATTCTCGTCCAGTCTATTCTTATAGCAATTTGCAATACAGCATATCTCAAATTTCTTCGAATCTTCCCTTCCTCTCAAATCTCCCAGTGTCACCACAACTTATAATATTAATGTTCTCGCACGCACGTTCCAAATTTTAAATCAATCTAACGTCGAATCTCGATGATGAATTGAAGGCATTTTGGCCGCATACTACATCGAAAAATTCACCTCAATCTCACTATCACGTCCACAGCAGATACTTGACTCCTGCACTATTGCTGGTGCTGGCGCCCGCATGTCCATTCCTAGGTGCGTCCCTTGTCGCCGTTTTGAGCCACGTCAACAAGTTGTTGTTTTATGTTTCGTGTCCGGTTAGTACCCTGGATTCCTTCAAATTCCCCTGACTCCCCAGAGGCGCCGGGTCTCAGCTAAAGAATCACGGCCCTCATATCACAATGCTTAATAGGGTACATGTATCACCCAGTAGTGCTTCAGCAACAATCTTAAACACGTTTATATTTGTATCTGTGTATCCACCTTGGCAAACGAAAGTGAAAGGCAAGCTCCTCCACAAGCGTTAATCAATTTCAGCCTCCCCAAAATTCATCAAGTATACCTCGCATCGTTAAGCTACGCATGCATGAACATGCTTGGCGCACCTTGTAATCTCCTTGAATGCGTCATCTGTAGGCTAATTGGTGTGAGTCAGCTGAAAAAAAAACAAGGTAGCAGTTCATAGGACATTGCATGAGGCGAGAAGATGAATCGAGTATGAATTGCTGAGGAACTGAAGCTGTGTGCTGTGCGCTGTCCCTCAACTTTCCTCTCCTGTGCTGCCTGAGCAATCATATCACAGATTATCATCGGACAGAGAAAGAAGGACCAGTGGTTGATGCAAGTTTGCGTGGGCAGCTAGTGCCAGTAGATATATCCATCGATTTGAACATTACCAGCATTTATAGAAAATCACTTGACTAAATAATACGACGAAAAACTGTGTCTCTTTGACATCTACTTCGGAACACCCAATGACTTCAGTCAATCCCTTCAAGAAAGTGGCAATAAATAAAAACAAATTTCCCTGCTCTTTGGAGGGCACCAGACAACCATTAACTCCACTGATTATCACACACCATTACCAGTCGATATTTCCACGCGCTCCTGGAAAGCGATTGAGGTCATACCAGTTGCTGCGTCAGAATCAGCCACGAGCTTAGCATAGTATTCCCGAACACCAAGAATCAGGCGCGGTCCCAACACAAACAGCTGCACGACCTCAATAATCTGAAGAAACCCCAAAATAATCTGAGAGGCCAGGAAATTGCCCTATAGAAACAATAAGCTGTGGTAGCGTGCATGGGCAAGTGAAAGATTCACATACCGCGAAGAATGTTGAAATGAGTTGGAGACAAGAAACAGCAACAAAGCTACCATGTCCGACACGTCAGTGGAAAAAGGAACAATAATCACAATATGAGCTCACCTCGCAAAGTAAACGACGTGAGTTTTGATCAACACCGTGAAACAGTCCTCGATAATCCCTCCTGCCGAATGTTGTCGCAGTTCACGGAAGTGTTTTATCGCAATCCAGACTGCGAGACATAGCACGAGGACCTCCCATACAGTGCTGAGCGTCCAAGCCACAGATTCAAGAAGCGGGTTATCCTCCGCAAAGTCAATCTGGCACTGATAAGTGCCAGAGAGAATGAGTTCCTCTGATATCAATGAGTCTCATGCACGTTTATTTTGATTCACAATTAAACGCACCCCCTGAAGTATGCATCGTTATCATTATGGTAGAGACTGCATCGAAAGTGTTGACAGTCAGGAAGGTGACAGTGAGAAATACCAGGATCTTTCTGGATCCTTGATACATCGCATGCAACCGAGCAATGATGATGACTTGCACCATGTTTCAGTCAAGTCAATATCACTGAGGTTTCGCAAGTGCAAAGCTCACCCCACAACATCGCAAATACCACAACACCAATCCAATTCCATACGGTGTACATAATCCAGCCTGACGAATCCGGTCAGTGATCGGCCTCGGGTAGCACACTCCAAACAGACTCACATCTGTGGCAGTATAGCATGGCAGTCATTAGTGAATCAAGAAGTTAGCAAAGAACCACACCCACTGCTACAGGGCACCGCGGTTAATTGGAGGGAAATGGCAAGCATCTGTACAGAAGACTCACAGTATCTGTCAATGAGATAGTCGGAACATCGACTATATGTCATTGGTCAGAATAAACACAGACAGTGAATGTACTAAGGAGACATACTCAAGATGCCCAGGCTGGTTATAAGACATAGACGATTAGTACAACACCGATCGTGTAGCCTTCTGAACATACGTAGCGTATAAGAATCCAAGGTAGCGCACCTAAGATACTTCCAAGTCAGCATAACATGGCAACCGCGACCAACAAGCTACATACACCGAGATACAGAACTGTCATTAGGGACCATCGTTGTCTCTGGAATGAAGTATATTTTCATGCGTGTTCCTCTTACACCAAACTCTACTCACCCAGATCAATTCCACCTATAAAACCATCCTCAGCGAGATGGCTGCTCCCGTCAAACCATCGACATACCTCTTGTCCAAATGTAAGTGCTGAAAATAATTGTAAGACGTCAGCAGTCTTTTAATGATATCATGCTCACCCCAATCATACGTCACTGCAACAAAGGCGGCAACTGTAAAACCACAACCAAGGTTAGATTGTGTCAGCTTCAACATCCGACTGCTCTCCACGCCTGAAACATAGCTGCTCAAACGATATGCATCGATGGCCGTCATTCAAATGAAAACCGATCCAAACCGTGCCACACCGAATCCGTCATGCAGTTGATGCCCTTCTGTTGACTCACACATCCATAGGGTAGCCTGAGTGGGAATGTAGATTAAAACACTCTCTATATTTTGCATGAACCAGCTACTATAACGACGCCGGGGACTACACCGACACCGACTGACGATCAATATTCGAGATTTGAGATTTCTTGTGGCGTGAGAGCGCTTGCATGCTAACAGATTATACGAAACCGGTTCTGTATGAGTTTGCTTAGCGAAAAACAATCGAAAAAAGATGGGACGCTCACCGTGAATGTAGATGAGTTCTGTGAACAAAAGTCGAGCAGCTGTACGATTTCATCAGGTGGCCTTGGTTAGGCTTTGAAAGAGTGGGATGCAATGGCTAACGACTAAGTACTTACTTCGATTTGGATGTTGGCGTACCCAGGCGTGGACCGTGTGAATAACACACAATATCGCACTAGTCGTCAGCTGGTTTATGATAGCACATCTAAAAGTCGGATGCGCTCGATGAGCGGTGTTTGATTTTAGGCGACCGCTTAGCGTCTTTTAAGTTTCTGCGCGAGCGAGCAACCCAAATATTTCCAAAACAATATATATTGAGTGAATCTTATGAAAGTGCAAGATTATCACAAAGGAATCAAATCTTATCTACATATCTACAGATCATCAGACATACTAGCCGTACTGATAGTAGATATACCTCGTTCAACTAAATCTTTCTTTAAAGAAATGGAAGCGTGATATACTGCAGGAACGTTACGAATGGTGAGATTGTGTTGTTGAATGAAACAATACTCTGCTCCAGATGACAAAGATGCTGAAAACTCCACCGTCTGACGTCTCCCGTTGAGATGCTCCATGAGGACTGAATGTGTTGCAGCGCCGCCGAGTGAAATCAGATTGTCGAGAGCGTCCACGTCGTCTATGTCAAGCTCTGTGTGGAAGCCGGTTTCCCACACAGCTGCAATGATGACGGCGTGTACGCCAGGATGATTGACTGGGGCCAGCGAGTCCGGATCATTCGTTTCGTGCTAGAGAAAAAAAAGGATAAGTCATTAGAAGAAGGATACAAAAAGAAAACTCACCAAAAACAAGTACGCGTGATTCTCAACGAGTATCGGTACGCATTGTTTCCTGTGCGCGATCTCCGCATTTGCGTCCAACGGACGGTTAAGATCATAATGGACTGGGACTTCGCGGCGCGCCCTCGTTTTGAAGGCCGTTCGTATGGTCGTTGTGAGGGTTCGGAGGCTCTTAAGACAGGTTTCGTAGTTGGGAACCTCCGCGTCAGGCATGAAGTCCTGGCGAGCTGCCGACAGCGCTGCCTCCGCCATCGCCGTGTTGATGCCCATTTCGGGCATAGCGTTCTCTAGTAACACCTTGCGGCGCATATTAGACTTCGCGGCTTCCATCAATTTCTTGAACTGCTCATTAGTTGGACGTTGGGGAGCATAGGGATGGGAGCGTGCAGGACTGTTGGCCACAGGCCCGGAGCCAGCCACAGGCAAATTAGTGATAGGCGAGGGAGGAGTAGACACCGGAGGCAGCTCTCTGCGAGACGGGAGTGGTGCAGTAACAGTGATGTCTCCTGTAGCCTGTAGAAGAGAGTCAGTCACGATCATGATACAAGTGAGCGACGCACTCTGATAACTCCGGTTGGGAACAGTTGTCCCCGGTGGCCTTCGGGTGGGCGGCAAGGATCGTATACGAATACCTTCCGAATTCCGGGCAGGTCGATGGGTAAGCGTCCCAGATAACGTGTCCGTTCTTCCTCCCTCTGCGGCTCTTGCATGTGTCCGATATTCCTGAAGGTTGTCGGTGTGGGCACATCAAATTGATGTGCCTCACGAGACACGAGTTCCGGTGGTGCGAATGGCATCTGTGGGAGCCCGTAAGTGTGAGCATGAGGGGCTGGTTGCTGTTGGAGCTGCCGGGAGTCTGGCGGTGGAGCTGGCTGCATGAACGGTGGGCGGTAGTCGTGCGACGGGCCTGGTTGCCCAAGATGTTGTCAAGGGATCTGCCGGGGGTCCGGCGGTGGAGCTGGCTGCATGAACGGTGGGCGGTAGTCGTGCGACGGGCCTGGTTGCCCAAGATGTTGCCGAGGGAGCTGCCGGGGGTCCGGAGGTGGAGCTGGCTGCATGAATGGTGGGCGGTAGTCGTGCGACGGGCCTGGTCGCCCAAGATGTTGCCGAGGGATCTGCCGGGGGTCCGGAGGTGGAGCTGGCTGCATGAACGGTGGGCGGTAGTCGTGCGACGGGCCTGGTTGCCCAAGATGTTGTCGAGGGATCTGCCGGGGGTCCGGCGGTGGAGCTGGCTGCATGAATGGTGGGCGGTAGTCGTGCGATGGGCCTGGTTGCCCAAGATGTTGCTGAGGGAGCTGCCGGGAGTCCGGCGGTGGAGCTGGCTGCATGAACGGTGGGTGGTAGTCGTGCGACGGGCCTGGTTGCCCAAATGTTGTCGAGGGAGCTGCCGGGAGTCCGGCGGTGGAGCTGGCTGCATGGACGATGAGTAGTAGTCGTGTGACAGACCTGGTTGTGCGAGATGTTCATCGGCTTCCTCCATATTGACTTCCTCCATATCATCTTCCTCCTCCATCTCATCATCCTCGTCCTCGTCGTCCTCATCCTCGTCCATGCCTTCGGATTCGATTAACGAAATTAGTTGCTGGTATGATGCCGGACCTTGAGGTTGTTCGACACGGACACTGATCTGGCTTGCATCTGAATTCAAAGACGGGTTTAAACCCGAATTTTTCCCTGGTTTTTTTATTGCCTAATAATATTATATTAGTAGCATGCATAGGTAGTAGTACCATAAGACTTACCTTCGCATTCTTGCGCGAGGGACACTTTTTCGTGATCTTCGTGTGCTTGCGAGTTGCACTGGCCTTTGGGGGCATGATGATGGGTGGGTGGAAAACGTATGAGAAAAACGTACGCTTGAGTCCAGGTGCTTAACAGCCGGGGTTATTTAATTGGCCCCAGGGTTCTATCGGCCTCATGGCGCAGCCAATTCAATAGAAAGATCAATCAGTAATCACGAATGCAGACATTTATGTATTAGACGCACCGAAATCTGCATGCTGCGAACCTCGTGGCATGATGATCAGTATGTTTGACGCAGTTTCACGCGGGGTAAGGACAGAATAGGCAAAAAGATGTGATAGTGCGGAATGATATCGATGGTGACAAGATAGTATCGATAGTGACAAGAAGAAGAGAAATCAGTCACGAGGCTACATCGAACATTACTACAAAACTCTTGAATACATAAAACTGGTACACCGTTGATCTAGAGCGGTAATCGACGAATCAGTGACATTTTTGACCAAGATAAGAAATGAACTTAACTGATTGCCTAGTCCCGACCGCTTTTGGAGTCTTCGCCACCGTCGTTAGCCATGATCAAGTCTGTGTCGGTGACCCCGTGTGCGATAAGTAGTCCTTCCATATCGTTGTATTTACCTTGCACAAACTTGAGGGACTCCTTTGCTTTGAGGAGGTTTGTAGTAACGCTGGAGGATGGTTCAGAAACCTCTGTGCACTCTTTCTGCGTGTTTTCAATCCAGAGTCGAAGCCCATCTTCTGCAGCTTCATGTTCTTTCTTCAACTTGTTGATGGATTGGTTCAAGAAACTAGTCCACCTGCTCGCCTCTTCTACCTGCCAGATCCTGGTCATGATAAGGTGGCGAAGCTTCTCACAAGTGGCATACTGAGCAGCAACAGCCACTTTGAGATCCTCAGGCGGCATGTTTGTGTCGCCCAGAATCTCTGGGGCCTGTTTAATCGAGTTCAATACAATCAGTACCAGCAAAAATGTGGAAAAGACTTACAAGGGACACAAAACTTGCAATAGGGATATCATGTCCCTCTGACTCAGAGTCAAACAAAGCAGAGTTAAATGAGGAGCAGCTCCCCTTGGGAGACCGTAAGGTGTAGTTCCCCCGGGGAGAGTGTAAGGAGTAGTTCCCCAGGGGAGACCGAGACCTGCGTAGAGACCGAGACTTACGCTTAGCCTTGGGACTTGCTCTATAAGCAGGAGAGGAATGTTCGACGAAAGTTGCAGAGCTGGTTGGGCTAGTAGGGCGCATAGTAGCAATACAAGTGTCCAGCATGATATGAACAATGGACTTGGAGGATTTGACCTGAATGTTTTCTCACTCAGCCTCTCGCTGCGGTGCTGTCAACAGACTTGTCAGCGAGTTTCGGAGTTTGAAGGACTTAACAGAATTCCAAATACACGGCGGTGGATGGTCAGTCAAGGTGATTCTTAAGGCTGCGATATCAATAAGTTCTTCAAGTTGAACGCTCCGATGGCATCCAATGTAGAAGAGGGCTTTACCTCTGACGAGATGTTTTTTAGGGCCGGAGAGTACATTTTTGATATCAAACTTACACGATGGTCCTGATCAAGCTGGCTATCATATAGTGGTACTAGCCAGTATCCTTGTCCCACCTGTTCCACGCCATTTGTGAAGGTGGAAGAACTTTGCACTCACCTTACAGATGATCCGCAATGCAATGCTGTACCCATCCCTCATGCACTTCGCCAACCTGCTGGTCCAGGTGAAGAACGCATGGGTCGCTATCACACGAAATCCGGCTCTATTTATGGGTTTCAATGGCCAAATACGTTCGAGTGCATGAAGGCTCATGACTATGAGTCCGCTCGCGAACATAATGTGTACTACCCATTTTCTGGGAGGGAGGAATGGGAACTCGCCAAATTTCTCATCGAGAATCTGAATCAGGGGCAAATAAGTCGCTTTTTGAAGTTATTATGGGTCAGTGAACTTTACATTAACTTTTAAATTTTAACAGCTCGCTATTAGGTGAAGTCAGAAACACGGCAACAGCCCACATTCAAAACTGCGCCCCAACTGCTAACCTTTATGGACGCCCTGCCAAAGGGACCGCAGTGGCGCTGCACAACAATCGAGACAGATGGTTATGTTACAACGCATCCTGTGCATCTTATCTGGCGTGATGCTTTGGAGGTAACGAAGCACATATTTGGCAATCCGATTTTTGCCAATGACATGGAATTCGATCCATATGAGATATTTGTTGACGGAGAACGGGAATATGGTGAATGGATGTCGAGTTCGCGTGCGCATGATATCCAGGCTTGTATTATTTTTTATGTTCGAATACGAATTCTGACGATAGTTTTTATGCATAGGACGAGCTTCCACGAGGTGCTACCATTGTGCCCATCGTTCTTGCATCGGACAAAACTCCTGTCACTCGACACACAGGAGGTCTCGAGATGCATCCCACGTTCCTTACTATCGCTAACATCCGATCTGACATTCGCATGAAGGCTACGGCTCACGCATGGTCGTGCATCGCGTATATGCCCATTCCTCAGTTCATTTGCAACCCCGAGTTCTCTTCACTCTTGCAAGCCCGTGTGTGGCATCGGTGCATGGATATAGTCTGCGTGAATCTCAAGGAGGCAGCCGCTGTAGGCGCAAGTATGGTGGACCCATTGGGTCTCTTACGCTATGGATTTACCCCCCTTGTCGCATATACCGCCGACCTCCCCGAACAACAGATGGTTTCATGTGTAAGTAAGAATACATCACCAGTCACTCTAGCCATCCAGTCACAGTTCGGGGACGGAAAGTTGTATGAACCTCGCGACGGCCAGGGCACACTCAGGACACTTGAAGAACTTGGTCAGCGTATCGATCCCTGGAAGGTCCAGGAATTTCAAGAAGCAGCCAAAGCATCACATCTCAGCGGGGTGCAGCTTCCCTTCTGGCGTGACTGGCGCTTCGCTGATCCAGCTATTTTCCTTGCACCTGAACTTCTCCACACATGCCATAAATTTTTCTTTGATCACATCCTCAAGTGGTGTAAGGAAGTTGTTGGGGCTGATGAACTCGATACTCGCTTTCGTTCGCAACATAAACGCATCGGAACCCGTCACTTTGGGCAAGGTGTCTCCCATGTCTCGCAGATGACCGGTCGGGAACATCGGGACATCCAACGCACAATTGTACCTACAATTGCAGGTGTCGTCGATCCTGATTTCGTCCGCGCTGTTCGCGCGATGGTCGATTTCATCTACAAAGCACAGGCTCCAACTTTCACTCCAACATCGATCACTGACATGACCTCCTCCCTCCAAGAGTTTCACGAATTCAAACACGCAATTCTCCGTGCCGAGGCTCGCCGAGGAACATCGGGTCCTATTGAGCATTTTGAAATTCCAAAACTTGAGCTCTTAGCATCATTCGCTCGAGCCATCCCCCAGCTTGGCTCCATTATACAATTTACTGCTGATGTCAGTGAGCGCATGCTCATCACACAGTGCAAGAATCCATTTGAGCGCACCAGCCACCAACGTGCAACGTTCACTCAGCAAGTCGTCCGTCTCCTGGACCGGGAAGAGACTGCACGCCAGTTCGACCTCTATGCCCTCCTCCGCTCAAACGACATGTCCCTCAACAACCTCATCGTCAATGAATTCGACGAAGTCGTTGACATGGACCCGATGTTGGGTTGGATCATGCGCGTCGCTCCCGAAGAACTGTCTCGGTTTCAAGGCCCACGTCCCGTTCGCAACCATTTCCTCAAAGGCCTGCTGTCTGAAGACAGCAGGGTCGCCTTTCATATCACTGTATCCAGTGACCACACCAACAAGACAGCACCTTTTTTGGCGCGATTATACCAGCTTCCTGACTTTCCTCTGACGCTTCACTCCTTCATTGAAAGTGTCAACCCTACGCTCGCAACTCGTTTCCAGAACCGACTGCTCAACGTCTGGAACAAGTTTCGTATTCAGCTGCATTCGACGTTGCGTCCACGTCTCGTCATGCCGAGCCAGCAGGTACAAGCATATCCGCCATCTACCAATTATCCTCGTGGAAATTGTGATGCTGTCCTGCTGCAGATGCACAGTGAAGGTGAAGAAGGTGAAAATCTTGGTGAGTTTTGAAGTTACGGTCAGTATCTTTGTATTCACGCATTTCTTCACTAGACGCCATTGTAGCTCAAGTTCGCATGGTGTTTGGCTTGTCAAAGAAAGGCCCACCGTTGCCTGCTGAACTTGACCAAATATTCCTCTATGTACAGCTCTTCGAAGTCGTCGCACGTCCTCAAGATGATGTTGGAGTCATGATGTTCCGCGTTAAGCGCCGTTTTGTGACCGGTCCTGATGGCACACAAGTGCGGGTTGGCATGATCATTCCTCTGCTCGATGTTACCCATGCAATCGAGCTCATTCCTGTTTATGGGGACAGAGCTAATCGTGCTGTTGACTCCTTGACGTGTTTGGAAAGCTATGATACCTTCTACCTTAACAATTTTTCAGACAAAGAATGGTACCACACGCTACACACAGATTTCATGTAGTTTCCCTCGAGTCTAGACGTCCTGTGGTGTGCATCGCAATGTTAGATTGATTGATTGGACTATCTTGCAAAGATAAGATTCGCTAAATAATTTAAGACTAAATCTAAGACTCGATTTCGTGATTTTGACACGACTAAGTGAGTTGTCAGATCTCCACCAATCGCATGGCTTCGCTACTGAAGTCGTAAGCGTTCGTAAGTGTTCGTAACGCGCGTAAGTTAAGCGTTCATTTCAGTCGTTTTGCAGATGCATGGGCATTTGGGAACAAGCTTAAGCAGCCTTGGTGCGAACTAGAGAGCGTAGACTGATCGATCGAAAGCTTGACAGGTGAAGCACGGAGTTTGAAATTGCAGCCTTGCCACCAAGTTCTGATCGAGATTCGACGTGCTCAGATTGCCTCTGTTACTTTGTTTGAAATATTTTATCACTCCGAATTCTGCATGCCTGAAATTGTATGAATGGTATGTGTTTGCCTCCCATGCATACAATCTTCTCATCACTTCATTCACAATGCAGGACTTCAAAGACCATGGAACACTCCCTTCTTCGATGCCCTCAAATCTCTGAGAGTACCACCATGACCTGGAGCACTCCCGCACGCACTTTCCAAATACCTCGCAAAGTAAACCACGCAAGTTTCCATCAACACCACGAAACAGTCCCTTATAATTCCTCCTGCCGAATGTTGTCGCAGTTCACGGAAGTGCTTTATCAATCCAGACTGCCGAGACATAGTGCGATGACCTGCCAGAAGATGGTGAGCAGGACTTTTAATATGCGTTGTTTGATGTACAGCTTGGTTGTAGATAGCTCGCGCATCAGGTGCAGGCCGCAACTCTGGTTATTCATACACGCGTGGATAAAATGTGAGCTTCCACGCATCCTCGACTTGTAATTTTCAGCCTTGACCCTCACCAACACCACCCCTCTGCAACCACTTCTATTACTTCCTATAGCGCCCACCAACCTGTGGGTTGTTCGTGCCAGTCACACTCAACTGCTCTTCTCAGAGTCACTCTGTTACTTTGTTTAAAACGTTTTATCACTTGTGCGTGCCTGAATTCTCGTCCACATCTATTCACATAACAAAATACAGCGCACCCCAAATGTCTTTGAACATTCCCTTAAAGTATTGCTCTTAGTATCACTACTTCTTGCACGTATGCTCAAAGTTCGAAATCAATTTAACGTCGACAACATCTTGGCCACATACCAGCTACATCAAGAGATTCGCCTCGACCTCGCTATCACTTCCGCAGCCTGACCTCAACCAGCAGATGCTCGAATCCCGCACTATATTGCTGATGCTGATGCTCACGTGTCTGTTCCTGGGTGTGTCACTTGTCGCTGTTTCGAACCACATGAACAAGCTGTTTTATTTTTTGTGTCTGGTTAGCACCCTGAATTCCTTCAAAATCCCCTGACTCTACAGAGGCGCTGGGTCTCAGCTGAAGGATCACGGCCTTCATATCACAATACTTAATAGGGTACATGTATCCCACTGTAGTGCTTCAGCAACAATCCCAAACACGTTTATATTTGTATCCGTATGTCCACTGGCGAACAAAAGTGAAAGGCAAAGCTCCTCTGCAAGCATTAACCAATTTCAGCCTCCCCAAAACTTATCAAGTATACCTCGCATCGTTAAGCTACGCCTGCATGAGCGTGCTTCGCGCACATTATAATCATCTGGAATGCATCATCTGTAGGCTAGTTGGCGTGAGTCAGCTGAAAAAACAACAAGGTGGCAGTTCATAGTAGGAGGGAGATTGCATGAGGTGAGAAGACGAATCGAGTGTGGATTGCTAAGGAACTGAAGCAGTGCGCTGTCCCTCAACTTTCCTCTCGCGCGTGGCTTGAGTAATCATATGACAGATTGTCATCGAACAGAGAAAAGAAGGACCAGTGGTTGATACAAGTTTGCGTGGGCAGGTAGTGCTAGTAGAGATATTCATCGATTGAAACATTATCAACACGCATAGCAAATCACTTGAATAAATAATACGACAAAAACTTTCTATGTCTCTTGAAATCTACTTTGGAACACCAAATAAAAATACCTTCAAGAAAGTGATAATAAATAAAAGCAAATTTCCCTGCTCTTTGGAGGGCACCAGACAACCGTTAACTCCACCGATTATCACACACCACTATCAGTCGATATTTCCACGCGCTCCTGGAAAGCGATTGAGGTCATACCAGTTGCTGCGTCAGAATTGGCAACGAGCTTGGCGTAGTATTCCCGAACGCCAAGGATCAGGCACGGTCCCAACACAGATGTTTGCACAACTGTCAAAATCTGCGTAAACCCAGCAATAATCTGAGCATCCGTGGAATCGCCCTATAGAAACCAATTGTGGTAGCGTGCATATGCCAGTGAAAGATTGACATACCGCGAAGAATGTTGGATAAAAATCAAAAATGAGATGGAGACAAGAAACGGCAACAAAGCTACCACGTCCGACACGTCAGTGGGAATAAGGAACAATAATCACAATATGAGCTCACCTCGCAAAGTAAAGTATATGAGTTTTCATCAACACCGTGAAACAGTCCTCGATAATGCCTCCTGCCGAATGTTGTCGCAGTTCACGGAAGTGTTTTACCGCAATCCAGACCGCGAGACATAGCGCGAGGACCTCCCACACAGTGCTGAGGATCCAAGTAATTGAATCCAGGAGTGGGATATCTTTCGAAGAGTGCATCTGGCACTGATAAGTGCCAGAGAGAACAAGTTCCTCTGGTAACCATCAATGAGTTCAATGCACATTTATTTTCCTTCACAATTAAGCTCACCCCCTGAAATATGCATTGTTGTCATTATGGCGACTACTCCGTCGAAAATGGTGACAGCCAGGAAGGTGACAATGAGAAATATCTGGATATTTCTGGATCCTTGATACATGGCACGCAACCGAGCGACGATGATGACTTGCACCATGTTTCAGTCTAGTCAATATCACTGAGGTTTCGCAAGTGCAAAGCTCACCCCACAGCATCGCAAATACCACAACACCAGTCCAATCCCATACGGTGTATACAATTCTGCCTGACGAATCCAGTCAGTGATCGACCTCGGGTAGCACACTCCAAACAGACTCACATCTGTTGCAGTATAGCGTGGCAGTCATTAGTGAACCAATAAGTTAGCAAAGAATCACACCCACTGCTACAGGGCACTACAGTTAATTGGAGGGGAATAGTCATAGGCATCTGTGCAGACTCACTGTATCAGTCAGCGAGATGGTCGGAACACTTGCTGTATGCCGTTGGTCAGAAGAAGCAAAAGGCAGCAAATGCGCTGACGGGACATACACAGAATGGTCAAGCTGGTTATGAGAGACAGACAATTAATACAACACCGATTGTGTAGCCTTCCGAACATACGCAGAAAATAAGATTCCAAGGTAACGCGCCTAGGATACTTTCAAGTCAACACAGCATGGGAACAGCGACAAATAATCCACATACACCGAGATACATGACTGTCATTACGGACCATCGTTGTCTCTGGAATCAAGTGTATTTTCATGCGTGTTCCTCTGACACCAGACTCTACTCACCCATATCAATTCCACCTATAAAACCATTCTCAGCGAGATGGCTGCTCCGGTCATACCATCAACATACCTCTTGTCCAAATGTGAGAGCTGAAAATAATCGTAAGACGTCAGCAGTCTTTTAATGTTATCATGCTCACCCCAATCATATATCACTACAACAAAGGCGGCGACTGCGAAACCATAGCCAAGGTTAGATTGTGTCAGCTTCAACATCCGGTTTTCCACGAACCTACACAATAGCTGGCCAAACGAGATGCATCGATGGCCCACCACCAAGTGGGATCATTTGAGACGTAGGTCATATTGTAGAGAATAGGTGTGGGTGAGAGGCGAACTTGGTGGACGTAAGACAATGGCGTTCATGCTAGTTATACCACCATCCGGTAAGTAGATCAGCGAAACGAGATCGGGAGATGATGACCATTGCTGCTTTGATTGGTGGAAGTGGATGTCCCTGCATGAGGAAAGATAAACGCATCTAGGGGGTCATGGTAGATGTTGGTCGTAAAACATCTGAACGAGCGAAACTCTTGAGCTCCGCAAAAGATTGAACAACATCAAGAACTTTTCGTGATCTTGTCGCCTGGTTTCCGATGCTATTCTCGAAATGATTTTGCTACACTTGCATCAGTTCATTAATGCAACCGAGTACTACCTTCATCTGTTTGATACATACTGATCACGGTGTGACCATCGGAAAGCCTAGCATCTCATCTCTATTCGCCTCTCTTGCACAAGCCCGGGGAGCATAACAGCTCATCAAATGTCACTCAGCAAATGGACATTGCGTCGGCAAGACACCGGAACAGAAAAATCAGCCGTCAAATCATACGAAGAAGCAAATTCGCACCCTACTCTGGCTACCAATACCTCCCCAGTGAGCATAGGTCTCGATGTCTCATCTCACCCTTAGGTCTGTCGCTTCATGTGCACCCTCTCGCTCTCTGCCTCGAAAATTGAGTTACCGTATCATTTGGATGTCAGAATTGGTGAGCTCAGAATGTATGATTTGTATCGTGGAGTTGGTGCGGTGGCACTGCGTTTCACCAAAGATGTGAGATTCTGTGATTGATGTATGATGAAGATACAACATCACCCCTATATCAAAAGATCGTTGAGAGAGAAGATGAGAGAAAACGGTGCTCGAATGCACAATGGCTGAAGGCGATAACATTCCGTTGGCACACCATCAGAAAGTTGGTGATTTGAAGAAGTTGAGGGAATAACTCACCGGGTCATACAGCTACCAATGCACATCAACGCTTATTCCAATGAAGACCGATCCAAACCGTGCCACACTGAATCCATCATGCAGTTGATGCCCTTCTGTTGACTCGCACATTCGTAGGGTAGCCTGAGTGGGAATGTAAATTTGAACGCCGTCTATATTTCGCATGAACCAGCTACTATAACGACGCCCGAGACTGCACCGACACCTCAGAACTCCGACTGACGATCAAGATTCGAGACTTGAGAATTCATGTGGCGTTAAAGCCCTTGCATGCTAACCGATTAGTATACAAAGCAGGTTCTATATGGGTTTGCTTGGCGAAACATAATTGAAAAAGAAGGGATACTCACTGTGGATGTAGACTTGCTGTGAACAAGCTGTATGATTTCATCAGGTGGTCTTTGTGAGATTTTCAAAAGGTGTGATGCCAGTACGTACTTCAACTTGAAACACTGGAGATGCTGGCGTACCCAGTCGCGGACCGTGCGAATGTCAAACTGGTCGTATAGCTGGTTTATGGTGCTGAAGCGGGGATGGGCATTTGGGAACAATCAGACAAGCAGCCTGAGCGCGAACTAGAGACTCTAGACTCCAGTCTGATAGGCGAAGCACGGTATTTGCAATTTGCACACATTCTAAAGTCTAATTGACGTAATTTGTTTTGAAATGTTTTATCACTCTCGGCTTCCACGCATCTGGATGCTATGATCACATCTTTGACTTGCAATTATCGGACTCGAATGTCACCAACACCACCTACTCAGTCCTCCGCAACCAGTCTTATCACTTTCAAAGCCTACCTATAGCACCCAACAACCTGGTGACTTGTTCGTGCTGGTCACGCTCCAACGTGCTCAGAGCGACTTGTGCGTACTGAAATTCTTGTCCAGTCTATTCTTATATATAACAATTTGCAATACAGCACATTTCAAATTTCTTCGAATATTCCCTTCCCCTCAAATCACCACAACTTATAATGTTCTCGCACGCACGTTCCATATCACGTCCTCAGCCTGGCCTCAAGCAGCAGGTACTTGACTCCTGCACTATTACTGGTGCTGGGCATGTCGGTTCCTAGGTGCGTCCCTTGTCGCCATTTTGAGCCACGTCAATAAGTTGTTGTTTTATGTTTCGTGTCCGGTTAGCACCCTGGATTCCTTCAAATTCCCCTGACTCCACACAGGCGCCGGGTCTCAGCTGAAGGATCACACGCACGGGCTTCATATCACAATGCATGATAGGGTACATGTATCCCCAGTAGTACTTGCTTCAGTAACAATCTTAAAAACACTTATATTTGTATCCGTATGTCCACTCGGCGAACGGAAGTGAAAGGCAAGCTCCTCCACAAGCGTTAGCCAATTTCAGCCTCCCCAAAACTCATCAAGTATACTTCGCATCATTAAGCTACGCATGCATGAACGTGCTTCGCGCACCTTGTGATCACCTTGAATGCATCATCTGTAGGCCACTTGTCGTGGGTCAGCTGAAAACAAGGTAGCAGTTCATAGGACATTGCATGAGGCAAGAAGACAAATCGAGTATGGATTGCTAAGGAATTGAAGCAGTGCGCTGTCCTTCGACTTTTCTCTCGCGCGCTGCCTAAGCAATCATATGAATGATTGTCGTCGTATAGAGAGAGAAAAAGGACCAGTGGTTGGTGCAAGCGGGCAGCTAGTGCCAGTAGAGATATTTAAAGGCGTTCGTTACGAGCGAGAGGGTCACGAGGAGTCTAGAACGACAAAGACAAGATCTCAGTTGTCTCGAACGAAAACTCTATAACGGTGCATCTACCTAGAACGACAAAGACAAGCTACAACTAACGTTAGACGCCTTGTAAACTCTAGGGACTTCTTGGCACGTACATCTCAGTTGTCTCGAACGAAAACTGAGATGCACCTGCGGTACTGCTGCTAATCTTATAGTAAGTTGGTCAGGTACTGGAATATATGAATGAGAGACTGAAAAATAAACTAGGACGCGAGCCGACGTCATACGTCGCTCGTCTTCGTCCGTTTTGGCGTGTGCTCGAACCATTCTCCCCTTATCACTCGGATCCTTCGGACTCTCTTGACTCTGATCTCCCCCTGGCCTCAGATCTCTCAGTCTCGTACTCCAACAATATTTATCTATTTAAACATTATCAACACGTATAACAAATCACTCGACTAGATAATACGACGAAAACTTTGTATGTCTCCTTGAAACTTACTTCGGAATACCCAATAACTTTGATCAATACCTTCAAGAAAGTGGTAATAAATAAAAGCAAATTTCCCTGCTCTTTGGAGGGCACCAGACAACCGTTAACTCCACCTGAGTATCACACACCACTACCAGTCGATATTTGCATGCGCTCCTGGAAAGCAATTGAGGTCATACCAGTTGCTGCATCGGAATCGGCAACGAGCTTGGCGTGGTATTCCCTGAACACCAAGGATCAGGCGCGGTCCCAGCACAAACATCTGCACAATATCCAAGATCTGAATCACCCCAGAAATAATCTGAGGGGTCAGGGAATAGCTCTGTAGAAACGATAAATTGTGGTAGGGTGCATAGGCAAGTGAAAGATTGACATACACGGAAGAATGTTGGATAAAAATCAGCAATGAGATGGAGACAAGAAACAGCAACAAAGCTACCACGTCCGACATGTCAGTGGGAAAAAGGAGCAATAATTATAATATGAGCTTATCTCATAAAGTAAACTGCGTGAGTTTTCATCAACACTGTGAAACAGTCCCCGATAATCCCTCCTGCCGAATGTTGTCGCAGTTCACGGAAGTGTCTTACCACAACCCAGACTGCAAGACATAGCACGAGGACCTCCCATACAGTGCTGAGAATCCAACCCACAGAAAGAAGAAGTGGGATATCTTCCGCATAGTTGATCTTGCACTGATAAGTGCCAGAGAGAATGAGGTTCTCTGGTAACCATCAATGAGCCCAATCCACATTTATTTTCATTCACAATTACACGCACCCCCTGAAGTATGCATCATTGACATTATATTGACCACTGCATCGAAAGCGTTGATAGCCAGGAAGGTGACAATGAGAAATATCAGGATATTTCTGGATCCTTGATACATGGCATGCAACCGAGCGATGATGATGACTTGCACCATGTTTCAGTCTAGTCAATATCACTGAGGTTTCGCAAGTGCAAAGCTCACCCCACAGCATTGCACATCAGGTAATCAACCCTGAATTGATATGACCAGGTAGTGCTGACAAATGAAGCACATTATGATACATCTAGATCTAGGATTACATATCATTATCTTTGTGGATCGTGTGTATGACAGAATACAAAAGTTTGCTAAGAACATGCCACCTTGATATGCATGTGACAACCACACATCACATATGTGAAACAATACAAAAGTGTGCCAAGGACATGCCACCATGATATGCATGTGACAACCATGCATCAGATATGGGAAGGAATACAAGAGTGTGCCGAAGACATGCCACTGTGATATGCATGTGACAACCATGCATCACGTATGCGAAGGAATACAAGAGTGTGCCGAGGACATGCCACTGTGATATGCATGTGACAACCATGCATCACGTATGCGAAGGAATACAAATGTTTGCCGAGGACATGCCACTGTGATATGCATGTGACAACCATGCATCACGTATGCGAAGGAATACAAAGGTTTGCTGAGGACATGCCACTGTGATATGCATGTGACAATCATGCATCACATATGCGAAGGAATACAAGAGTGTGCCTGAAGACATGCCACTGTGATATGCATGTGACAACCATGCATCAGATATGTGAAGGAATCCAAAGGTTTGCCAAAGACATGCCACTGTGATATGCATGTGACAACCATATGTCACATATGCAAAGGAATCCAAAGGTTTGCCATATATGTCACATATACAAAAGAATACAAAGTTTGCCGAGGACAAACCATCTTGACATGTATGTTAGGAGTAGAGATCAATATGACAAGTGACCATCTGTACACTAGCTAAAGATAATAACACCACACTTGTTCTATGTTGCTGAGCAGCTGCATGCCATACCTGCAAAAACTACAATTGATCTTATAATATGACATCACATGCCAACCTGAGCGAGAATATTATCTTCATATACCATGATAATTCTCGGACAACATAAGATACGAGTTTGAAACATGGCGTCAAGGGAATCTATGATACGTTTCAAGTGGCAGCTACACACAGCGAAGGAGGCGGAAGGAAACACCAAATTTCGGAAAGGGAGATAACACTGAATGATGTCAGAGGTGCTTAAGGTCGAAGATCTCAGCACATTGTCAAGAGTCAAGAGTGCATAATATAAGCAGATGGTAATCAAAGACAGTGATAGTAGCAAAAATAAAATAAACCAAAACTAACATACAGCCAACATATGTAATGTTGCGGAATACCAGACAATGGTGAGAAAGTGGACGGCGAAGGAAGGGGATTGTTACAAACCGGTAGCACATGATCACAAGAGCACGGAAGTATCGGAAGAGAAGGATAATGATGACTCCGAAAACCAATTATTGAGATAGTTGTCAGGTAGATGTGAGTCAAACATTATAGGCTCAGAGCATATACCTACGGCAAAATTAGTAGGAATGAACTAGAATGATTTACATGCCTACCATCTGACATGCCCTTGAACTCGGACAGGCGTTCCATGGCTTCGGAAAACATGTCCACTTCGGCCTGTGCGCGCTGCTTCTTTAGATCTAGAATACGGACATCAGACTTAAGTACATCCACGGATTTTTGCTCCTTTGTTTTGAAGCTCTTCCTGTCAATGGTGTGTACCGGTTTACATTCGGCAAAGGATGCGTTCATATACGCATGGTATGTGACATTATCGACCCAGGTTTTCAACAACCGAGGTAGCGAAAGCAGATCGTCGGGCTGTACAATATCAAGAACACCTTACTTTCATAGATCAAATAACACTTACTCTTAAGAGGCGTTCAGAAAGATGAGGAACTTCTATAGTTTTCGGAGAATCGAGAAGCACGCGGATAGTATCGGGATTGACTTGAGTAATACCTTGAGAATGCGAGGATGCAAGAAGCCATGCATTACATTTCTCTTCAGTCGCCTTTGAAGGTTGAAAGTAATCGACATGGACCAAACTACGCACTGAGCGCACTCCAGCATACACGGCAACGTCGACTGCAGCCGGCCTTTGTCGATCAACTAGAAAACACGTTTTTAGTGCCAGACAGACTCTGCAACTGCATGGCTCACTGGGGTGATTTCTGATTTCTAGTTCTTCGCACAAGTTAGCGATAGCGTTGCTAAACAATGAAACCTCCAATTGAGCTCAATACATTTGATCTTGCATCAGACACCGTCCTTCTCGTGAAAGGAATACCATGCAACTCCCCTCTTCTCGCTGGAGCTGCATGCGCACTGAGACCTCCTTGAGGCACATGTCAATCAGGGTTATAAGATCATGTGCATTGACCAAGCCAAACACCACGGAAGCTGTGATCATGAGGGATTCTGGAAGCTACACGTGAAGTTAAGAAAAAAATCAAGAATATATATGTGAGGGCACTGACAGCATCACAGCCCTTGGTCTGGAGCCAACCCAGCAGAGCTTCCTCGGTCTGTTCAATATCGAGAAAGTGAAATATTGGAGCTGTTGGGCACATATCAATAACGCCTGGACAAATCTTACTTAACATGTTGAAGTTGAAGGGAGCAGGAAGGGGACATTCTCATGGGGGTTGAATACTTACACAATCTATACAGTTGAGCGATGGCGATCAAACTGTAAATCAAAAAGAGGTTAAAGTAGTTGCAGCAATGGCGATCAAATTAAAAAAATTTGCTATGCGGCCATCGTTTGTAAGCAGTGTATGACAACCAGAATAGGGTAATTCTAACCTTTGGGTGGGCAATGATGATTTGCTGGTTCTTGCTGTGGCGACTGTCATGATGTCATAAAAGCTTGCAGAAACAGACTAATGTACATTTAACAATGCAGTGATCAGATGAAATATTGGACACATGGGAGATACAACTGTTAAGTTACACAACGAGCACACACTATTTCTTTGACCAGGAAACCTTTGTTTGGGAAACCTTTGGCCGGGAAATACGATAGACATCAATCTCGCTGTACATTGCACCTTAGTCGCAGGACATAATGCACATTCTGAGTGAACTCACGTTAAAAGACACAAATTCCTGAGAGTTTGTCTGAATGTCTGGATGTCAGGATCATTGTGCTGTTGCAAGAGCATCGGACCCGTTGTAGAGAATCATGCCTCTCATGGCATGATATGGCAGTTTTCACCTAGGAGTATACAGCATGAACTTGCAGCATCATTCTGTGTGCTATCTGCAGTGATTCCTATATGACGCGCAGCTTTCCCGCGCAATGCGATGTATACGCGCGCGCACGTTCCCGCGCTTGCGCACCCTATAGCGCCAGCCATCCAGAAGCATCCATCCACTGTCCACCAAGCTCCCTAGTGCGTATATTTCTATTTCTCTCATTGCATATTATTCCATCTTTATTTTTATCATGGACTCTCACATATATATATTTTTACATACCTACTCGGTAGCGCTTCAGCTCCGCATGACCGCGCTTAGGCGCGCTATATAAGCGCCAGCAGTACATACTAACTTACTTTACCTCCCATTTACCTATTACTACTTACTTACTACTTAGGAGAACATAGTAGAAACCTATTCCTTTAGATCTCGCGCTCTCACATCTCTTGCATCATATTATCACTTAAGTCTAGTCTATCTATCATTTCCGCATACGCGCGCACGCTTTCCCACGCTTCGCGCTAATACGCGCGCGTGTTCCCGCGCCTTGCGCGCACCTGCGCTTTCTCGCGCTTCGCTGAAGCGCGTACCTCTAGATCTTCGCAGCGCTCGCTTCCCCTAGGGTCGAACGCACTTGTCTCCTCAAGTAACGCAGACTAGGCAACGCGCGACCTCACAACTTTTTATAGATACTGTCAGGAGCATCATTTGTTCCACTCAGTATTGTTGTTTCTACACCGTCTCCTTTAATTCCATGAAAACTTGACTGGGAGACAGATGTGTGGCCAGCAAAACATGATAGTTCGGGCGATGGGAGAGTCTTTTCAGTAAGACCTCATAACACTGATGCAGCAATTGAAGTCAAAAGAAAGACCGGAAGACTAGTACACATACAGATGACGCGAAGAACGCCATTGCCTCCCACGGTAGGTGTGGAGCATTGCGAAACTTTTCAGGTTCTAGATCGGCAATGGTCAATTCAACTTGGCATGTCTCCGTAGGACGGAAGATGACGTGGTGAACGATCTCCTTAGCGATCTGGTGAATCAAGAATTGATAAAATCCATTGTCCTGCGAGGAAAATAAGAGTTTGACAACGAATGGGAAGTCGGAGAACTCACGGAAAGTGGGAGCACATGTGCAAATGGTCTGATGAACATCCGAATGCACTCCAAGATCTTATCCGTCAAAACATCACCATATGCACCATCCACGAGGCCAAAGCCTGCGCGAGAGTCAAGGGTGTCGTTCAGCCTGCGCCTCACATCGTAGTTGAATTGTGAGAACCACGGAGAAGCCTGCTATGTGATAAGACAAGTAAATGAAACAAAGAGGACACATACAAGTTTCAATATTTCATCTTCAGTAATAGGCTTCTTTGTAGTTCTGGACATAACTAGAAATGAATCAATAAGTGTAGCAGGTATTAAGGAAACGACCTCCTACCCTTTTCCAAGGTCGAAGGATTGACATTAGACCTGATCAGACAGAGGGGCCAGAGTCGGTGAATCACCTCGGTTCTCTGGTTACATTCGTTCTTTTGGACGATTAAGTGGGGATTCTCTGTTGTCCCGCAGCAGATCGCAATCCTTATCAG